AGTGGAAAAATTATCAGGGCAAGTGATTTTACATGTGCCACTGTACCGGAGTACACTAGCAATTTTAAAGTTATTTCCACCCCTGAATTAAGCCTGTCTTAAATACATGTGTGGATCTGCTTGTAAGTCTGGGATCACAGACTACAGGTATAAATCCTGGCAAAGTCAGAACTTTTGAGACTTTCTAGGGTATGAGGTCTTAGCACAACAAATTTGATGTGCAGAGATTCTTCTCTTAGCAATACCAGTAACTTGTTTCACCTAAGTGATGAGGTTGTATGACCTGTGTCACTCTTGGCTTTTCTCCCATCAAGCTGTGCAGGAGCCGATATACTCACAATAGTGTGTGAACCATGTATATATTGTCACTAGTCAGGTTAGTTTCACTGTCAGTAACACAGGCTCAACTTTTGCTGAACATGTAGTCACAACTGTTACCAGGGATCTTTAACCTTGATACATGTCATCGTCGGGTCATCACTCACATCATATCCACAACATTGTAGTGCACTTGGCCATGCAGGTTGTGATCTCTGTCGAAAGTACTGTCAAGTCAGAATCTCTACATTTTCTAGCTACCATCATGGACTATTATGTAGTGCATCTGCCCAGGGTGCTGAAGTCAATGATTCTAACCTGTCATATCTTACCAATAAACATGATAGAAGGTGGTATTTGTTGTTTCCTTTGCAGGCTGCTGCAAGGCTATACTAAATGATAAGCCTATGGGAATTTAGTAATTCTAGCCAAATTCTAGTCAAGCCTATAATGCAAGATAAGGGGACAATCTTTTACAAAAACAATTTGTTCCTAATATTTATGTGATATATAAATTATTATTTAAAGTAACACTTTGGATGTTCGTGCAAGTCAAGGTTTGTGTCTGGGCAGGATATTCATAATAACATGCAGTATTTTCTCTCAGATTCACATAAGTCATCATCTGTAGCTTGTCACAAATCTTGACTTGTTTAAGTTACATATCGAATTGTGAAATGACTCATCACTGAAACTTATGTGCTAAATTTCCAGACTATCATGATGTGATAATTCATCAACTTAGGAGGACAATCCTATCACATAGAATTTGGATAGAACAAACAAACATCTATAAGGTTATTGTTCTCAGTACATGACCAGAGATGTGACAGGACATTACTTCATCCCGACTATCGTGTCCTGACCAGGATGCTGAATAAATACGTCTTGTCTTAATTGGACATATTCTGGTGCTTCAGGCATGTCTTCATGAGGGTTTATAAGAGTTTTGTTTACATGCGTGTGTTTTGATGTGTATTTGTGCTGTCCTTTTGCCAGTTATATCTCTTTACTTGTTTTCAGAAGCCATGTTTATGCATTTATGTTTATCTGTACCTGTAAATAAAGTGGCCCTTAAGTATTTAGTGCATCTGACTTCATAACAGTATTTGTGGAGGCAGTTGATAAGGTGTATTTTCTTGTGCATCTCTAAGTGAAGCAAGATTATACTTGGCTGGTCATGTACTGCAAAGCTGAATGGGTGAACTTTGTCAACTGCCTTCCTGCCTTATCCCACACTGATACAAATAGGGTATTGGTATAATTGTATACCTCTGTCCAGCAGAATATGGGTACCTTCGAAGCTCTAGGGAACAGCAGTCAGTCTGATTAGTGGAGTACATTTTGATTCACGTCATGAATCACAAAAAATGGAATGCAAATGGACAAAATACATATTGTGGCATGGAAACCCACTTAAACATCTCTTTATCTTATCATGTTACTCCTTAGATAATTCAACTTCATGACATTTTTATTATTTATGTTAGCAAGATTGGGGACAAGTAATTTATTAGTCAGAGATATTGTTAGGGAGCAGCATTGATATAAGCATGTTTTATGCTTGTTTGCCAATCCCGTCCACATCACATGAATAAATATGTTTAAACCATCAGTCAGAGTTTTTTTATGCTCAAATTACAGAAAATAATTACCCTTCCCAAATGTATGTCATACTTTTTTTTAATCCTCTCAGTATCTTAGTAAATAGTATTCATGACCTGCCCCGGGAAGACAAAATGCAAAAGAGCTTAAAGTTTGTTATAAAACTGCTATTTTTTTCATGGCGGTCCCCAAATATGTGTGTGATGTTTCATGACCCTCTCCAATAGACTGTAGTGTTTGGTGTCCCTCCAGTCCACCACACCACCCCCTATAAATGACCAGTAGCTTTAGCAGTGTCTAAAACAACATCTGAATGTCTGAGCAAATTGGTTCAGTTAATAATTACATAGTGCTATGCCTGTTTAAACCATAGAGACCCTTATTTAGCCCTTGCAGGATGTAGATAGTTTATCAAGGAAGTAGGAGTCTCTGTGATGTATACATTTTGTTAAAGGTAGTCTCTCTAGTTGACCTTATTTGCATATTTATTCTATGCTAAGTTTATCATTATTAGTTACACTATCCATTATATGATAGCTATCTCTAGTGTCTGTCATCAAAGTACCATCTAAATGACAATACTGCTGTACATATGTAAATATAGATTGAAGACGGTAGCTGGATTAAGTCATGTATTATTAGGTATACAAAAATATGAATTTAGCCTTGACAAAAAACAAAGATTTCATTTGAACTGAACTGCTGGGAGAATATTCTATGATAAATGTGAAGTTGTTCGTTGTGATTTTCCAAAGAGCAGTGTGAACTGGTGACAGTACAACATGATAAACATGCCTGATGGATAACTGATCAACCCATATCTCATCGTCACGAGACCAAGCGGTAATGACACAGTTAAAATCATGTGATTCAGTTGGTATCAGTTTGCCAGACACATTTCTAGATAACTATTAGTTCATTTACTAGCATGCTCAAGGTGTTGAAGATAAAAACCAACAAAGTATGGTGTCGTTAAAGGCACAACGTCACACCACATTTCTTTAAAAATACACAATGGATTTCTCTCAATAATACTAACTATCAGCCCTCAGGGAAGCTACCATATAATTTTTTCCCCCAAAAAATATTAGATCACAGTATGAAATTAAAAGGTTGGAATGAATTAATGCAAGTTACATTAAATCGACTCTTGCTCTCTCTACTGGCCGAACATTATTTGAAGCTAACCCCATAGAGTTACGACCATTGAAGCGCTCTTTAAGAATATCATATGCACAACTTGTGATTGAAACCAGTTCGGCAAACACTGACAACCCTGTGTGCGACAGTTTTCGATGTACGGAGCAATCATTTACATTCCATATATGGCAAGTCGTAAGGGATAATAAGTCTTTTATTGCATGAGTAGGAAGCTAAAGTGAGGGCAAATGCCCCCATCATATAAAATATAGGCAAAAGTATTGTCGAAAAAGCGTAACATTGTGCCTTTATTTTCCACATGTTTAACGTGTTAAAAAGGTTATTTAGGGTTGAGCGTAACAGGTGCAGATCTATATGTAGGTTAGTCGGTTGCAGGATATTCACTGATAAGCAATAGTTGTATCACCTGAATGCAGATATCGGCCACAGTGAAGAGCATACCATTTGTACACAAGGCCAAATATTTTTTTATAAGAGTAACAGACTTACCAGCAGAAGATTATTGTGAAAAAAAATAGTGAAATATATTGATTATGTTGAAAACGTTCAGTATATTTCCCCCTCCGACTGTCAATTTTATAATGATGTTATTTTTATCCTTTATCAGTTTATAAAAGAAGGGGATATAGTGATCAGTGTGTCTGTCCATCTGTCTTCTGTTTTCTGTCTGTTTCCAAAGCAGACCTCCACAACTGTTGAATAGTTGATGAAAAGTGGAGTACTGGTGCCTTTGGAATATTAAGAAGTTTAATTTTTGAAGAAAGTATTATGTTTTCTTTAGAACATGTTGGACTTGAGGGTAGGTCTTGTTTCACAATTGTGGTGAAACTTGCTACACAGATTAGTCTAATTGTAAATTGGTGCCTTTTGATGATTTTGGTCATTTTAAAGTTTTTGTTTTCAAAGTTGTGCAGTTGTTGGCATGAAGACATGAATTCAAAATACTTGCCTCTCAATGCCTTTCCATCTTACCTGACTGCTCTTTTATCTATTTATGTGGGGCAGTAGGGTAGCCTAGTGGTTAAAGCGTTTGCTCCCAGGTTTGATTCCCCACATGGGTACAATGTGTGAAGCCCGACGTGATATTGCTGGAATATTGCTAAAAGCGACATAGAACTAAACTCACTCACTCACTATTTATGTGATTTACAACAAATTCATGAAATGATATTGTTTTTACACTTCCACCCTATACTATTAGACTTGAGATAATCATGATAATAGTATTATTTTGTTTTACTTTGATTTGCAATATGCCCATGTAAATTGCTCACTGATCATCATCATCAGAAAATCCCACTAACAGAACTGAATACAGTGCACTTATAATAAGGAAACATGCTGAGACAGCTTTTATTGGCATCGTTTTCAGAGAACATTCAGCAGTCCTGATATTACAAATTCCAGTAGGCGTGCTGGATTTCCCCATCATGTTATATTGTCTCTTAAACAGAATCTTCATCTTCATAAGAGCATACCACAGAAAAACACCTTGAATGCCATTCTAGCTCTAACTACTTGGCCACTTGCATGAAGCTATTTATACAATGATCACAGAACCATTACTTAAACAGAGACTTACAATAGATATCTTAGTGCTAAGAAGATTATTAATTAGAAGTTTATCAGACTTACTTACTAAGACTTACATTCGTTCTTCAATTGCTTTACATGTGGGCCCAGGGAGCGAAGTGCTCTTAGCACTAAGATGATGGAACTTATGATACTGTGTGCAGTTTTAAACATTTTGATTAGAACCATTCTTACATGTTTTGCAGAACAGTGTTGCATATAACAGATAACTTGTACTGTCTGCAAGTCCCTGGTCATTTCCAAATTAGACACAAATATGTTTTTCTTTCTTATAACAGAATGTAAGTACATGTATTGATAAAGCCTTTGTCTTGTGTTTGCAGAGCCCCTGAAGACAGTTGATGTAGTTGGTGACTTGAGTGCCGCAATTGGGCAATACATATCAGTCAACATAACCTGTAATGGAAGGTATGTCATCTCTCCATCAGATTTGAAATGCCCATTGACTACCTGGCCCCGGGATCATAAAAAAATCTTAAGTCTAAAATTTGCTTAGCACAAAAAAATCTTAAGTCTAAAAGAATTTGCTTAGCTAAGATTTTAGATAGGACTGGATCATGAAACTCTCTTAGCAAAATCTTAGCTAAGACTAAGACTAAGACAGTTTCTAAAGTTTCAGACACCCATTCGTCTATTCGTAGCATGCATAGGCTCAATACTTTGAGAACATACATGGAAATAGTATCGAAGCAAGAAATAGCAAGATACAATACAGTAATGTGATATGTTTATACGAAATTGTCAAAGTTTCGGTGCAGCGTGATGCCATGACTGACGGAAAATCTCACAGAACAACACCGGTAATGATCAGCATATCTGGCTTCTTCTCTTACTTACAATAAACACGATAAAACATATAAGAATACACAGATAGTCAGATCAATCTGATTACTTACATCACACATTTATGTACAAACGATTCCAGAATCAAGGGAAAGGTTCTCGCAAAATATCCTGTGTACCCATGTCAGCGAAGCCGCCATTTTGTAAGAAAGCAGTCAACGGTAGTGATGTCATATACGTAAACATTGTTGTTACATATTTGGCAATTTCTTTGAGTTGAAGGTCGATTGAATAAGAGTAAACACAATTGCCATGTCCCACCGATTACACTTTCAGTGTTATAATGTATATTTTGTGTATCGTTCAGATATTTTTTCATGAAACTAATTTCATTATCTACATTTAGCCTTGTTCTATATCATGTCCGTGGATATAGGGTATACGGTTTTTATTCTTTCAAGGGTTTTGTTTGTTTGAATAATATTTACATAAGAAATTGACATACTGAGTGTAGTACACCATATTTTAAACCCTTAAACAAGTATTAGAAGAACAAACGTAGGCATAACTGCAACATGTACTTAAATAATTCCTATCATGTGCAATATTCGCCATTCGGATCAATATTACAGTTGCATATGAACAGGTTAATGAACAGCGATTTAACTTTCATGACCCCGGGGCCAGGTGTTGTGAAATATCCTTTTTAATTTACATCAAATTGATGCCAAACAGTCAAACCGTCTAATTATGGATCTATTCAGGACATTATTTAATGGTGAAATCAGTCATTTTAAGTTCTGTCGAAAGAGTATTTAAATTCTGACATAGAAACCGAAACCTTTTTATACAATTCATGGAAATTAGGTGAGATATATACTAATCAGCATAACAATGTGGTCTCTTTCCGACGTTGCAAAGTACATAAAACATTGGGGAACTTTGTATTGGAATAGTTTGGTTCACGGTGAACAAAACATAACGAAAATATAGCGTCTGTATCCACAACAAATTTTCCCAAAGTGATCTGAGTTACACTGACCTAGTATTAAGCATAGCGGAGTTATGTCCCCTTATCTTTATTACGTGCATGACCTCTCTGTCGTCGTTTGACGTCATACAAGAAAACCCATTTTCGACATTTATTGCGAGTCATTTTTAATGTTGAGCATATAACGTTATGCATAAGCAAATAAACCCATTTGATATACACTTATTTCGTTCAGATATCTGGCTGTATTTTCTTCGGTCACACTTTCCCTAAAGATGCCAAATTAAAAAAAATTGTAGCACAGTGCTTTTACCGGTGCACGATCAAAAGCGGAGAAATTTACTGTTTTTTAACGCATAACGAAATTTTGGACAACATTTGGCAGTGTCTATATCTCAAACCGCTGAGGTATTTGTACTTATATTTATACAAACGGATAGGAAATTTAATATTCTACATTTCTGTGTAATTTTATATTCGTACAGAGATCAAGGACCACGCGAGCGCAAATCTCGCAGAACGTTCACTTTTCAAACCTTATGAAAATGTGCGCCTGAAAAAAAGACTCGGCATAGAAAAGGGCTTAAGACTGATAGGTATCAGTGTCAGGATTTAAGACAAAAAATGATCTCAGTCTTAACTTTTATGACTAAAAACTGTACGTGATCCCCGATTTAAGACATTCTTTGGGACTTAAGATCAAAATGACAGATTTAAGCAATTTTTAGACTTAAGTCACTTTCATGACCCCGGGGCCTGTACAAATAATTTCAATTATTATCATATGCATATATGTAATTAGAAAATTTTGGGAAGAGGTTTAATATATTTCTCAGCACCTGCTTAAACCTGATGAACAGATTTATGTAGAATTAAAGTAATTTCAGGTGTTATTTTACACAGAATGAAAATTAACATGCTTCCCAAAGTAGAAAAAGAACATGTCAAAAACGAACAATGTTAAGACTTGTTTAATTATGCAATATGAAACTGACTCTTTTAAAAAAAATTCAGTGATGCTGCATTGAATGATTAGCTGTAACAAATTAATGATTACCAAAATCAGTTGCAACTAATATACAGCCAACATATGCTATTTCTTCCCTATATTTGAATATTTAACTTTACCCCCAGCTACCCTACCTCAGTGTGCTGGAATGTGACTGCCCTCAACACCAGTGTCCCGTCTTCACCAATGTGCAAGCCCGCAGAGTTCCTGAGTACCTGTAACCACCAGGTCCGCATCAAACTGACTGATTTGGGATGGAGGACGGTCAAGTTCACTGTCTACAACGATGTCAGCTACATGTCGTCCTCCTTCAATGTCTATGCGTATGATTCAGGTGGGTCAAAGTTTGTCAGTGTGGGGTGGTGGGGAAGCGTAGTGGTTAAAGCATTAACTCACTCGCTCACTCACTCATGTAGTGTGCTTCGTGATGAGATGACTGCCAAAGTATGAGTATTATGCAAGACAAAACCTCTATATACACAAGGATTTATCTGGGCTTAATTAGATACTGACGTTCAGAGCCAAGTATGCAGCAGTTGTGCATGAAAAGTTATGAACGATGTTCCAATTCATACAATTTACATTTTACCATCATTGTGAATGTGACATTGTATCATTACTGCCTTCCCAGACTAAACATCTTGTTAAAGCCAGAAAGTAATAACTTAAATAAGACATGATTCACAGATGTTGAGTGTCAATGGTTAAGAATGATTAAGTCACAGATCCACAAAGGCTTCTTTTTCATTAAGTGTGTCTAAGGTTCCTGTGTTTCTTCCAGATACTGTGAATGTTCCAGCTCTGACCATACCGATTGTATTCTGCACAATAGGAATTGTCATCGTTATTGTTGGCACAATATACCTCAACAAGTTACGCAAAAAGCCAATCATTGAAGTAGCCGATTTTGACTTCCACCCGTCAATGTCAACGGAAGGGGCAGGCAACTATCTGTACCGACTTGTCAACAAGATGAAACTGATATGGTACAGGAACAGATATTCCAAGAAACACACAAATCCAGATTTCCAGGAGACAACGGCTAAACAGTATGGTGCCACCAACGAGTATGAGAGCTTATAGAACAGTCCGAGTCAGAACATCCAGTGCCACACAAAGAGTTCCTGCTCATTTGTGCACACAGGATTTTATCTTCTCTGTAATAGCCATTGTACACATTGAGACAACGGCTAAACAGTATGGTGCCACCAACGAGTATGACAGCTTATAGAACAGTCCGAGTCAGAACATCCAGTGCCACACAAAGAGTTCCTGCTAATTTGTGCACACAGGATTTGTATCTTCTGAGACAACAGCTAATAGCCATTGTACACTTATTGAGAACATCCAGTGCGGCTAAACAGGTATGGTGCCACCAACGGCTAAACAATATGGTGCCACCAACGAGTATGAGAGCTTATAGAACAGTCCGAGTCAGAACATCCAGTGCCACACAAAGAGTTCCTGCTAATTTGTGCACACAGGATTTTAGCAGCTTCACCCATTCAGTTATTCTTCCTTATTGGAAAGAAATGGTATGGTACTGTTTTTACAAAAAAGCTTCAATATTTGCGGGACTGTAAACAGGATGACATTGAACATTTTGTTGATAACAATTTTGTTATTGTTTGGACTAACATTCTATATTGTCTGGTCTAATATTTCAGGGATACTTATCCCTTCATGAGCTGAAATGAAGTCTTCATGTTGAACTCACTTCTAAGTGACACTCTAAATATGACATGACATTTTGGAATTGGTGCTGTAGATTACCTTCAACAAACTTAGGTTGTATTGCAACACAAGGCATGAAGCCTACTATGCTTGTCTGGAAGTGGTGCTTCTATGTTGTGGATGACTATAACGTAAAGATAGTAGTCATCACTAATGCTGTAACAGGATCCACATTCTTGTGTAAATCTATAACATTCACATTGTAGTTAACTTGATTATCTCATTTGTACAGAAATGTTTGCACTGGAAAAGCATGATTTGGGGATGATATCCACATGCTCCTCAGGTTGCTGCAAGTGCTAGACTGTGATATGACTTTGCAATCCACATGTGTGGAGGATGTTCATTTTCTTGGGATTGTCTTGTCCCTTGATTTCAGTGATGCCAAAATGACACAAATGTTATACACATTGTTAGAGCCGCCATATAGCTGGAATATTGCTGAGTGCGACGTAAAACTAAACTCACTCACTCACATTGTTAGAGTAGGATGACTGTTGAACTTGTGACCATGTGTCTCTGTTTCTCCACTCTCCTACATATCTAGTGTCTAAATTAATCTTAACACACTTCTTACAGCGTCAGAAATTCTGTGCTTTGATTGTATGGCCCAAACTTGTTTATCATTTAACTTCAATTGATAAATCATAATTTCAACCCAAAACAATCTTTAAACGCCAACTGTTTCGAGGTATGGATGTCATTTTGATGTCATGGTGCATTACAAAAATTGTTTGAATTCTTTCAGTAAAAAGTGAGATAATTCTTACTGATTTTGAAAATGAAGCAATTCTTGTGTTATATTTCACATTTTTATTTGTGTTATTTGTTATCACTTGACAATATCATTTTACCAGTATACCCTGTTGAATGGTTTTAAGCTTTATGATGTTTATACTCAGATTGTTTTGGGGACTGATGTTTCCACAGCTAAATATAGTGTGTGTTGAATGGTTATTGTGATCTTCATGAAAGAGCACACCTGTTAATACCAACAGAAGGGTGGGGTTATATTCAGTATTCACATTTTCCAGACTATTTAGGTCAACATGAGAGAGCTCTTTTCAATTCCGTATTCATTATGCAAGTTGCTCAGTGTAGCACAATGTATTTCCATTTTAATGTTTTGGAAGACAAACCATAGCTTCATTCAAACTTAGAACACAAAAGAAGAAACATGTTTGTACATGAGCTCAAAAACTGAAAGGCACCCTTTTACAATAACATACATATACCTACCTTGTGACCTTCTTGTATGTTCCAACTACTGAAGGTTTCTGTTGGTGTGACATAACCCGATGAAGCAGGTTGATTTGTTTTTTTATCATCTCAATTGTTTTGATGTCTCTTAATTCCTTCTCCTTTGGCAAACTGATTTGGGCCTACCATATGTATGACAATACCACATGTTTATATTTGGTAACATATCTGATGTAAATAGACCATTATTAAGTGATGTATCTCATTTATCTGCTCTTAAATAGCCATTGTACACATTTCAGTATTATGTCATTTCTAATGTTATATTTGTGTGTACAGTACAGTGCATGCCAGTGTGGCTCACAACCCCTCATGTTGATTCTCAGGACCAATAGTCTTTTACATGTGCCATTTGCAGTGTCAGCTGGAATATTCTATGTGTTCGATCACATGTTACATTATGAAATCATGATTCCTGTAGACAACAAGTACATGCTTTACATATGATGAATAATTAAATAGCATGATTGATAAGTAGATTCAATTGTGAGTAATAATGAAACCTTTTTGGATCAGCCATCTTTTTTTTCATTAATAATGGAAAAGGTCTAATAGAAAATCACAGATGGGCTGTATGGGAAGAATATTGCCAAAGGCTACATTTGTGCTTCATAAAGCTTTTTGAATCTGAATGAATAGCACATGTATACCAGTTATGTGACACGCCGGATGCAGTGATTGACATGTTTGTGAAACCAAATACAGTACATTGTACATGTGATATGATACAAATGCACATGACTGGAACATATCAGGTTATTAAATGTTTAATAAGGTACACTTTTCGTCAATGGTTATTATGAACACATTCTATGCAGGGTAAAGACCACAGGCTCAAACAAGTCCACAATTTTATGTTCATGTAAGTATTCAACTCCAGTTGCCAGTTTGACTAAAGCACCACAGTTTGTTGTGAGGGAGCCAGGATCTCCTTATAGTGAGTTCAGTCCCAGAAGTGCCCTAATTATGATCTGTCTACACCATACCTATGCTAAGGAGATTCTTCAAAGGCATAAGTATTGACTTTCCTTCTACTTTACAGACTGACATTGAGTGTATAACTGTTGCCAACTTATTTCATGGCTGATTCTAATGGAGAAGCAGCAATCAGTAGATTAATTACAATCAGTAGATACCCAATGAGTTGAAACATTTCATTTAGAGTATGTCATCGGTTCCCAATTGCGTAGATCGATGCTCATGTTGTTGATCACTGGATTGTCTGGTCCAGACTCGATTATTTACAGACTGCTGCCATATAGCTGGAATATTGCTGAGTGCGGCATAAAACTAAACTCACTCACTCACTCATTTAGAGTATATAACAATATGCATTGCATGCTATCAACATAACACAAGACAGATATGGTATGTTCACTATTAGGTCAAAATAAATTTATACTTCATTTTAAGATGCTTTGCTAGAAGATCAAAGACACCGACAGTACTTTATCAGACAATAAAGTACAGCTTTTGCATGACGTCACACTGTATTGACGTCGCAACGTCATTCTCGTCTCCCCCCTCGTTATTTCTTAAGTACGTTATCACACATTGTGCCAGCATGCTAATCATGTTTACATATTTATATACATGTAACTAAATTTGATGACATTATTTCTCCCCAAAGTAGTATTCATCGACTCACTTTCTGGCTATTAAGTATAAATTGTTTCTGGAATTATGTGCTAGCATCTTTCATTTTGTGTATACACCCTAGTTATCAAAAAGCTGCATCTACATGTGGTCATTAGGACGGTAGGGTAGCCTAGAGCAGTTGAACATCACCTATGAAATTATTTTACCATAGTGGCAAATAATTTAACTAAATTATATTTATTTTACTTGTTTTGAATGTTAATAAGTTCAAGGTTGTAGATTTCTCCTGAACACTAAGAGCATACATATCTGTTTGTAACAGAATAGTCTGTGCACAAATGTCATTTTGGATTTTGATTGTATCATCAAATAAATGTTGTATATTTTGTAGAGAATGTACTGGCACACAATTTGTAAAAAACCTGACAATCACAAGCAATCTACATATCTCTTCATGATTAGGACTATGTTTGACTGTGTCAGCAAACTTTTAAACTTTTGCTATGCAAAGGATCAATGTAAAACTAATCGGCAATCATAATATTATGTTAAAAAGGATACCATTCAACAACTACCAAATATAATTATGTGTGTTTTAATAAGAAGTCAGTGTTATTTATTACCCTATGTACCCTATGGAGTAAATGTTTGAAGGATTTTATGACTGCTTGTGTGTGTGCGTGTGTGTGTGTGCGTGCGTGCCTGCATGCGCACATGTGTGAGATGCCATGATGAGTGTCCTTCCCAATAGTTTGTCCTTCCACATCCCCATATTATCAAATCAGCAGACTGTATTATGATTTGAATCCCAAAGTTACGAACTTCTTTCATTGCTGTGGTGTACTTCATCAATATGAATGGTCAAATCAGTCAACTTTGCAGGAAGATTGTACAGTGCCTGAAACATTGAATAAATTTATAAACTACCCGAGTGAATCAAGAAATCTGTAAACTTCACATCATTTGTTTTCTATATGTTTTGTCAATATTTTGTTACTTTTACATGAGATTATTATTTCTATTAACATTGTGAATGATGTGATAGTTGTTGATGTGGGTTATCAAATTTAGTGTAATCAGAGACCATATTATCTATTATATGGTCTCTGGTGTAATCAAGGTGAAACATTGAAACAGTTGTTCCTTTTGTATGTGGTAATGAGTTAAAAAGCTGTTATTTTTAAAAGTGATTGTACAGATATGTATGTGTGTCTTTGCAACTGTAAATATTACTGACATCATGCAAACATTGCTTAAATGAAAGCCTGAATAAACATACTGAGATTGATACATATATTATGTTGTTTATACAGTTTGAACCAGTCAAAGATTGAGCTGACTGATTGTTTTTCAACACTTGTGAAATGCTGCAACTTACAGAGACAATGTTTTGGATACAGCATGTTGTCATGATGCTCTCTTCATGTGGAAATTGTGATCCCTAGAATGGATGCCAGATTCAGTTTCAAAACCAAAGGTGAAAACATCAGGATGTCTTTGAGTCCAGCACAAGATCACATCAGTTTCTGCACAAAATGTCTCCATAGGGATTGTCACAATAAACAACTGAATTGTAGTACAGCTGTTACATTGAGTCTCGTTTGTTGGGTTACTCCACATTCAGCAGTATTTCAGATTATGAAGGTAGTGTGTATTTCAGTCTGAACCAGACAATCCAGTGACAGACATGATTCTATGCAATTGGGATAAAATGACAAACACAAACAAGTCAGCAATCCCCACCCCATTCGATACCTCTTACGACAGAAACAGAGGTCGCTTAAGAGCAATTCTAACCCTGGTCGTGCATTGGTCCATTTAATACAATATATGCAAAGAGGTAATAGAAAGTAAAACATTGATCATGTCTTTTGATTAGATGATAAAAGACGCAACAGAGAAACCAAATAAAGACAAGTTTAATATTCATTTCAATGAACATAAAAATACAGGAAAAAGCAGAATGAGATGAGATCACAACATCCTGTATCACAGAGAACATTAGATGTATCACAGTACTGGTGTTTGACCCATCAGGGCTTACTTGGTGAATTCAACAAATATAGTTTAATATCAACAGTCCTTCTTATTAAATAGCACATGAAAGAGTTACCAGAACTCATACAAAGATTAATAACTAGTTATGTAACCTCAAGGTTTGTATTCTCTTGTGATATTTTTCAGAGTAAGAAGCTGAACATGTCACTGTAATGCTGTGTTTTCTGAACTGAGCATTTTGAGATTATCATTCATTGCAGATTTTTGAAATGGCAAAACTACCAATACAACAACATAGAAAACTGTCATTCTTCTGTATTTACAGAAATTCTATTCTTTTCAGTAATTGAAATTTGTTGCATTTATTATCTCTGTTGCGTGGGGCTTCGACAATGACAGGATTCGAAATGATGTTTTTGTGCTGAAGTCAGTCGAAATCTTCTTCATCTGAAATTGAATTAATAGATTTATCCACATTTGGCCAACTGAAGATATACTTTACAAATGAAACATCAAACACCAGTTCCTGAGTGTATCAAATGTGAATAGCAAACCTTACCTTGAGTACGAGTTTGCATCTCTCCATCAGATAAGACCACTTGATACTGGTTTTCTTCGGATTGCCAAAAGACTGAAACTCAGCAGCCTGTTGTTAAAAAACAGCAATATGTATCAATTAATTAAAATAATGCATTCATGAAAAGTAGAAAAGTATTTAAAAATAACAATAACTATTATTGTAAGCCTTTACTTTGCTGCAGTGCCTGTAAGGTTCTAATGAGGCAACCAGCATGAAGACTTCTAAATTTATAGTACATTCAAACCTGTACATATTTCTCTATCTAAAACACATTCTAAAACAGCTGTTATAAGGCAGTGTTATAGGTTGTGCAATAGTGTTTCAACTGTTATACTTTGTATCTGTGAATTCAGTAAGTAGTAGTGGTGTGCTCTTTTAGACTTGCACTATATTTAGACAGAGTTCTGGAGGCACAGATCCACCCAATATAATTTTTTCTAGGAATTTATTTTTTGTGTTTATAAGGGGAGCTGCCTATTGCCTCTGACATACCAAGCCAGAAGAAGATCAGCATTGTATGAAGTGATAATCGAATAATCGGTCAATCAATTGATCTCGCTTTGCATCGGAGATTATTGCCAGGCTCGGGAGACTATTATCAATATTCATAAAAAATGAAACATCAAATCAAACTTTAAAAAGTATGTTAATTATTGTTATTTTTCTGAAATCATGACATGAACAGCTGAAGTAAAAGTACAATGTAAACAATATACTTGTGTGCGTGTCTCAACAGGAAGTATCCTTGATTGTCTTGATCAATGCATGTTATGATTGTGTCATGTTATTGCCCACATGTTTTGTGGTTGGGTTTATGATTAATTACAAATGTTAATTACAGCACATTTCTTTGCTGTGTGCTGGTTACACACATACATGTACTTCTCTTAGAGATTGATTCCGTGTATACTTTAAATTTTCAAGTTGGGAATCAACATATAACACAACAAGTTCTGAATGTAGATACAAAAGTCTGTGCCATTGTATTGCAAATAATTTATACTCCCACTTATTTGTGAATAACCATGGCATTTACATATCTGTGAACCAAGTCAGTTTTTATTTGCACAAATCAAATTTTCATAATTGAAGTAAGAATTGAACATGATTTCTTTCATGAAGCTGACATCTGATTGGCCCATGCATGTTTCATTTAAATGAGGGAGATGCTGAGGTCACCTGAATCAAACTTCAATGGAGGAGTTGCCACATCTTCAAGGAAATACTGTCAGAGGACACAATCTGATGTTAATAAGATTGAAGAGGTTTAGTATGAAGTCCCATTTGTAACACAGCATTGTGACAGGAAAACAAGGTTAGCTTCCAACTCACCCTACAGCCCAGCACTTCTTCTGCAGGTGCCCCTTGAAGATTACAGTAGTCAAGGGTGCCTGTGTGGTCTGAGACAGACAGCCAGATGTTGAACTCCACAGTAGGGCCAGACATGTCAGTGGCCATTGGGTCACTTCCAGGACATTGGTCATTGGTGCAAATAAATCCTGTATCAGCCTTTAGCTCTCTCTTACATTTGGAGCTGAAGGAAAGAAATGCATGTTTCTAACTACCTCTAATGTAGTGAAAGGAGTATAGATCCATTCTGTTCTTTTAGGAATGTGTTATGTCTCATAAGTATATACATCCATGTCACAATTTTATCTTAGTTGCAACAATCTCGTCAATGTCAATGACATTACAACTTAAACTCTAAAATACATTCATTTAATTAATAAATACATTAAGAAGAACACTATACAGGGTCATGGTTCTGCATGTCAACTGAATATTCTGCAATATTTCTTTGTATGAAAATTAAATACAGTTGAGGAAACCTATGTAAACACTTTGAGTTATCCAAACTTCAACACAACTGAAAAATATATGAATGAAAAAAGCATACACCCAAGCATTTACTTCCAGACAACTGTAAATTTGACACAATGTTGTTTGTATTGACTGTAATTGGATATCAACATCATTACAAAGGTCACTGAATTATTTTAAAGGCAGATATGTTTAAATAAGTATGCATGATTATTACTTGATCAAAATTGAAAATAATTTTAATTTTGTATTGTTTGACATACCATATATTCTTGAATACTGTGTTGTTGTCAGCATCAATGTTGAATGAGGTGACATAGACATACATGACACAGTAGTGTACACTCTGCTCCTCGTCAGACACTGCTGTCTTCCACTGCTTTACCTTCTCCACACTATAAACATCCCTGATGCTTGACACTTGGGAAGGATAGTGGAGGAAAACAAAGTACAATGAGTCATGATAACTCTAAGATATCAAAGGCTATGTGGAACATGGGTTATCTTGTTGTTTCCAGAAATTAACTTTTTCTCATTTGAATGTGTTGCCATGGAAACACGAAAAATTAAGACAGAAAAAAATGCTAAAAGTAAAAGCACCAGTTCAGTACATGCTTCATGTCTATATTATATAAAGTTTCATGAAGATTATGAGTTGTGATCTGGAAATGAAATAAGATGGACTGACAGAATATGTGTCTTTAACCCCCCAAAACTACATTTTGATGGCAGATAGTCCTCAATAAAGATTCAAGTTGAGTTTGATCTGAGACCAAATCAAGGCAACTGATCAAGAAAAGATGTAATGGACAAATACTGCTATTTACACTCAGGGTCCTGTTCCCTCCTGTCAGTGTCTGCCAAGAAGCTTGAGCCCATGTCTGCCTGGGATTTCACAAACTGGTACAAGATATGGCCTTCTGGAGTATCTGTAAAACATTTGAAATAAAATGGTAGGAAACATGTCACCATGTAAATCTCATTATCTACAGTCAACTATACTGAGTCAATAAAGAAACTTCACATTCTTTCTTCAGGGCACTATAAAAGAACAAGAGATGGTAAGATGGTTAAATTGTTATAATTTCATTGCTGAGATCTGTGTGATGTACTCGATACACTGACAGTGCCATAATCAGTTCCATTAGGCTACACCGCCGTTCCAAAACATGGGTATACAGAATGTCAAGTCACAAGAATAAAAATGCGAAATTTCTCAGTTCAATATCGTGTATGGCCGCCCCGCGCATTCACCACTGCCACCGTCTCCTCATCGACTGCCTGATGCTTGTGAACACGTGGTTGGGGATTCTGCGCCATTGCTCTTGCAAGGCAGCCAAGTTCCTGCAAATTCTGAGGTTGGTTCCTAAGACCACGAAGCCTTCTCCCAAGTGCATCCCAAACGCGTGCTCTATTGGATTAAGGTCAGGGGGCCTCGATGGCCAGTCCATGACATTGATTCCAGCGCTTTGAAGGAAATTTCGTGTCAACATCGCGATATGCGTTCGAGCATTATCATGCTGGAACTGTAGACCTGGGCCATGAGCCGCCATGAAAGGAACGAGTTCAGGGGTGAGCACCTGGTCGCAGTAAGCAGCAGCTGTGAGGTTTCCACGGATGACCAGAAGTCGGAGGCGGTTGTTCCCACAGAAAGCACCCACACCATGCAACTTCCGCCCCGAATCTGTCGACTTCCTGTACACAACATTGGGCATACCGTTCATGGCGCCGTCTCCAGACTCTATGCCTGCCGTCCTTGAATCTGAGGGTAAACCTGGATTCATCGCTAAAAATCGACTTCGATTCCAGTCTCTGGGTCCATCGGAGGTGACGTTGGGCCCACAGCAGATGTTCACGCTTGATGAAACGGCGTCAATATTGGCCACAATATGGACGTTTAGAATGGAGATTGGCAGCCCGCAACCGATTTTGAATGGTCTGTGAGGACAGTCGACCTCTAAACATCTCAGCCCTGGTTCGTGTAGCCGGCAGAAATCTGTCACGTAGGTGACGTAGGACGATTTGACGGTCTTCTGCTCGTGGCGTCCACATCGGGGCGACCCGATCTTGGGCGATCAGAAGTGGTGCCAGTTTGTGTAGACGACCTGCGCCAAGTCATACACAGTACGACGGCTGCATCCCATTGCTCTTGGCGGCGTCAATAACTGATCTTCCCGCTTGCAACATGCCAACGGCACGTTCACGTTGCACATTTGACAATCGTGGGCATTTCAAGTACCGTTAGAACTGTGGTTTAAAAGTGTTTTTTCAATTCTTGAGGCCAATGCAAACACGTGCATATGAAGAAAACTTCGATGCGAAGATCACATGATCGACTGCACGTGCAAAACCTGATTTGGCACTAACATCATTTGCACGACGAATGGATGGGTTTGAGCGGGTTTTGCTAACGTTTTTCTAGAGTCGAAAGATAGGGATCCCATTTCGGATACATAGATGTATCATCAGAGAAAAATTATTCATTATTTTTCAAATGACATTTTGTGAAGTTTCTTTTTTGACTCAGTATACATTGGTAGTGGGTATTTAGGTATCTTTCTGACATATTACTAAACACTAAACACTACTGATGACAAGTAGAAGGAAGACATCTCTGTTGACAACACTTGACAAAAGTATTTACTGTATGTGTATTTTCTTTATCCAACATCATAATCATGACTGTGCTTGTGATTGATACACAAACTAACCTGGGTCAACAGTGAACACAGTTTTACTATCAGCAGTTGCAGACATGCAGTCTTTGTAGCTATTGTGAAGGATCTTAACATCTGCAGCAAATATTACTGAAACAAATGTAACAAATAAATCCTTCCAATTTGATCAAAAACAAAGATAATGAATTTTAGTCTGTCATAGAGATCTATAAGCATAAGGAGAAATAATCTTGTGATTACTAGTAACCAACAAGTTACAAGGAAGTACTGTTGTTTGTCCTTATGAAATGAATGGTGTTAACTCAACATAGGAGTAACATGATATCATATTTCAGCAACTGACCAAGCACATTTGAGAATCATGTTGAGAATATGTGCAGTATCAGGAAATATTACACTTGTTCTTTCTAACTCTAAGGTTGATGTATCATAACATACTTGTTTGACGAGGGACCCAGTTCAAGGCAAACTCCACATAGTTGTCCCACCTGTAAGAAGAGTTGATGGTGTCACACTATGTGGAAACAACAGAAGCAGCATTACTTGGTGATACCAGCAAATACTCAAAAAACCATCGTCCTCTATCAGCCACTTGTGGACTTGCCGTGAACATAAACTGATTACAGAAAACTCTGGAACACTTAAGCATGTTATACAATGTTGCTTGTTATGTCTCGTACAAATACTTCACATTAACAAACGATATCACAAGTGACATGTTATTATCTGGATTATTTGCAAGATTGGTGGACAGATTTTTTTCAGGAAATGTACAAAAGTTCATGCTCGGCATGTGATTCCTGTATGGGTTTCCTGTATATACTTAGTCAATATGCTCGGCATGTGATTCCTGTATGGGTTTCCTGTATATACTTAGTCAATAGACTTAGTCTGTCGGACTTCTCTGTTCAAACCTGAAATCATTTGCTGATAAAACATTAAAGGCAATCTATGCCAAGTTTGTTGGAGTCAGCTAGAATTTGTCTTTTGGCATCATTTTCAGCATCTACATATGTATACATACTATCAACAGGTTAACGTTTACTATACTCAACAGACTATAGTCTAAAATTACATACAATCAGTGACTAAAATCACAGTCCAGCCTTGACCCTCCAGAATGAAAAAAAAGATAGGGAAGACAAAGGATGTTGTGAAAAATTGAGTGGTTGTCAACATGTAAAAAAGTTACCATAGCACACACATTCTAAGCTTCATACTACTCATGGTATATAATTATGAATTTAGAAAAGAAATATTTCTTTGCTTTTCTTTTTTTTATTTATGCATTTATTTTTATATGAATCACCATGGATTAATAAAATAACCTTCTCTACATTCCAGGCTAGTAGAGCGTCCATTCCATATTGAACGCAGCAGATGTGTTGTATATCTTAATAAACATGTAATATTGTAAATACATATTTAAGTACATATAATGCATAAATGTTCAGGCCATTATGTCCATTAATTTACATCACTAGTGATCAAATCTTAATGTCAAAATGGGATACAGAATCAAAATATGGAAAACATACTGTTCCTCAGTTTCATGTACATTATTTCAGACCAATCATTGGCCATAAATCTGTTCATAAAGAAATGATTAATGATGAGATGATGGGGCCAGCACCTATAGATAGCAGCTGAAGAAAGTTTACTTACAGAGTGAGTATGAAATTTGAGCAGGTTTCATCACAGAGAACGACATCACATTTCCTGGTTTGTTTGCCTGTTTTTGTGGTAATATCTCTTGCTGGCCAAACCTGATTAAAAATAGAAGAAACAGACAAACTATATAATGAGTTTACATCTGCATTGGTAATTATGAGAATATCAGGAAAATGTGAAAATAGTGCACAACTATGTGGATGATAGGAGGGAAAGATTAACAATAAATTGCTGCATCATGAGAGAGAAATGTATTACTGTTAATGTATTTTCTCAACAGGTTTCCCTTGTCAGGTCTTTAAATGGCATTTAGAAGAGAGATATATAAGGAAGAAAGTTTTATGGATTTCAACTTTTTTATAATGAGGAACACAACCTTATGAAATAATAACTATACACTCTGAACCATTGCATTCCTCATTATAAAGAAGTTAACATTCATAAAACTGGATCTCTTCCTTAGGTTTCCCTTGTGTTGTTTCATAGATGTGGCAGTTATAACTCCTTTAACATATATTTCCTCAATGTCAGAAATATTAGGGAGGAAACATGTTGGAAAGAAAACTTGATATGCACTAAATGTGAAACCTGTTTGACAGCAACAAGGAGATTAACATGTTCCCCCTGTAGCGCTGTGCCATTGACACTGACATCCTCCAGTGTGTAGTAGTCATTGTTAGGTTGGGTAGGAAGGTGTTTCAGACTGTTGTATGTAGAGAGATCCCAGCCTGAGTATGGCTCTACACAACTGTGGTTTTCTGAAAGATTCAGCTGAAATCCACTGGAAGAAAAAGTGGTATTGGTTAACCAGAGAGTTATTCTTCAAATGTATCTTGTCACATTTTCACTTTTAATATGTTTACTGGAAAACCAACTGCTGAAATAATAAGAAATACCAGAGGTCATAAAAGATGATGGTAGATGGTAGAAATTCAAACAGTCCAAAGACATGACTACAGTTATTACCTTGGTGTCCATGGTTTGTATCTGTCATCACTCGGGTTCATTGACTTGCTTTGAACCTGGGCATTTCTCACTTCAACTGTTCACAATGAAGCATAACATAAGATTTATCCAAATTCAAGCACAAGAACTTTTCCATACAAGTGAGTGAATCAGTGTGGTTTAACCCTTCTTTTGAGCAGTACTAGCGATATCATGGTTTGCTGACATAACATGTATTAGGACAGCAGTGATTACATTGGCTATATTGTATCATACAGACATTATAAATTCTTCATTCACAGCTGGTAGATAATATCTGCACACTCATGTGCAGTATTTCATGCAATCATTTTGCCTTTTTGAGCATGCCTATACTTTCATAGAGACATGAACATGATGAAAGTTCTTTGACAGAAAGATACTGAACAACGTTAAGAAGTTACCTGTGGGAGGTACATTGATCATGGCTGATTATTGCAGTTCATCACATAGCGTCATGATACATTACTCAGCATGTCTTTGATATTTAGTCATACTGGATATACTCTTTATATGTGATTTTACATGTCTACAAAACAGTGGAGGAAATCATTTGTATTTAATTGAAAAGAGCTGCAACACACATTTGATTGTTCAAACATTTAATACTCCTGTCAAACATAGAATCTTTGTAATAGCCCAATGCCTGTATTGGCATCAGATCTCACCAATATCTCCAATGTTGAAGGACTGTGCCAGGTAAGTGATAAATCCTTCATTGCCCCAGCATGTACAATTGATAAATGCATCTGGACTATCCCTGAGAGCAAATGAAACCAGGAATCTTTCAGAACCAGAGCCTGAAGTAAAAACATGTATAATTAATTATTAATATTATGCCAGATGCATAGATCAAATCTCACCTGTATATCAGAATATTTAATGTTATGCATCACATATTTAAAATATATTTTCTTGCAAGAGGACCCCACAGTTGATGTAAATATACAGTGGGAAGCAATGTGAAAGTTTACAAATCAATTTCTGCACAGGCTGATCAGGACACGATAACTGTTAATTCAGTACAAGAAATATATATGTAACATTTTCAGTCTTATTTCTATAACCAAATTCCCTAAATGGACATATCAACACATGTACCTATGCTCTTGTCATTCCTGTTTCAATGTATTATTACTGTAAAAGATCTGCAGGGGTTAAAGTCATAGGTCACTGACTTCCGAGATCACATACTGGACACTCCTAAATACTTAGCAAAATGTCTTACTTACACCATGTACATATGAAAATACAGTTCTTGGCATGTTTTTCATTTTTAATGCTACATATTTTATGCTGAAACATAAAATTTGCTTGACTTACATACTATCGTCTTGGACTTAGCATGACAAACTACTCGTATGCATAGACATTGTGAAAACAACTTCACTCCTGATATGCATGAGCTGGTCACATTTAATCAAAATATCACAAGATAGTACTGGTAGCTTGACTTAATACAAAATCCTATATGAAGGGGTATAATGCTTTGAAAACTTACATGTGGTACTTTTTTTCGTACTCAATAAAGCAACTTACTCAGATCAGTCAACATATGTCACTCATTTGTCTTATGGTATTGTTTTCAAGTCTACACAGACCTCTGTTTCAGAAAATACTTACCCTTTTTGCTAATGATTGATTTTGGTCCATCTTTTGTGAGTACTGCTCCAATAAGGTTCTGAAAAAGAAACAACATGTGTACCACAGATCACTGTCACAAATGAAAATAAGTAATTAATGTACATATAACATTGCAATAAATGGCCAACTACACTTCTTGACCAAACGTAGAGTTCCATTTTACTTCAGTGCAGAAAACATAACTTTTTAACAATAATGGAACTTTGGACCTTTGACAGCTATGTTAGTCCTGCATGTATGACGATTATACTTAATTGAATTAAATATGGGGCTTATAAATGTTGATATCATATGTTGTTGTCCCAAACATTATGGATAGAGAATGATCTGCCACTAGGATCATCAGTCAAGAAATTGACTTTAACAAAACTGCTTTCAGCTGTCAGCATAGTTATTGTAACTTTTCAGCAAATCTGGGATTGTAATCATGGTTATTTAGGATGCTTACCACATAGGTAATATCTTGAGTTATTTCATTGATGTTCACTGAAACTCCAGAAGACGATGTTCCAAAACTGTTACTGCCAGCTGATGACCTGCTCCTCTGTTTTCTATTGTCATCAATAGCTGAATATGTGCTGAAGTCATCAAATCTTCCTGACCATGCCATTTTTCATGGAAGTATCTGAGGAAAGTAAAAATGTTTAGATATTTTCACAGTCTACCCTAATTGCCATCACTGTTAGCCATATCTGATGCGATAAAACGACCACTAGGCATAGCAGCTTAAAAAATGACAGAATTAGGTGGACCAAGTCTGTGCAGAAATACAAATATTTTTCTCAATATCATCAAGCAGGCCTAGAATGTAACTTTCCCTTCTATTCTGTATACATATATTGACGATACTGTAAAGTTCTTCAATTTGCTTCACATACTTATTTGACAGATCAAAAAAGCGTCTGCTACTCAAGTTGTTTATATTTGACGCGCACGTGCACTTACCGGAAATAGAAATACCGGAAGTGGTCATAAACGGTTGGAACGTATTCATGTAACCTCCATGGCTCGACATTTCATGGTTATATTGATCATGAGTCGGAATGTACCGATATACTCTGAGTTGCACGATAGATAAACATGGCGGATGAAAGCGATACGGGATCTATTCAGAGTAGCCAAAGTGAACAAGGAGCTGAAAAGAAGGCATTTGAAGATTCTCGTTTCTACGCATTGTATATATTTTGTCCCAAAAGGTACAGATATGATAACTGACGCGCCCGGCTACTCCCTCTTAATCTGACAAGTGATTGACGACTGGAATCAGTTCCACTTGTCTCAGATTTGATTGTTTCCTAAATTTTCCCCGCGGATGTTTCAATGTTTCCATTACATAGATAGCATTTACTCCAAGAAACAAAGAAACCCTGTTCAAAGACATATTGCTCAGAAATACGTAATGGTGCCCAGATTTTGAGGTGACCTGAGTCAATCGACATGTCTAATCATTATAGACTTGAGGTGATATATCCTCATATGCTTTTTGCTGCTGTCGAAAAACGTAAGATGTTTGTAAACATATGTTCTCATGATAAGTTTTGTTTATTCTCAAGGGTTTGAGAGACAAACTAATTAACATTACGCCCCTGCACTTTGACAATAATGATGATGACTTTCAATATCATGTTAATTAGACCGTCTCCCATGCCGTCATATTATGATTCCGTGGTACTTATATTTCCGTGGTATTTTCTAATGACATATTTTCTCACGAGCCACTCACCAAATCGTGCCACCTATCGATTATTTACGTTCATCAGTCGATCGTCACGGCTCTGAGCAAAAAATGTTCAGACTTTGATCAATTTGCGTACGTACAGTCATCTACTATTAAAAACTAATGCAACTTTATGTATAACCCGTTTGTGTGATGTTTACAAACATTTTATATAAACTTATTCAGCTTCAAAGTTTTCCAAACATCACTCGTATGCTAGCTGATGTAATCAATAAAAATAATCACGTGACCTAAGGGGGGAATCCCAGCTCTATTTTTTAAACTATGGAAGACCGAAAGGTTCATCTCTTAAGTCGTTTTTTCACTTTTCATTTCACGTTTTCTGTTGATCAACTCTACATACTTTGTGAACTGGAAATTTATGATGAAGAAATGTGACTTTTGTGTTAATTCTACAAAATCGTTGACTGTATTACAATTTATCAACTTCGTTATTACTGTAAACCTACATTGACACTCCTGCATTGGCTGTTGGCAACGTGTGAGAATGTGACGTGCTGTGCGCCCGTAGTTTGATCTGTAGGGAATACCACGGAAAAATATGACGTCACCAGAGTTTGTGCACAATGGCCGCCTGTCGTCCGATACGGACAACAATGAACTTCAGAATGACAAAAGTGTTTCATTGACATTAAATGATACAAAGGTGTGTCGCTTAACACTATGTTATGTTTATAGAACTTGACAATATCAGCGATCATATTCATAGTCGTAAATTTCTTAATAGCACGCGAGGGTATTTTGTTTACAAACAGGATAAAGCACTTTGTTACATTTCTACAGGTCTCGTGTGACTGGAGAAGATGCTGACAGCTCAAGCCACTCTGAAGATGGAAATCTCAGGTCTCTCATGATGGATAACTGTCTTAACATGTTAATCATGTTTATGACATAATTAAGCATTGCCTATTATGAACTGGGTTCACAATTTATTGTCTTCTTGTGCAATTACAAAACGTTCATTATTTTCAGTCATGTCTTCCAAAGTAATTACACCCTAGATGATATGGCTGCAACCTTGGAATGGTTGCACACAGATTTACTCCTAGTACATGTAAAACAAGTGGTTTGCTCAAACTGAGTGTATGTCTGAAATTCTTCTCCAAACTTCCATATTTCTTCTTGAAAATTTGCATATATTCCATCTGGCAAAGTTTAATGTTTAAGGGTCATCCTGATGTTTGATATTTAGATTTTTTCCTGTTCTTTTAATCTAGGTGCCCCCTAAATCTTTCACTATTACTATTATAGTTTTCACATGAACCCATGACTCTCATACTTACTTTGAAGATAGCAAGGGATATATATTCTGATGACTTTGTTTCTGATTTCAGCCTGACTGTGGCAGCAACCAACCTATCTGCTGCAGCTGAAACTGACCTGAGGAAATCCCTGTCTCAGAGACTTTCCAAATTTCCTAATAATCCAAATGAAGGGAACTTCCTGTCTGTTGGATTAAGGTTAATAGATCTTGTTGATTTCTGGAAAATGTCAGGTTTCAGTAAATTGCTGGTATGATCACAGACGTGGAATAATGCTGCTTCCGAAAACCTATGTCTCCAATCATCTTACAAGACCCATAGAGGGTTTGTCAGATCTTGTTTGATAGAGGGGTGGTGGGGTAGCCTAGTGGTAAAAGCGTTCGCTCGTCACGCCGAAGACCCGGGTACGATTCCCCACATGGGTACAATGTGTGAAGCCCATTTCTGGTGTCCCCCGCTGTAATGTTGCTGGAATATTGCTAAAAGAGGCGTAGAACCATACTCACTCACTCGCTTGTTTGATAGAGGTACTGGTATCAGATTAATCAAAGTAAACAACCAGGCTCCGATTTCTCGAAAAAACTTTAGTTTTTACTCAAATTTCAAACTGAGTTTGACAATTTGAAACAGCTGATTTTTTAACTCAACTGCATTTTTTTAAAATAGCAAAGCCCAAACAACTTAAGTAGCCTATCTACCCAACTCAAATTGTCAACTATGTTTGAGTGTAATATCGATTTCAGTTCATTCTGGGAAATGCATTTTCCTGCTTTTTCTCAAATTTGAGTAAAAACTCTTACTTAAGTCAAAACTCAGACTTAAGTTTGTTTCGAGAAATCGGGCCAGATCTCTTGAAGTGTAAAATTGCCATTTTCCAGCATGAGTTGCAAAAATGTTCACATTTCACAAAATATTTCTTTCTTAGAATAAAATTGTGTTACATTTGCAAGTTTGGGAGTGAATGTTTATGATTTGTTCCCCTCAGTACAAGTGACGAGTTGAGCAACTCTGCAGTGTGCTACTACTGTGTGCTAAATGGCGGCACGGCCGAGGTGCTGAAACAGGACACAACTGTACCGGGAACACAATATGTCGTCAGCTTCATTTCATTTCACGACAGTTCACTGGACTTATATCCTTTTTCATTTCAATGGGCATTGCATGAAACTATGAACATTGTTACCTGGCCTGTGTTCCTTAAATAAACAGGTTAGAATTGGTCACCAGCAACATGCCAGTATGTTGATCATGAGTGGATCATGTGGCTTTATGACATGTTTGATTGCGTGTTTTAATACTCCAGTAGCATGGATTGTTGCTCATTATATTAACCACCAGTTTGCCTTGTCAAGACTCAACTATATACATGCTGCTGTCGTTCAGTCGAAATATTGCTACTAGTGGGAAACGGCAAACTGATCAGCCCATCAGTGTTCTTTGGAATGTGGTATTTTTTCTTAGAGTTCGTAAAGTTTTTATATCTGTTATCAAGCGTTTATCCATGACATCATGTTTTTCCTGCTTTAAGATAGAGTTTCTGAAGTATGACATCAAGACAATACACAGATTTTGTACAGCTTTTAGTTTTTCATCAGAAATGAGTAAACAATGACGAAATGTAACCCCAATTCCATCTCTTAAGTCACCACTTTTCTCAAGCTTCTAAAATATTCCAGCCATATAAACAAGTCTTATACAGTTCAAATTATCATTTAGCTGGTAATAGCATGGCCGAATATTATGTAAAACACTAATTATATGGCAGGTGATTACTACTGATAGCACTGTTGGTATATTTTCCTGACTGGGTTACATTCCGCCCGGAGTTGGACCATTATACAGCTGGCATTGTCAAGCTTCTGGATGCTGAGGTAGGTGAAAGCAGTAATGGTGTGTTCTCAATGCTGGTGTGCCGGTTTCCATACACCAAGTGTACTCTGTCTGCAGGACAAGATGTTATGATGTCACTAGGCCTATGACTTTACAAATTGGTTTGTGTCAATATGACTTTTTGAGAAAGATAATTCATTATAACAGTGTTACTTACATTAAAGGTTTTGCTTCAGAACAACAGTGATTAGCTATATAGTTAAACTATTACAAAAGTTTCAATATTGACTAGAGATCATGAAGATATGGAGACAAACAGGAACCAATAATGTGCCTGTTCTTTTACTAGAAGCCAGTTTCTATTGTGTGAAAATAGGCACAATTGAAGTTTTATGTTCAAGCAACAATTGGTTTTGTAAACCACATCAGATTGGCTTAATTTAACTGCATGGAAACATAATGTTTGTTTTTGACATAAGTTTTGTAGATGCATGATCTAATTTCTAGTTTCAAATGTCGAACTAATGTACTAGTATTCTACATCACATCAACCGTAATGTGTTGTTATATACCAAACAGGATTGTATTAACAAAATGTTTTTTCTTGCAGTGACAATTATTTTGCTTCCATTCAGAATCTTTTTGTTATTTGATGTGGGATTGCTAGTTCAGTAGATTTTGTATACTAATAACAGCTCTGAGATGTTATCATGTTACTATCTAACCAGTTTTGCACTTTTCCTTTGCAAAGTTTTGCTATGGAGGAGTGGTGGGTCGTATGACAATAGTTTAATGCCTTGACAACAGTACACAAATCACCCACAAGTTTTCTAATCATTTTAGACACATGTTTGGGTTGATGCTGCACCAATGTTTATTTTTACCACTTTGCATGTCACAAGTTCTTTCCTCACTATTCACATTTGCACCACAGACAAAAAGACACAATATAGATGAGAAATTTTCAATTTAGATAGAACATATATGTTTAAAAAAAATTTAAATGACATTAATGTCGTATCTTATATATTTGTGAAAAGAGGTTATGCAGTTTTGAAAAATAGACAAATCTTGAATTTAATATCTTTGATTCCTAAACTTGATTATCTGCATTCACTAACTTTATGTTTATAGATTTATATACATATATTTTTAGTGACAACACATTTTTATTGAGTATATACATATATTTTTATTGATGACAAATGTGCAATTGAATCCATACATGTTATTGAAAACTTACTATGATGAAACAGTTGAAAAACTTTTGTCATCCACATGTCGTTTTTGTTAATTCAAAATTTTCTACATTATCTTTTATATCTCTACACAAAAAAATGAAAAGGGATACAGAATGTGTTTTAGAAACAGGTTCACATTTTGATTCTGACGAAGTTCAATGTTCCACACATCCTAGCCTCTGCACAACTAACAAAATCTTAAACATCTTCCTGAATTTGTCCACACATGTTGTCTTCACCGAAGCCTAAGTGATCAAACTCTTGTATAAAATATGATAACAGAATTCAAGCCTAGCCAGTCAAAAGCAAGGTGACATACCTTACACTGACTACATATATTTTGTCTCTAAAATACATACTTTTGATAGAAGCATGCAACTGAATTTGAACTGAAAGGTGGCTCCAGTGAGATTGAAAAATGTGTGGAAAATCTAGACTTACATCATTTACGGCTATCAGTACAGTAAGGTCTGGGTAGAGGGGGAATGAATATAGGGACTACAAGACAGACAACCCTACAGTCCGCACATCTGTAGAGAGTGTGTGAGCACATGTCCGGGAGACTCAGTCCACCACCCTCCACCTCCTCCTCCAGTGTCCTGCATGCTTTGTCTCCTTCAGCCTGCAGCCATTAGACAGACTTCATCCAAGTCCACCAACTCCGACTCCGCACACCACGGGCAGGTAAACCACTCACACACACATTCCTCAGTGTGTTACCATTGTCCCACAGTGGGACATTAACATTGTAGGAGGATCTAGGCAATGTCCCCCTGTTGTAGAAGGCTTTGTGTTCAGGGCAAGTCTTTGAAGAAATAAGTATAGGGCCCACACTGAATGTATCACAAAATGTCTTGTTTTTACAAGCATTCGTTTTTCCCTTACTGTACAATTCTGAAATTTTGAAAGTCATGTTCATCTTCCCTTTATACTACAGCTTTAAGCATGGATAGAAAATGTCAGTCAGTTCTTGATATTTCAAGAGTATTGCAGAATGTGGCATTAAAGATTTATCACAGGGAAGTAAATCACTGTGATGGTTGTGGATATGGAGATGCTAGTATATTTTGGGGTGTTCTAGTCTGAAGCGTTGTCATGGTGATTGGCTTGTGGAAACTACCATGCCATGTCTATACAGAATCGGGTGTCGTGATCTTACAGCTACATGAGTTTGTTTGCAGTACATTGACCTGATGAAACACATTTCTTTGACTGATAAATCATAAAAACATTGTCAAATTATTTATGGAGTGAAATCAAATCAACATATTGCTTTCTACAACAAGGGGCTTGTTTGAGATCAGCAGGATGAAAGTTATGTAGCTCTTGTAACACACTGGAACATTCATGTGGGATTGTAAAGTTCTAAGTCACACAAACATCCATGGGTTTTGCCCAAGGCTTAATACCGAGTACATCATTTATGCATATTGGAATACTCATGTCAGGAGTAGCATTTGAGACACTGTGGTTAATGGTGGTAATTTGTCCCAGTAGTTGGCAGTTCAGGTGAAATGTCCAAAATCCGTTTTAAAATTATTCCTTTACACATGGAATAAGTGCTTCATGTAAAATTGAACAATTCGAAATTCTTACACATTATACCACTGAACTGATGCAGTGTTTCCGTTCTCTGTTATATACCTGAAAATCGCCGGTAAAATATGTTGGGGACCGGTAAATTGAAAGCCAGACCGGACATTGTGTCCGGTAAATAATCATGTATTAAAATAAAAAATTGTGGGTAATCGAGATGACAGTCTTGGCTGTGCTTTTTCATGTACCCAGCTAAAAAATAATGTTATGTTTACAGAAATACCCAGGCTAAAAATAAATGTTTGAAATGAGTACTTAACAGTCTGGTAACAGGGCCAAATAAAACATAAATGTTGTGGTTCCGATTTTGACATGCATTCGAAACTTTCAGAACACTCGGAAATCTTCGGATATTTCCGCTTTTAAATTGTTCCTTCCCTTGTTTCATTTGTGCCAATCATTATTTACATTTTTATTTTGTCAGTTAGGTAGGATTTTTTTTTTGCTTTATAAATTTTTAGAATTTTGTAAAGAGTACAAACTATTAACACATTTATTAAAGTGTAATTTTTTATTCAATCAAACTTGTGGCCATCATGTTGACTTTATCAGAATGACCGATGTCTCTCGTTGCCGGGTAAAAACAATAGTATTGGATATCTTATTTTTTTCATATCGCTTAAAAAAAATAGGGTCAGCACCAGAATTCAAGGGTCAGTCGGGTAATTGGAACCACAACATTTTTATTTTAGGTCTAGGATATGACCATCAAATTTCATGCATGACCGGTAAAATTTTAGGCCACCAGACACAGTGTCCTATAAATAATTTAGTCAGTGGAAACACTGTGATGTGTTGCTCTATTTACATGCGGTGGATTTAAGTAGGGAGAAGTTATTATTCTGCAGTTGTTTAGGTCCTAAAGAGTGTTAGTAACATAACCATAGTATTAAGGTTGCTTTGTACAGGTGGGCCCTTTTTAAATGTGGCTTGAACATTCACTCAAAATGAAATTTTCTGTTGATTCACATCTTTTGGAGAAGTGGGATAACCTACTGGTTAAAGTGTTCTCTGCAGAAGATCATGATTCGATATCCCACATTGGTACAATGTTTGAAAACCATTTTAGGTTCCCTTGACAAATGTTGATTGATTATTCCTGAAAGTGACATAAAACATCTTTGGAAATTTGCCCTTCAATTTGTCAATGAATTGTGCATGCCTAGCATGAATCACGGTTGTTTGCACTGAGTGGAGACAATGGAAAGCACCGATTCTTGAAAGAACTTCAGATTGGCTGTTAGTTGTAGTTTCTTTGCTGATGAGATAGCTGTACTGATTTACTGCATGGCATGCTGAAAACACATTTCAAATTTAAAATATGTTCTTTTTAAGGAGTAAAACACATTTATATTAATTCTTAAACAATATACATGTCAATCATTTTATTGTTTCTATTACTAGAGATATGGGTGGCCAAATGGCCAACCTCAGTTCGATTGTAGAAATATGTCTTTTGGGTATGCTTGAAGCCTGTAAGTGTGGGTTCAAATACAAGACTCCCTGTGATTGAGCTTCCTGGTTTTACAGCACTATACCTGAACTATACAATATAATGTAGTAAACAGACCTTCAACTCGCTGACTGAAATAGTGTTCAAAGTGGCATTATGCCAAACTTTCTAACATTAGAGCCGTTACAGCAGACTTGTAAATTGACAGGTTGACATAGGGCCAACATTTCAAAATGGCGATCTTCTCAACCCCAGTACTTCTAATCTATGTATATCCCTGGTTTTGTTTTGCTATCAACTATTTGCCCTCATCATGCTTATTTTGAGCTTCTTCCCCATTTGGCGGTGTAGGGACCTCCAACTCTCTTGGGACATTCTCATTTAATGGTGAAAGAATCAGTTTTGTTCCACACTCTCATTTTGATTAGTTTGTATGGTGAGAAGAGGTTTACAATAGTTTATGACTCCCCATTTAGTTGTCTTGCACCTTAGGCAGGGTCAGTGTAGGTTTGCAGGTTTTTATTGCAAAACTCCAGACTTGTTGATGGGTACCTGTTGGTATTCTGATGGTCAGACCCAGTGATTTGATTGATGATGTGTCATCATACCATGGAGTGGATCATGGCTCATGATATCAATCTGTGGATTGTATGATCCATCATTTACCTATGGCTCAATATTGCTGTGTGGCATTAAATATGTTATGCCTGAAACACTGATCAAAGGAGCATTAAGCATAATTCACTTACTGATTATTTTGTCATTGTATCAGGACAGTGGATTGATGCTCACATTATCAACCATTTGGCTGTCTAAATAATCACCTGTACATAAGTACTGATAGAAGAACCCACATTAGAACGGGGTCAGATGGCCAGGTGTGCTGGTTTGGTTGATGCATGTTATTGTACGCCATTGCATAGGTCAATGCTAATGATGTCAATCACACCGCCCAATTGCATAGGTCAATGCTGATGATGTCAATCACAGGATTGTCAAGTCATTTTATACAAAAACAAGCAAATAAACTTATGGAAGGTTATTGCCATTCAGTTTTGTTTGAATTTAACCTGATATAGTGTAAATATTCGATTTGTGTTTTGAAATTCATCTCCTTGTTGACTCTGTTGCTTTCTAAGAATACTGAGACCTCTATTTACATGTCCTTGTCGTGTAGCTGAGTCAGATAGATGGCGCTGTCAAGGACTACTTGGAACGCTGGTATGAGGTGGTGTTGGAATACCTGGCTCGATGTGTGGCCAAACTCGGATCAAATGTGCACTACCTTATATATGCGGTAAGTTTCAGTGGTGGCTAAATCCTAAATCACCATATACATTGATTTCGATCCCCCCTCTGTTGTCAAGTTGTTAGCGCAGGAGACAGGAAGGTCAGTGTTTGATCCCTGGCTGCATTAAACCAAAATACAGGAAAATATGGTACTTGTTGTTCCCCTGTTTGGCACTCAGCATTGAGGATTGAGGATTGGCTGGCTTGGGGTATCCATATGAAACAGCACTATGGCATCTCAGTGGGTGAGCACAATGATACCAACATCAGTCCGGACTAGAACAGGCAAACAATGGGGATAGTTAATGATAATAATAAATGCATATTTATAATGCGCCCCTTCCACACCCTTAGGCATGCTCAAAGCGCTACAGAATATTTACACAGGTGTCTTTACAGATGAAGTTATACATAATATACTGAGAAAAGGTTAAAAACTTAAAAATGTCAATTGTGTCAGAGCTTTTAAGGGCACATGGGAGAGAGTTCTATAGATATACAACATCTTTATTACAATATATGCGACACACTGGTGTAGATGTTAACACTGTTATCAGCAAGTGTTAGCATCTACACTGAAGAGTCGCATATATTGTACTAATTTGTAGTAAATAAGTTGTATTTCTATAGAACTATCTCCATTGTTCATCACACCAACTTCTAAATGCCACTCAAACTTAGTACAAGCAACTAGACAGGCACATGCACACACACATACAGTGGAATCTGTCAAATCCGGACTGTGTAATCCGTTTTTCTCCATAATCCGGACTAAATGAGTCCTGGCCAAATTGTTTTTAATTTATCATTATAGCATGCTATGTAATCCGGACTCTCTCAATTACGGATTACACACTAAAAATAATAGTCCAGACAATCAACTTGCTGTGATAACAATGCTTTGTAATCCAGTCGCAGCTGACTAAAATAACAGTCCATTGAATAAACATCTCTGTTACTTCTGTTCACAATGGTTAATGACTGAAAACATTGTATTACGTGGAAATTTACAGAGGCAGAAGCAATTCATATTAACAGACTTTTTCCAATGAAAGTATAAATAATATATTGAGTTTAAATAGGAAACAAAAAAGAATCCCTTATCAAAGGGAGGTAACTAATCGTGGCAGTGAACACGATAACACACAAAAGTTGTCTAATCCTGACTGCTTTACAAATGAGACAAATGAGTCGGTCCCAGGCTAGTCCATAATAGACAGGACCCATGAAGATCCAGGGTAGAATAGATCTTCAGCAACCCATGCTTGCCACAAAAGGCGACTATGCTTGTCGTCAGAGGCGACTAACGGGATCGGGTGGTCAGGCTCATTGCCTTGGTTGACACATATCATCAGTTCCCAATTGCGCAGATCGATGCTCATGCTGTTGATCACTGGATTGTCTGGTCCAGACTCGATTATTTAGAGACCGCCGCCATATAACTGGAATATTGCTGTGTGCGGCGTAAAACTAAACTAACTCACTCACTCCATAATAGACAGATTCCACTGTAGTTACATAGGTACAGTGAACTAAAGTCATAAAGAACTCAAAGGGGCCACTAATTATAGTTCGTTATAACCATAGTCGTAACACACCTTTTGACTAAAATATACAGCAAGAAGCCACTACCAAACCCCCCACACACACACATCTCCCCCCCAAGTTTGTTGTATCCATTAGTTTGTCAGGTATGTTTGTTATAAAGTAGTTTACTGTACGATATTTTTTAACGTGTTGAATGTGACATAATTTTTATCGCCATTATCACTTCCTGCTAGTTCATTATACTGTATTACTTGCTGCATAAAGTTTGGTTATTTTTAAAATTCATGTTAAAATGGCATTAATGTTAAAGTTGAGTCTGGAAAGAGCTAACGTCAGTATGTTGATGTGATGACAATGAAAGTTTCTGTTTGCATCTTCGACCATACAGGGACTGTTCATGTGTGATGTTGTAGGCGCTGTTGGATGCACAGTTACAGATGAAGGGGTTCACCCAGCAAGAGGAGGCAGATATTTACAAGTGGGTTGTGTGGTACTTGGTTACCATATCTGGTTGAATAGGAATATGTTTTAGATTTTAGATTTGTGATCAGGTAATCAAGTTGCAGCAGTAAGGTGTAACTGCCGAGTCAGCATTCAGAGAATTTATTAACACATCAAATGAGCGGGTGATTCAGATTGCCAACCTTTGACTCTTATGAAAAGATTGTCACTCCTTAACAACATTTAATTTCTTACCCCTGTTCCTTCTTGGTTGGTTTTGGGGCGGTGGGGTAGCCTAAGGGTTAAAGCGTTGGCTCTTCACGCCAAAGACCCGGGTTCGAATCCTCACATGGGTACAATGTGTGAAGCCCATTTCTGGTGTCCCCCGCCGTGATGTTGCTCGAATATTGCTAAAAGCGGCGTAAAACCAAACTCAGTCAGTCAGTCAGTCTTGGTTGTTTTGTTGTTTAACGCCACACTCAGCAATATTCCAGCCATATGGCGGCGGTCTGTAAATGATTGAGTTTGGATTAAGACATTCTAGTGATAAACAGCATGAGCATTAATCTACGCCATTGGGATACGATGACATGTGTCAGGAAAAGGCTAGTTAGTCGCATCTTACGACAGGCATGGGGTTTCTGAAGACCAGTTCCAACCCGGATCTTCATGGGTTTGTTCTTTCTTTTCACATGTGCACATCAATGTGAAAGTCGGCAGGATATACCGAGAAGTTTCATGATCAGTAATGGTGGAACTGATTACTTTTTCCCCTGCAGGTTTGTGAAGTGTTGCAGCTTGTCATCTCTAGTCCAGCAGCTTCAATCAGATGAGACCTCGAGTAAAAGTGATGGTGATCTCCTCCTCAACATCGACACCAACATCACCTCTCTTCAGTCTGTCACCGCAGTACTCACAACCATGGACAACACTGTCATGTTTGAAGTTGATAGTAAGTTTTACTTACAGAAAATATAATCAGACCAATATTATTTGTCATAATTATTACATCATGTTAGTTTACCTTGAACAATATAAGAAAACTTGGTATGAATCATATTAGGGTCGTACATGAATGGTATGTGAAAATAAACCAAAAAGTACATAATAATAATAATAATAATAATAATTTGCTTGTATAGCGCCTAGTTTCCATCACAGATGCTCAACGGCGCTGCATACATCGTTAAAAACACAATAAGTGTGAAAAGAGTTCTATTCAGAAGCCATATAACACTGTTAGAGGGCTTTGTTTTGGATTGATATTTTTTTATTTTTGGGAGATGGGGTTTGTCCCTATGGGGATTTTGTGTAAATCTGGGCCCCGTTTCAGAAAGCTGTCTTATCACTACGACTATCGAAAGTCTATGTTACAGTATAGGAGGTACGACAGTCCTAGTGCTACGGTAGCTTTTTTAAACAGGGCCCAGGTCCTCAGTGTCCCATCGAAGTGGTAAGAGCTGACTAATGAGGATGTGGTGAGAACAGTGTGCATCTTAATGACCTTTATACTGGCAGAGGGGATATAGCTGCAGGGGTGGAAATAACCCATTGCCCGATGTCCGAGTCAAGTGTATTTTTCTGTTGGGCAAGCAAATTTGTATATCACACTGTACCGGTGTCCAGTTGGCTTTCCAATTTTATTATATTGTTTATTTAAAATCAACAAGAAAATGGCCGGTATAGTGGAAGAATTATCAGGGCAAGTGATTTTGTATGTGCCACTGTACTGGAGTACACTAGCAATTTTAAAGTTATTTCCACCCCTGAGCTGGATATAGAATACTCTGGCATAAAACAACAGCGAAAAATTGACGGTTTGGGTTTTCACTTATCTCACAGAATATGCTCCTTCCAGTGTAAGTGAAATAATTTGTACACCTTCAACAGATTTCTCGTCAACCTGCCAGTTCTGCAAGATGGCAACAGAGCATCTGATGTCTGGAGACCCCAAGAACGTGACGAAGATCAAGGAAACCCTAGAGTCAGTTAAACTAGCAGTAAGTGGGAGATCTATTTACTAGGGCTGCACAATATAACCGGTTTACTGGTATATATTGGTTCAGACATGAAAACGATACGTATTACGATACGTTGATTGAAAACCGATATTTTGACATGCATTCGGAAAATTCGTAACACTTGGAAATCTTCACATATTTCCGTTTTTCACATCGGAAGTCATGCATTTGTTGTAAAATGGCAACCCCCAACAATGAACAATTTATTGTGGTGCCAAATACTAGGGCAAAGGCTTCAGTATGGCAGCATTTGGGGTTGAAAAAGTTCACGGTAGATGGAACTATTGATCAGAGTAACATGGTATGTAAAATATGCAATGGTAAAGTAAATTAAAAGTTTTTATTAAAGCTTAATCAGGCATAGTGACTTGTCGTGTTTTTGCTTTATAAATCAAGCATTAACTTCTTGCAATATATTGCAATACATATCGCAATATATGCTTTTGCATCACAATATGAAAATTCTCTGCAATACCCTCCCTTACTATTTACTAATATTGTGCTATGCAAGGATGAGTGCAGAACCTACCTTACCAACATTGTGGAAACATGCCCACAAACATTTATGATTACCAGACAATTCATTTAGACTGAATGTATGTCCATGTTCATACTTCTGTTGCGATGTTATATAGTATGTATAGTAATAGGCACAGAAAATGTATTGTAGAAGGACATAATTCCCACTTGTTTTCCGTTGCAGTTTATTCACAATTTGAACAAACTAAAGCGATTCTTGAGGCAGGCAGAAACTGACCATTATGCATTGTTCAGGTGAGTCCACTGCCCAGACAATTGTAAATTACTTCTTCACCTGATTCAGATATATACTCTGTAAATTTCTGGTCACACAACAGTCGCTACTGAAATGTACATCACTGTCATTGGATAGAGTTAGCTCCCCTTGAACTCTTAATCACATCCTTTTCATCACAATAAATGAGGCCAAGCATATTTTGGTTTGGGGATCAAAGAGGGAATTTGCGTAGGTTCTGTCAAGAAAGTATACTTTCATGATGATGGTATAATGAATGGTGTAATCTATCTAATTTATATGAATTTCTATAAAATGTTCAAGAAAGTAGTTAAAACTGTACATTATATCTCAGTTATAGTTTGACTTTACCATATTTCAGATCTCTAATATATCTAAAGAAGAGCGGGGCAGGTGACCTGTTGCTCCGGTACGTCCACCTGGACGCCAGCCCTGATACTCTCAATGTACTCACAGTTCTACAGGATTTCATCAAGAGCAAAGGACAGGCTCTGGTCTGAATCGAGTCTGTTTTCACTAATCTCTAACACTGTATTAATAAGTAACCATATCTATTATTTGACACGTCTAAATTTGTCTTGAAACCTAAAAAACATGTAACTTGTTAGTCCTATTGCCAAGTCAGTTTTATCACTTTGTGTTGCATTTACTGAAGAGTTACACCTATATACAGTGAAACCATGGTAACAGGATCTTCTGTTCCTAATGAAATAGTTTATATTAGCAACATTTTGGATCAACAAGGTCAAATGTTCGTGTCCCTTCGTAAACACGACAGTAGTTTTCTTCTTTGATGGGCGGGGCGATGGGGTAGCCTAGTGGTTAAAGCGTACGCTCGTCACGACGCCGAAGACCCGAGTTCGATTCCCCACATTGGTACAATGTGTGAAGCCCATTTCTGGTGTTCCCCGCCGTGATATTGCTGGAATATTGCTAAAAGCGGCATAAAACCAGACTCACTCACTCTTTGATGGGCATTTTAGAAGTTGAGTTGATGAAGAATAATGACAATTATTATGGATATACAACTTCTTTTATTCTGTGGAGGCGACGTTTCGACATAGATTTTAATGTCGTTGTCAGGCAAGTGGAATGTTGCCTCCACAGAATAAAAGAAGTTGTATATCCATAATAATTGTCATTATTCTTCTACGACAGTAGTTGTCCAGGAACCAGTTTCCAGATTAATATGGTCAACGCAAGTCCAGTTTCTATGATGTGACCAATCTCCTGATAAGAGCATCATCAATTAAACTTGAAGCAAGTGATGACTAGAGGGCGTGGTTTCTTACAGAAACGTGATGTTTGGATGTCGGGTGTTTTACAGAGCACAGTGATGCTGTAATAATGGTAACTGCAGTGTAAGACCCATCGTCATCATCGACTTTGTGTTGACCCACATCAGAGCTATGACACCTCACATCAGAGCTATGACACCTCACATCAGAGTTATGACACCTCTTCATATAGAACCAACATTACACCTGGGCTGTCTTCCAGTCAAACCATTCCATGTCAAACATTGTATAATCACTGACTTTACCTGCGTTGTTATAAAGATTATACCACTTTGTCCAACAAACTTCCATGTGCAATAAACAATGTGCAGATATTGTCTCTGTTACAATCCCACTAGTCTCAAATCATGTAAAATGGGCGTGTTAATCTTACATGACCTCGCTCGTTTACCTGTGTTGCCCATCTGTGTCCAGAAGCTGATGAGACAGCACTGATTGAAAATACCCAAGAATGTCTAATAGTATTACCCTGAAAAATAAAATTACAACTTCTAGCAATACCCCACTCCCCAGATGATGGAAATTCTACCCCTTTGCAGAGGTTTACCTTGCTTTACAAAACTAAGGGTAGAGAGCACCCTCAATGACTAGTTTTAAGGGTCCTTACAAGAACTAGTAAGGTCCTGTAACGCAATTAAATAGTGTAGTTTACTATATTGGAAGATGAACATTTATCACAGGAACCGTATTTCAGGTTGAGAAGTTAACATAGGGAATGTTATTATGCTTCCCTTATTGTTTCTGCATCCTTTGTATACAAGTGGAGCACAGTGGTGTAGTGGTTAGCATGCTGGCCTCTCACGGGTTCGGCCCGGGTTCAAATCCCAGTGGAGACACCAAAATTTGTGACCTGGGTCTCATACTGTGTTGTGTCCCTGGGCAAGGCACTTCGTCCACATTGCACTCAGTCCACCCAGCTGTTTAAAATGGGTACCTGAAAAGCGGATGTACGGACCTATACGGTCACGCTTAGCTCTTAGTAGCAGCTTTGAAAGTACAATTCCGTCAGGGTAATAATGTAATGCCAGAGAACAGCATCGCGTTGGATTCTAGGAGCAAAAACTTAGCATTATTTATTATTAATATTAAGTAATGCATACTGGATGCACATACAATGTATCTGCATCAGGTAAAACTGGACTGGGTCAGCTGGCTACTGTCATACCCTCTCTTCCATCCCATGCAGCTGTTGTGTTGGACTTGACTTTTACCCTCCTGTTGTGAAATGACTAATGAGGTTCATTCAGAAATTTAGTGGATTAAATTTGTCATTTTAAAAAGTCATTTAAAAGGGTATCGGGATAGTTCATGCATTCTGTAAATATCAAATGCTATGTTAACTTATTGCTGTGATAATGCTCATATCATATTGTTACTTGTATATATTGTTTTCTGAGCAAGTGTTAAACTTCAACTTGTTATTGTTATAACATTGGGAACAAGAACATCAACAGTCCACTTCACTGCCAAAGCTTCTTAACTCGAGCTGGTGACTTTCTTTTGTCAAAGGTGTACTTAGATTCCATGTGTCTCTTGTATTCCACTGCAACAAGTGTTGTCTATACTTTATTTGAACTTAATATACAGTTGAATAAACATAAACAGTTGGTAAACATAAAGTGGTATATTGCAGCCATGTAGCAACTGTGTAAGTGTGAAGGTTAGTGTTCAGTGCGGACTGAACAGTTGGCTCAAGGGAGATAAATTTGTCCTGTTTCCCTGACCGAAGAAAATCGTTCAGCCAGAAAAATGAATCAGCTGAAGTTGTATACATATTACTGCATTCAAAATACATTGTTACATAACAGTGATGTGTGATCGAATGGGAATACTCGCTGACTTCAGTAGGTCAACGAACATGATGTCACTGCATTGTCTTGTCCAGATTCAATTATTTACAGATGGAGTCATGTGGCTAGGATATTGCTGAGTGTAGTTTTAAACAACAAGCAACTGTCTTTAAGTTAAACTTTCTTACAATGACATTTCAAAGAGAAGTAAACCTAGTAATAAAATACATGTTAATGCATATAACTTTTGTAGTGTTTGTCTTTTCTGTATTTGTGTAACATGTAGAGTATGTATATATATATACATTGGCCATCAATAAATCAGTGTGTATTTAATATTTGTTCTCTTTGTTAATGCTGTCTGTGTGAATGTTTGTCAAGGAATCTCCAACAATCATCTTATGAAGCTGTCCACCATTACAACTGACATTTGCCAGGAGAGTATATGTTTCAAGAAACCTCACTAACTACCCAACTGATGATTTATTTTCACTCTGTTTTGTGAACAGTCACACCTGAACCCTGTGATTTTACCTGGCGAAATGAATGCTGTGTCACATAATAAGAATATTATCGAGTATTCCCATCTGGAATTAGAAACAGGGACGTCTGGAATTTGAACCAATGATTTTTTTTACTCTTCAAACCGTCCCTACACAGACCACCCGTGAAGATCCGGGTTAGAATTGATCTTCAGTAACCCATGCTTGTCATAAGAGGAAAAACGGGATCGGGTGGTCAGGTTCGCTGACTTGGTTGACACATGTCATCGGTTCCAAATTGCGTAGATCGATGCTCATGTAGTTGGTCACTGATTGTCTGGTCCACACTCGACCATATTGCTGGAATATTTCCGAGCGCAGCGTTAAACATCATCCAATCCAGTCCCTACCCAGTCCTTTTCTATTCATCTAAACAAATAAGAAAACTAAAGTCACAACATACCTTCTAGTCTGTTCATCCAAGACGTGAGAATCTAAATGTTCCATCGCAAGGTTTAATTATTATTCGTCGGTTATCAGTGAAGACAATTCTCACTCATCCACCACAGGTTCACCTGACCACAGCTGATGCCATCATGACATAACTGTTTATACTACTCAGAGTTTGGTGAGGATCAGGTTTTAATGGTATAATAATTATTGAATAAAGGAAGATTGAAATATACCGGTACACAATGATTGGTTATTCTATTTTTCTGAGTCGAGTTGCAAACATATTAGGTGTCCGCCAAAGTTTGATCAGCAGGCCATGGAATCGATACTATATGTTTGGACCAGCTACCCAGAGACAGAGTGCCACCACACAGTGGAAAGACCTCATCACTTCCTGACTGCCAACACTCAGAAATGACCTGCGGAGCGACAGTGACGTAAACATTTCTACGCAGACAGTGTGTAATCGTCTTTGTTAGGTTTGTCTCCAGTAGCGGAGGCCATGCTTTCGAATCCCACTCACCCAACATCACCGTCAGGCATGTTTCCATTAGACTAAACAATTCACAGACTGCGACCGGATTCCAGTACGTTTCACTGACAAATTTAGATACTGTCTCAACTTTACAGATTTCCAGAGTGTAGCACAGACAAGGAGCTTCCATGATTCCAACGTAGCCGAACATGACCGCTATGGACAGGACTCAATCGTGATTTGATTACGGATCAGTAGAGTTATAAGAACCTACCTTCATGTCTTACATCGGGTGGTCACTTCATCGGAAACAGTCTTTATGAGTGAGTGAGTTGGGTTTTACGCCGCTTTTAGCAATATTCCAGCAATATCACGACGGGGGACACTAGAAATGGGCTTCAACAATTGTACCCATGTGGGGAATCGAACCCGTGACGAACGAACGCTTTAACCACTAGGCTACCACACCGCCCCGAAACAACGGTGCCAGGCAGTGATCGCAACATGTGGATCACATATGCGCTACTGAAAGTTTTTTTAAACAATGAATTTGTTTGTGTTTGAGGCGGATTGACTCATTATTGGACACACACTGTTTGTTGACATTCTGTTGCCCACCTCTCTTTGACTTATATTTAATAAACATGTCTTTACGCAATATTTCTTTGACTAATTCAACAGATACACACATTTTGACCTTTTTCCTTTTTAAAGTGGTGATCCTTTGCAAACTTTGAGTAGTATAGATGCATTATATGAAAACCTAACCCATTAAAAATGAGGTTGTACATGTCAACCAATATTCTTAAAAAAACATCGCCTTCATTAATCCCCAAAAGCCACGAATTCAGTCACATAATTACCTCTTAGATGATTAATTGCGGAACTCTCATCCGACGTTCCTCACCACTGACTACAAATAATGACACATATCCCTACCCATGTCAACTTAAGAAATAACAGACGGCACTGTATGTCATAACCAGGTTCATGATAAACAGTAGTAAACACAATGTTGTTTGCATATGTTGAACGAGTGGGCGTTGGGGAGCTCTAAAATGACTCTCAGTCAAACCAGATTCCATGATAAATGAACATGATACTGTTCCCCTGGAGCTCAGAAGATGAAACGTTCCTCTTGAATGTGGGACTCAAAAGTCGAACAAATCAATGTTTCCTTGTTGATGCTTCTTCATCTGGTGGCTGGCAGGGACGCTACATCATTATGTCACCTGGAGAGACTGTCAGTGGGAGGAGAGTGTTTGTTCTTGCCAATGAGTGGCATTGTCGATACTCCGATGCAAGGAACATGTTCAAGAACACAGCTGATTCATCACGGGAGATTTTCACCAGAGACGCCTGGCGGTTTCTTTTTATGTTGTGTCCTGTCGGTAACGTTTGGTTTTACCTTTCAGAAGAAATTTGAATAATTGTTGACAGACACATGCAGTCTTATGTGCAACGTGATTTGCCACAGAGGCAGGCAGATATTCAGCTCAGTGACTTGCGCATTTCCGCTGTCTTAAACAAGCGGGTGGATATATAGAAGAATTACCAAGTTGTTCGTCAATCTTACAGTTTAGTTATATCTGCACGGTTCCAAAAGAACACGGTGTACATTCCCCTTAGAACTTTGTGGTTACAGTGAACTTATCATAGGTTCATCACGAACTCTGTTACCAGGTAGACACAGTAAACGAAAAATGCAAGTTTATCCTTCAGCATCTAACAAGCTTTCCATATCGGACGCTACGGAAATATGCAAGTCCATCTTCAGTATCCCAGCCGCCTGTTCTGGGAAGGCCAAGGAGAAACTCAAGGTATTTCTAACTTGTCTCAGCCTCACGGGATTCCTTTATTACAAACCAAAAAGGGATGAACGCAGGACAAAGGATCTTCTATGTCAAATCTATTGTTCAATGACCCTGCTGATTATGTGGATCAACTTTTGTTTTTCAACGGTATACTTCAAAGACGCGACAGTCTTTGATGGCGCCCTCTGTAACATCATTGTCTCCACCGTCTGGTTCTTCCAGGCGGCCTGCTTTGCCACCAATAACTTTTTCCGTTGCCACCTCGTGGAAGACTTCTTACAGGATTTGGACTCATATCTGTCTGAAGTCTCACTCAACATGTATAGATCCCTGAAGAACGTCAGCCTGTCTTTGTCCGTCTCCTACATCATCTGGCTCGTATGCGCCTTTACGTTTGGTGGGATGTCGAATCTGTTCGTATCTGACTCCCCTTTTCCTGACACGGGTTTTGAAGCTTTCGTCATTCTTAAGATCTTCCTTGCAATTGTGTACTTCTATTTCGTGTCGTCATGGTATCTGTTGATGAGTCTGTTCGTCCTCCTCAGCTACATCTTGTACCGTTCCTTTGCCGACCTCAACACTCGCATATCCAACGTGGTGGACCAAGAAGGCTGCTGTCATGGTGACCTTGAACGTTTTCGTCTGCAACATCACAAAATCTGCCTGCTACTGGATAAAGCCAACACAATCTTTTCAGTGTATGTACTGATTACTATTGGAACGGTTATCCCGTTGATTGTGTTTACACTCTATTTCGTGATTTTCGAGAGCATTGAAATTTACAAGTTCTACGCTGTCTGGTGGTCCGTGTCCCTGGCCGTTCTGCAACTGTCTGTGGTCTTCATGTCTGGGGCGCTCGTCAACCATTATGTAAGTTGGTTTGAATCACTTCTTTGCTCAGGACGACACCAGGGGCGGATACAGCTTTTCGAGAAACGGGAGGGGGCGAAGGGTGGGAGGTGGTGCACACGCTTGAGAAAGGAGTTGTGCACACTCACTAAAGTTTCACGAGAGTTTCGATGGTCATTTAGAATACTTTCAGGACAAAAGGAGGGGCGCACCCTGCACACACACACCCTATGGACTCGACTTTCTTAGAACGTAAAACTGGTGTATGATGAGGTTACATAATGCATAAATTATACTAAAAGTTATCTGCACGAGTATCAGAAGTTGTCCAGTCCATTACTTGTATGTTTTAATTTGGCTGATAACAACACTAAAATGTACAGGTGAGTCTAAACATATAGCCGACTTAAAACATTACCAGGAAGCTTCTTTCAAAATATGTCCTTCCACTAAAACTGAATTGTTTTCAGGAAAGGTGCAGGATTAACACAGGATAAACATTTTCAACAATATTCTTTTTGAGTTCAAAATCAGCCTTATTCGCGAGTGTCAGCCATACTTGATGATGGCATTTAGGTTTAACGGCTAAGATGACTTCTCTCTTAAATAGGAAGCGGGTTAGGTAAACTGGGTCAAGGTTGTAAAATTACAGGTATTTTATGTAGTCACACGAGTCCCAATATTTATACATGTACAATGTACTAATATTACAAGAAAGTTAACTAAGTTTACTGAAGGTTTAGTTTCATGCAGTACAGTATAACGTACTGTCTTACTTTTCCAGGCCCATGCTTCCCTTTGGCAAATCTTCGGGGTTGACCTGCACAGATTCACTCCAGAACAAAGCCAGCAGGTGAGTAATATCTTCACTCTGATACGATATCCGATGGTTGACCCATGAGCCACCTTGGTGGTGGTGTGGATACAGCTTCCACTCGGACAGTGGTTCGATCCCATAGCAGTGCCATGTACTAATAGAGGTTAAAAGATGGTAGTTTTTGTTTCCGTGCCTGTAGCTCGACAAGGATTAAGGTAAGAACGGGTTAACACGGGTCAGTACACTGTGTCAAGTGGTAGCTATGTTTAACATGGTGTAGTCATGGGTCACCACTTGCCCATTCTGGGACAAGGTGGTTGAGAATGGCGGCTCCCCTCTGTTAAACTGAACCGGGCTTGAAGTTAGATTTCCAATTGACTACAGGAGTTCCCAACTTGGTGTTGTATAAGTAATGCATATGAATGCTGCCTTGAACACGATTTTAGAATAGGAGTCTTATCGTTTCCTATAATCGATATCCGAGAGGTTTACTGTTTCTTACGATCGATCTCAGAAAAGGTTGCATCTTGAGAGAAATGGTGGAATCATGGGCTACTTGTATTATATTCATTGCCAACTAAATTTCCCGACGTCGTTTTCAGCGTTGACGTTAGAGAGTGTGCCCAGTTTAAATGAGAAATAAATAATTACACGTTAGATACCGTTTTTGTTAAAACTGGTGTATTTCAAAAACGTTTCCTAACTGATTTCTCTGAATAAACGGTGTCTACTGAGGACTAGTTCAGTAACGTATTTTTCACCTCTTGTTGCAGGCTTGTATGTTTGTGAGTCAACTGACCAGCCATCCTATCGGTTACACGGCCATGGGCCTGTTTGTCATTGACAAACCAACAATCATAACGGTTCGTACATACATACATCCTACATGGAGTGTTCTCTTTTTGCCTGCAGGTATTGTTTAGGGATTAAAATTAGTGGACCGTACTACTGTATTATGTTCAAAACATTTCTGAGTGGGATGTATGGGGTGTATTTTCTTTTATTCTGCACTTTAACTGGCTTTAACTGCATCCCACTTAGAAATGTTGTGAACATAATACAAAACTTCTCAAAGGCACGCTAAGAATCGGTTGTGTGTATATGCCGTTTAACCGGTGCTTGTAGTTTATGGTTCGAAATTACCGAGTATACTTTCTTATATTATAGGCATATAATTGTGATATTTATTTACATAATTGATATGAAGCCTAGATCATTAATACGGGTAATTAAGACGTATTGGGAGACAAATTATAACATGATTAATAATATCTTCAAAGTAGAAATTCAGTAGCTGAGGAGAAATGGTTGGAGACGGGAAGGTTAAGTTGGTACAATTTGGGAGCCAGGCGAGAGAGGTGATTTTAGATCAGCGCCAAGTGAATATAGGTGAAAAAGATGGTTATGTCATCAGGGCGGAGCAACGGGGCTTGGCACCTCGTTGATAGTAAGACAGAAATGGTCAGAAGCGAGAGGGGCAGCAGTTCTTGGAATCAGGGAAGATATACATGGTCATAGCTAGGGAGAGTAAATCTGATGTTCCTGGAATTCACCTCACAGTCTTACAAATAAGGTATTGGGGGTAAAGAAATGGAAGGGGGGGGGGTCTGCAGCGAAGGGAAAAGGTTACCGTCCAGTACAAATACAAGAATCTTGATGCCTGTGACGTAGGCAGACTGCTGCGAGACTCGAGACCTGAAGTCGAGAGTCTGGTGTGCTCCTCGGAACCCCAAGCCTGGGGTCTAGGGCGCGTCCACACTCATCTGAATGTCACTAACTTTCGTACTAAGAAACAAACTCAAGGCACCCGCATTTCGATTGAGGCTGAAGCTTGCGGTTGAAGTCTCCTAATTAAGTAACAAATTAAGTGTGGGTTGGACCAGCAACGCAGTGTTAATAAAACTGTGGAACGAAGATCATCATCTTGTGGTTGCTGGAGGAACTACGGTAAAGGCCCAAAGGCCCTAGTGTACTGACATTGTACATCTCGCACATCCCTAATCGTCAGGACCGAAGTACGAGGGTATACCGTAGTTCCGGTACAGGAACGCCATCCCAGGTGTGGGATAACTGACAGGTAACACAACTACCTGTCAGGTAAAAGAGCGTCGTAAGAACCCTTTGGACACTTAAACCTGCTTCTTCATTATTCTTCACTGTGGTTCGTAATAACCGAATTTTGTTTTCCGCAGTGCTTTCCCTATACATCAGCTCATAGTCATACCTTATGTATGGGATTTATTTAGATATGATATAACCGCACCATGATTTGTTTGTTTGTTGTTTAACGCGTATTCAGCAATTTGACGGCAGTCTGGACCAGACAATGCAGTGATTGATATCATGGGCAACGGCCTACGCAGTTTGGATACGAGGACATGCGTAATCCATGTCAGCGAGCAGGGCCACCCGATCCCGTTAGGCGCCGCTAATGCCAAGCATGGGTCCAATTCTAACCCGTATTCCTTACCCTGTATTCACCAGTATATGAACCGCGAGTTGATATGTAGATAGTGGAACTTACCATAGCATGTACCGGTTTGATAAGGGTTTTCATTGAAATAGGGAACATGTCAGTGGAGGGAGTGCCACTCCTGGAGCTACCAAACAGGAGTGGAACATTCTGCGGTTTGTTTGTACGTTCTGCTCCCTCCACCATTGTTGTACCTGACAGTGATACGTTAATGCTGTTGATATCGTCCCTCTTGTGTTTCAGTTTGTGGGTACAATCATCACGTACACCGTAGTCATCATACAGTTCAAACCCGGAAGTGAATGACGTGATCCAAGACTGCACCTCCATCCTCGCATACAGCATCAACAGCGGCTACAGTGACTTCATCGTTTACAGCCACTTACAAATAGACTACACCTCCACCCTCGTCCACAGCATGAACATCGGCTTCATCGTTTACATCTACTTACAATCAGATGCACTCTACTTTCTTAAGGAGAACATACTGGGAAGATTCTGGAGCTGCCCCGTGACCATCGTTTCTTTGTTTGGCTCTGCAATGTCCAGCTATATGTGAACGCTGTCTGTAAATAATGAAGTCTGAACTAGTGATTGACAATGTGAGCATCGATACACACAAATGGGAAACAATCATCCAATCAGAGCCTATCGATCCGATTCCGTTGGCTACTCACGACACAGTTGGTTACTGCAGACCTATTCTACAGCCGGGGTCTTCACGCGACTAATGACAATTGCTGTTACCAGAGTATAGGCTAGAAGTCGGACAGTATGGTGTGCTTATCCCACAGGTTAAACTGTACTTAAATTAGATGTCACTGAATGCACTAAGTGCCTATACAATATAATACTAAATGTTGACGTTATATTAGCACTGTTTGAATCTGTTCCCTGTGTGAAGCTGTGTTCAAATAAAAGAAAATAACTCTAAGTCTTACCCGAGTTTTAATTGTTAACTATTGTAAGACAGGGAAACCACGAATACTCAGTTGACAGCAGATGGTGTTGGTATTTGGTATGACGAATTAGCTTGCAATTACGGAACGTGGATAAGGTTATAAGTCAAGTATTTTAGAAGGTTCAATGCCTACACTAAATACATACCTTCAATTTTTGGTCAGCTGACATACGGGGCGTAGATAATCAAATTATTAGTGTTTGTTTGTTGGTTAACTCAGAAATATTCCAGCTAAATGGCAGCGGTCTGTAAATAATGGAGTCTGGACTAGACAATCCAGTGATCAACAGCATAAGTATCGATCTACGCAATTGGGATATACGATGACATGTGTCAACCAAGTCAGCGAGCCTGACCATCCGATCCTGCTGTTAGTCACCTCTGACAAGCATGGGTTGCTGAAGACCAATTCTAACCCGGATCTTCACGGGTCAAATAATTAGTGAATTATAAGTGAAATAATTCCGAAGGTAAATGTCTGCACACAGACAACATTCAATCTCTGATCAGCTGACCACACTGCGATGGTATCAATCAGTTGACGGTGACATGACACCTGAAATGAACAGAAGAAAACTTGTCAGGGAGTAAGACTGCATGAAGGCTGTCACGCTATATCATGGCGGCATGTTGTTAACCGATTCGCGTCTTCAGGATCTGAGATTTTGTTTGTCAAATCAGTGATTGAAAGCATAAGCACTGACGGTACAACATAGGCGGAAGGCGGATCCAGAGTGGAGGTGGGGTGGTGTGTGTGTTGGCGGTTACAAACACCCCCCACCCCCACCCCCACCATTTTTTTCCTGAAAGTTTATTAAATGACCACTGAAACTCGGGTGAGAATGAAGTGTGCACCCCCCTTTTCTCAATAGTGTGCACCCCTCACCCCCTTTTTCAAAAACCTGTATCCGCTCCTGTACAATAACGCGCAATTAATCAAGATCTGTATATATCGTATCTGTATACAGACTCACGTATTTTACCTCAATGTCACCCACTCACGCATCACCTCTATTTCCTCACGCATTATTGTTGAACATTTTTATAACTTACTATTTGACGATAAGATTATTAAAACGGTAGAAGATCATAAACATTTGGGGATAATACTTTCATCGAACGGCAAATGGTCATCCCATGTATCTAATATTGTATCCAAAGCCTCTAAAATGATTTACTCAATGAGAAAACTTAAATATATTCTTAACAGAAATACACCTCTAAAGATTTACACAGTTTTTATAAGACCACACTTTGAGTACGCATGCGAAGTCTGGGATGGCTGCGGAAAAGAACTAAGTTTAAAATTGGAAAGGCTCCAGATGGAAGCTGCAAGAATTATTACGGGACTTCCCAAATATTCTTCATTTAATTCACTGTATTATGAAACAGGCATGGAAGCACTATCAGAGCGTAGAAGAATAAGAAAATTGTCTTTGTTCTACAATATTCAAAACAACAAAAGTCCAATCTACCTAAAAGAAATAATTCCTCAGAACGTGGGCTCCAGGAGTCAATATAATCTAAGAAATTCAGGCAATATCTGCTTGCCAAGAACAAGAATAAAACATTCTCATGAGTCGTTCTTCCCATCAACTATAAGATTGTGGAACAATCTATCTACAGATGTAAGAAATTGTACTTCACTATCAAAGTTTAAATCGAGCATAATAACATCATATAACTCAGCTCCACTGTACTTTTCTTACGGTATTAGAAAAGTTAACATATTACATACTCAACTACTTCATGAAGCTAGTAGATTAAGTTACGATCTGTACAGAGTAGGGCTAATCACTGATCCATCCTGCGCATGTGGAAACCCAAGCGAAAATGCTCATCACTATTTCTTAGAATGTTCTTTACACAATCAACATAGAAAGATCATGCTTAAAGCTATTCAAGATGTATGTGTTAGTAATTCTGTGATTACATTATCTGTTATTTTAAACGGCATTGCAGATCTGACAAATCATAAAAATGAAATTATATTAAAAAATGTACATCAATATATATGCAAATCTAAACGATTCCAGTAGTCTTCTCTCTATACACCTTTTGTATTATAGCATTTCCCCCTGTTATCTTTCAGTCTTTCTCTGTCTCTGTTTCTAATAATTGCTTGTGATGTAATTAGTTATTGTAAATATCTTCGGAGAGGGGTTTAATAAGTTGAAAGAACTTGTCCCCGATCCTTTTCACATTGTGAATAAAATATGTTTAAACTGAAAAATAAAAACATTTTTATAAACCAGAGACCATATATCGGTATATGGTCTCTGTATAAACTAACACCAAATGACATAAAAAAACCCCACATCTTTAAATAACCTAAAACCCAATTGTTTCTGTGGGGGCGGTTTGACTGCTATGTGTTAGATATAGATATATCCGAAGTTCTAAAGTTCATGACCTCAAAACTGTGCGAAAGAGACCGCGCTGCGATTTATAACCCTTCGTCTATACAGATGGTTCACGATCCAAATATTCTTCCAAATATATTTCTCATTAATCCATGGCCTTGGATCCTGGAATATATGAAGATGTACAAATTGTGATAGCTAGGTAAGCATAGGCAAGACTTGGCCGGACTAGGTTCGATCCTGTCACTAGCCACTATTTTCTAACGTTGTCAGGAGTCATAAGAGTTAGAGTTACCTCCCTTGACTAAGGGCAAAGTTCTCTTTGGTGACAGCAGAGACCATATAATAATATACGGTCTCTGGTGACAGCTGTAATTGGTATAACCTGCAGCTTCATTAGGTTAGAATAATCAATATTCTGGTAACATGATATCATAGAGTTGAATAACTTTGTTGTATATTTTTTGTCAGTGTAGATCTAGAACAACACTATGGGAAGACGCAAGATTCCTCTACAACCACACGGTTTTGTTAAGCCAGGATTTGAGCTTGTATGGCAAGTGTTCAAGTAAGTGCTGATTCTCAAAGGCAAAGACATTATGCATATACTGAACCACAAAAGAAACGTCGCTTTTCAAAACCAAATGCAAGATTTTTTCTTACAAAATGGTGTTTTTATTATGATTGTATCGTTTTGTTAACATGTTTTTCAATCCAATTTGACAGTTATTGCCAACATCAGTGAGTTTTCTGATGAAAAAGCATTTCGACCAAACGCACCTAAAAAGGCAGACGTGGTAAAAGGTTCCATATGATATTCGTGAAAATGAAAATGCACGTGCATGTCGTGACAACCCTACCAATGAAAGCGGGTCCCAAACTTGCCAGAAATTATTTTTGTTTTGACACAATTGTCATGGCACAAATTACTAGAGATCAGAGGAACCAAGTCTTCGGACGATTGCAAGTTGGCCAGACTGCCAATCATTTGAGGTGAGGTGAAATTGGGTTTAACGTCGCGCTGGAGAATATTTTGCTCATATGACGACGTGCATGCGTGTGTATGTGTACGTGCAGCTGCTTGTACTAGCCCAGACTGAAGCTGGTTTTATAGTGCTAGCCCATTGAGATACCATGCTGCAGTGAAGCAAGAATACCCCACTCAGACACATTATACTGACTCCGAGCCGACCAGTCCTTGTTGTACCCATGAATGCCGAGCACCAGGCAGGGACCAACGCCAATCATTTGAATGTTCATGTTAGGACAACCTACCGATTGCAGGAGTGGTATCGGGTCACTAACAGCATCCAAGACCGTCCACGCAGTGGGCGATCTTCAGTAACATCACAATGTGAAGACCGACAGATTGTGCACCACCATCTGCAGGGTCTCTTCCCCAGAGCGACGGAAAGAGCACGTCAGACCATTGGGACTCACAACAGACCCATCAGTGGCATACAGTGCGTCGGCCTTTGCACGGAAGAAACCTCTGCTGTCACAGATCATATTGTAGTCCTGTCCTCACCAATCATCACTGCCCAAACCGACTGCAATGGGCAACTCAGCATCGGAATTGGCGTTATCGACAATGGAGAACTGTGTTTTTTCTCATGAAAGCCGATATTGTGTTTCGACAGTCGATGGCAGAGTGAGAGTATGGTGAAGGCGTGGGGAACTGTTTTCCAATGAGTGTATTGTTGAAAGAGACTCGTGGGGTGGTCCAAGCATCATGGTGTAGGGAAGAAATCGGTCTGAACAACATAGCTGGCACCGTGGTGTTCCAGAATCTCGGTCCAGGATGAGGAAATGACGTGACAGTTGCTCACTATATTGACCAAGTCATAAAACCCCACATTGTACCACATTTTGGACGTTACAGAAATCACATCTTCCAGCAAGACAACGTTCGTGCCCACACTGCCAGAGTAACATGGGACTTCCTAAAACAACATGGGATCAAAACTCATACATGCAGCCTTGATTTGAGTCCAATAGAACACCTTTGAGATGAGATTCAAAGAAGACTGAATCACCGCCACCCAAGGCCGACAACTGCTGCTGGACTCGATCAGGCATTTCACAGAGTATGGACCCAAAGTGCTTATGGCCTTCATCAACCGGCTAATTCATTCCATGTACAGACGATGCAACGCTTTCATCGATGCTTATAGAGGCCACACACAATACTGACTTTGGGGTATCTTAATGGTACCATTTTTGTTGATTTTGTTTGTGTGAACTCTAAATGTGATTCCCAAAAATGTGTTAACCATAATTGTCAAGTCAGAACTCAATCCTCCGTTTTGATTGTTCATTAGAGTGAATTAAAGTGTGTGCTTTAAGAAACCGCTGTCAGTGCGACATATCTTTTGTGGTTCAGTATAGTATGCATTTGCTTGTTGAACATCGACTTAAAGACTCACCAACCCTTGACAATTATGTCTTTAGATGGGGCTTTCAAAATGATTCTTAATGGATATATTTGAAGAAATAAACATTTGATGACATGAAAGGAATTTGTATGTGCACAACAGATACCATGTACCAAATCATTCTTTTTGAATGCTCACTTTAATTTACTGGGGAGCTTGGTTTTTGTTTCTTTTCTCAACCATGGATCCTTCTGCAATCTTTAATTTTACGTTAATTGATTTCTCATATTTGTACAATTCTTATGTTTGTGTTTGTAATTATTAGTTTGATATTTCAGAAACAGCCTTGAGTCAGGCAGTGAGAAGGGAGCTAGTTTTGCCGCCTACCACAAGGGGGAGCTGGTTGTGAATGTGTGGGGAGGCTGGGCAGACCAGGAGTCTCTCCGACCTTGGAAGGATGACACAGCATCTTTCTTCTTCTCAACAACAAAAAGTTTGTCATCGGTGGTAATTGCCCACCTTGTGGATAGGTGAGAGTGATGGAATGGGGAGGTTTGCCTGAAACATATTACACTGAAACTTCACAAAGCTGACAGTTGATTGTAGAAGTAGTTTGTACAGTAACTGTATCTATTTATGGACAGCTGATTTTCGCACGTTCATTATCAGTGATTTTGTATTTTCTATACATATATATATATATCATTTTCAATATTATTTTGTATATGTTATTTTCATTTTAAGCTTACATACTAAATTGTCCATGTAATAACAAAATATTAGGGGCATAGATTGTACAAGTCAGCCTCAGAATAGCTGTGCAGAATGTAGTCACGTATCCATGGCACCATGTATATGACCCTTAGTGACAGTACCATCCCTGTTCTTGTGTGTTTAAATTACTCAAATCTTTTCTTTCACACTATCCTAATACAGAGTGACTCCATAGAGTGGCACTTTTAGAAGTTGGAGAGTCAGATAAGGATAAACTTTATGGATGAACAACTGAATAAAGAAAATGGTATAAATGATGTTCAAAATTCTCTTATTTGGTTTATGAGAATAGAGAGGACTGACAGCATTTATCCTTGTGGCCAGCTACAGAGACATATATGACACCCATTTTCACAATCCCTATTATTGTGTAAGAATTTCTGATATCAAGTTGAATAAAAAGTATTTTTTGTCTAGTTCATTTTGTCTTCACTATAATTATGTGAAGAAGATACCTGAGATCACAGTTGAAAATGACAGATGCTCCATACCGGTTTTTTTCCTTCTTAACGTACTTAAATGCAAGCTAATACTAGTATCCATGATGTTTTTTGCTCCTGTCAACTATAGGACACTATGGATGTTTTACAACACTATTAAAGTCTTTTATTTCAGAGGATTGCTGAGGTATGAAGATCCCATCTCCAAACACTGGCCAGAATTTGCTGAAAATGGCAAAGGGAAGATAACTCTGGAGACATATATTAGTAACAGGGTATTTAGATTATTGTTTTGTTTTGTTTATTTAATTTGTTTGCTGCTTAACATCACACTCAGGAACAACAGCATGAACATCGATCTGTGCAACTGGGATACAATGACATGTGTCAACCAAGTCAGCAAGCCTGACCACCGAATCCTGTTAGTCATCTCTTACACACATGGTTTGCTGAAGACCATATCTATCCCAGATTTTCACAGGCGTAGATTATTGTTCTAGTGAGACAAGTTGAGGATCAGTGTTAAAAGGATTCAGTAATATTTAGAAAACATGGATGGGCTTGACTTAATTAAAATTTTACAAAGTATTATACTGTCACAAGGTTGTCTTAGCAATTAGCAAATGCATGGTCAGCACACAAGATATATTTTTAATCCAAGATAAATCGTGTGTATTTGATGATGTGAATATATCAACCAAGCTAGGACTTCTCTTTCTCTAATGCCCACTTTTTGGGCATATAGCTTGAAGTTGATGCTGTTGCTTTTCTCACATGAAATAGAACTTGTTAGTATATATATATTGCCAAAACTTTGTTTGTCATCTAATACTGAGTCAGAGCTACAGATAACTTTTTGGGTCATTGAGTTATGTACCCGCTTGTCTTCATCTCAATTGGGTATCCTGATTTTCCTTTGAGTAACCAAACAAATTGTACTCACCTCACTCAAAATCTATTGGGTATTTTGCCATTTTCCATTAATTGTAAAAATATAATAAAGTTTAAATGTTAGTGTTTGTTATTTATATTTGATCTGTAATATGAGAAACGATATGAAAGACTGCTAGTTGAGTGTTCATGTGCCGAAATAGAATCTCTCAATATACCTCAGTTGCTTTATCTATCCACCGGTACGCAAGCTGAGATTTGACATTTTTGTGTACGCATGTACAATCAAATTTATTGAGTATTTACAAAAATACAAGCGTACTTGTACGCAACAGACGTAATAGGAATTGAGTTTTCACATAAATATTTGCGTAATTTACGCAGATACGCAGCTTATCTGTACCTCTGTGAGTATGGTATAATGTTGTCACGTCTCTTGTGTTCTTGGCTTCAGTCAGGATTAGCTGAAGTAGAAGAACCTTATCAGTTGTCATGGTTACGAAGTGATCCTCATCGCCTTGGTGTTGTTCTAGCCCGAGCAAAGCCTCTATGGGAACCAGGTATGAGCATCGCTATGGTAACAAGACATATGTATACTTTTCCTGAAAATTTAATATTATATGAAAACAACTCTCAAAATGTAATAATGTAGAGAAACAAAATAGAAATGTTTTCTCCCATGAATGAACCATATTGTTTTGTTATGAATTTCAATAAGTTTTGATCAGACATTTTATGACTATAAAATCATGTTTGTAAAATAGAAAAGCTCATCTTGTGATTTTGGTGTATTAAAAATAGCTTGATTTCAAATAGTCACATTGCAGAATGAGATAAAATGTTGAATCTAGAGACATAATTTGTTGCAGGGATGCATCATGGGTATCATCCAATCACGTTTGCTCTGTACCTGGATCAGATCGTGAGGCGAACTGACCCACAGAGACGAGGTCTAGCTCAGTACTTTGAGGAGGAAATAGCAAAACCTTTTGGTGAGCTACAGTAACATGCACATGACGTGTATGATATCTGTCAATAGGGTTATTCTAACTAATAACAGAAATAGAGCACAGTTGAACAGTTGACTCACATCTGAAATTGTAAGTCAAGTTATTTGTACTTCTGTACAGTCAGTTGTGTACACACTTGAGATCATTAGACAATAATGCTACTGAAATTATGGATGGCTCTAGGGCAGGGATGTGTCCAAAATGTTCTACCCGGGTACCCCATCCCCTATTACTCTACCCTACCCACATACCCATTGTTAATTCTTGACATCAAATTTGCAAGAAATGGTAATATATTCTTCAGTTAGAAGGCTAAAATTTTAAGTTTTTCAATATCTTAACCATGTATTATATTCAAAAGAGGTGACTGTAAATTATGTCTAAATCCTCAAAGACAATACAACCTTTTAATCATGACAAAATGACATATTATTATTTAATCTATTAGTCACATGATCATAACGGGTCTGGATATTGAGACAGGTACCCGGATCCATCTCATTACCCACCCGTCCCGGGTATCTGGGTACCCCTCCCAGCCCTAGATGGCTCCTGTGGGTTACCCCTCCCAGCCCTAGATTGCTCCTGTGGGTTACCCCTCCCAGCCCTAGATGGCTCCTGTGGGTTACCCCTCCCAGCCCTAGATGGCTCCTGTAACAAGGGTTGTTGTTAACTCTCATGGATCTTAGGCCTAAAAATTTGTTGTGGTTCCGATTACCCGACCGACCCTTGAATTCTGGTGCCGACCCTAGTCTTTTTAGAGGTATGAATAAAATAAGCTTTCAGATACCATTGTTTTTTCCTGGCGCTGACAGATATCGGTCATCCTGATAAAGAAAGTCGACATGATGGCTACAAGATTGATTGAATAAACAATTACACATTGATAAATGTGTTACTAGTTCGTACTTTACTTCTAAAAAAAAAGAAAAGAAAAAAGAATTCCTACGTACCTGCCCTAGTTTTTAAAGAGGTGTAATCGGAACCACAACATTTTTTTGGTTTGGCCTTAGGATATGAGCATTGAGATCAGTGGGTCAATAGTGAGTTTTATCTAAGATTCCATAACATGTATGGAATAATTGTGACAATTATGGCTAAAATTGTGACAAATTTTTGTGATATTGATCTAAAGTTGTTTGTTTTTGATGTTCTTACTTTCATAAATTCTGAGGAAAATGGAAATTTCAAATTGAAAATAGCAATCCACAATCATTTGCTGCAGACCATTTGAGCAGCCCTCGTTTTAACCACCAGAACAGTGACACTACTGTAATGAGTTATATTACTGCATGCACTAACTTGGAGTGTATCTGACAGATTGAAGCAAAATGTTGAGTTGGTGGCTATGTTGCATGATACATAGGGTTGTTTTAATCTGGGTGCTCTTTAACCTTTATCTCTTGCGAGAACCAGAATAGTTGAATAAGTTATTGAATGTAGTGATGATTGGCAGTCAGTATGCCAGGTGAGGGAGGATATCGGTGTATACAAACCAGCCAAGTACTGACTTTGCCCACAACGATAAGCAGCATGTTGGCAGCCTCCAATCAAACCATTAGTGCATGTAACTGTGTGCATGATGATGACTAGGCCTAAAAAAATAAATGTGGTTCCGATTACCCGACCGACCCTTGAATTCTGGTGCCGACCCTATTTTTTTTAAGCAGACTGAATAAAATAAGCTTTCAGATACCATTGTTTTTTCCTGGCACTGACAAATATCGGTCATTCTGATAGAGAAAGTCGACATGATGGCCACAAGCTTGATTGAATAAACAATTACACATTGATACATGTGTTATTAGTTTGTACTTTCCTTCTGAAAAAAATAGGTTAAATAAAATAATTCCTACCTACCTACCCTAAATCTTAAAGAGGTGTAATCGGAACCACAACATAATTTTTATTTGGCCCTATCTTATGAAGGAGTATCCACTAATAAAAATGAAACATACAACTTTATTGATAACAACTTCTTATTTATTGCATAGAGCGGTGTTTCGATGTAGATTCTTACACCGTTATCAAGGTAAAAGTGAACACAACCAAATGATGAAAGGTATGTATACGTAGTACGTTTTGACAGGCAGCATATTAACATTAACAACAACATGTACTTGAATAACAACTGGTACATAATTGGGAGAGGCCAATAGTGGACTAAGAACAACAAATGTGACTAGTGACGAAGCCAATAAACAAGGGGGATACTTATGCAATAAATAAGAAGTTGTCATCCACAGTGTATGGAATAAAGCCTGTCTGACCGCCCGAGACGGTCTAGATTTCTGACGGACGGTCTAAATTTACAGCTAGCCAGCCCGATGGTCTGGTAATGTTTTTTAGATGTTCCATACATCTGAGTAAATTCACCATATTTGGTCTGGTTAAATCCATTTTGGGCTGGTAACATTTTGAAGTTACCAGCCCTGATGTCTGGCTGGATTTTTGGCTTATTTCATACACTGGTCATCCATAAAGTTGAATGTTTCATTTTTGAGTCACCACCTGCTAGAATGTCGATCAAACAATGTGTGTCCACTAGCCAGTATCAGTATAGAGGCAGTCAGCATCAGAAAGATATTAGTTTACCTGGATTATGGAACATATAAATAATGTAAAATATTTACATTAATGTTTGCCCAATATACTGCTGTATTTGTAAACATATCATAATGCGTATTGTTGAACATTTGCACCAGAAAATACCAGTGCATTTACAGTCTGTTATAGGCAGCCTGGCTACAGAAGAACTGATTTTAAACACAATGGAAGTCTTAAACAGCTATTTACAGAATGAAAATAAGATTAAAAAAAACCATAACCCTGCCTTGGTTTAGTTTTGTATTTGTTTACATCTCCAGACATTGACTTCAACATCGGAATGCCGAAACAACTCCAACACAGAACGACCCGCTTACATGTTGATATGCAGGCACTCCGGGATTACTATAGCAACAAAGCGGGGAACTTCGCTGGAGACCCCGAGATCTTCGCTCTGACCCTGAAGAACCCACAGGACTGGAAAAGAGTAAGTCCACATTTAATGTATAATCAAGCCAGAGATGTGTCTGAATGTATAATCAAGCCAGAGATGTGTCTGAATGTATAATCAAGCCAGAGATGTGTCTGAATGTATAATCAAGCCAGAGATGTGTCTGTGTAATCAAGCCAGTGATTTGTCTGAATGTATAATAAAGTCAGTGATGTGTCTGTGTAATCAAGCCAGATGTTTCTGAATGTATAATCAAGCCAGAGATGTGTCTGAATGTATAATCAAGCCAGTGATTTGTCTGAATGTATAATAAAGTCAGTGATGTGTCTGTGTAATCAAGCCAGATGTTTCTGAATGTATAATCAAGACAGAGATGTATCTGAATGTATAATCAATCCAGAGATGTATCTGAATGTATAATCAATTCAGAGAAGTCTGAATGTATAATCAAGCCAGAGATGTGAGTGAATGTATAATGAAGCCAGAGATGTATCTGAATGTGTTATCAAGCCAGAGATGTCTGTGTATACAATGAGATGTCTGAATAAAGAGATGTCTGAATGTATAATCAAGCCAGATATGTCAATGTATAATGAATGTATAATCAAATAATGAAGAGATGTCTGAATGTATAATCAAGCCAGAGATGTCTGAATGTATAATCAAGCCAATGTATAATCAGATGTCTGTGTAATCAGAATGTATAATCAAGTCAGAAATCTGTCTGAATGTATAATCAAGCCAGAGATGTGTCTGTGTAATCAAACCAGATGTTTCTGAATGTATAATAATCAGAGCCAGAGAGTAATCAAGCTGATGTATCTGAATGAGATGTAATAATGTATAATCAAGCCAGAGATGTCTGAATGTATAATCAATCAGACATGTATAATGTCTGAATGTATCTGAATGTAAATCAAGCCAGAGATGTCTGAATGTATAATCAAGCCAGACATGTGTCTTGATGTATCATCAAGCCAGAGAGGTGAGTGAATATATAATCAAGCCAGAGATGTGTCAGAATGTATAATCAAGCCAGAGATGTCTGAATGTATAATCAAGCCAGAGATGTCTGAATGTATAATCAAGCCAGAGATGTGTCTGAATGTATAATCAATCCAGAGATGTGAGTGAATGTATAATCAAGCCAGAGATGTTTCTGAATGTATAATCAAGCCAGAGAGTTGTCAGAATGTATTGTCAAGCTCGAGATGTTTTTGAATGTATGATAAGTCAGAGATGTCTGAATGTATAATCAAGCCAGAGATGTGTCTGCTGAAAACATTACACGAACAATGTAAGTTCTAGGTCGAGAGGGGCAGTGGAGTAGCCTAGTGGTTAAAGTGTTTCCTTGCCATGCCATAGATCCAGGGTTCTATTCCCCACATGGTTACAATGTGTGCAGTTTGGTCCCATGTCCCATGGTGACATTGCGGGAATATCGATAAAAGCAGCCTAAAATCATCCTCACTACTTACTAAAACCAGGTCAGAATTTAGAGATTTTGCATATTAACCTTATGTATTTCAAATTGAAAGGTGTTGCTGAGAAATGAAAGGCCCCAAATGGCTGGTTTTATGACAGATGTTTATCACATCAGGGACGGAAATAACCCATTGCCCGACGCCCCAGTCCAGTGTTCTGTCGGGCTAGCAAATTTGTATGTCACGCTGTACCGGTGTCCAGTTGACTTTCCAATGTTAATTATGGTGCTTATTTAAAAAATCAACAAGAAAATCGGCCGGTATAGTGGAAGAATTATCAGGTCAAGTGATTTTACATGTGCCACTGCACCGGAGTACACTAGCAATTTTAAAGTTATTTCCACCCCTGCACATTTACAAACTGATTTCTTGGGAAACTACTCAAGAGCTAGTAATCAAGACTCCAATCAACACCCCAGTTATTGTACTCTTCTTTTGCAAACACTTCTGGATATCTAAGGAATCTAGTGTTTAACCATCGACTCCCTGAGCTTATTGTACTGAAACTTGATTTCTATTTTGTATATAATTAATTATTTGGGAAAATGACATTCATAATAAATAAGAGGCACATGTATGCAATACTCATGTAGCCATGTTTTCTCAAATTTGGGATGTGATCGTTGTCAATAGACCCAGTCTCTACATGACCCGGACTTCATGGATGTGCCCTGTGGATCGTCTCATGGGGTAGGCACAGCCAAGGCTGTGGCCAAGTTTCATGGCATCCTGGCTAAAGGGGCAGACAGTAATGGACGCAGGATTATCTCCCCTGATGCCATAAAGAGACTGCAGATTCCACTGTCATGGGGTGCTGACAAGACATATGGAGGGAGTGATATCTACAGCCTTGGCACAAGTCTACTACCTGTAGAGGAAGCTGGTCAGGTACAGGGGACATAATTATTGCCATTCCTTCTTGGTAATTTGGTTTCATCTGAATCTGATTAATGTGATTTATTTGAGGAACAAGAACCATTCAACATCAAAACATATGATTAGCACCTCAATGTACATAGACATGTTGCAAATACTGAGTGTACTTCATAATAACTGAAATATATGAAATATATGGTCTTATGACGTTTGGCCTTCAATGATACATGACTCATAAGAAATCACTTCATTTGTTTACCGCTGCACAGTGAGTGCTACCAATACAATGTATGGTGCCAATTATTGAATGAGGATCGGTGCATGATCTTTGGCTTGCCACGGACAATGATAGCTTTCTTGAATCTTTAGAGGTAAATCAGTTTCAAATTAAGTCATATGTCATACACCTAAGTGTTCATAAAAAAGCCACTAAAACATCCTCAAATTTCAAGTCAGATTTTAGTGCTCTATAATGCTGGAAGATCATTGATATATTCCAAGAGGACCCTGTATGTTACAGATAATTGGCATTCTGCAGTGCAAATTGATAAAAACAATCAGTTAAATTGAATATATAAAGAGCAGAGAGCCACATAAACCGTCCAGACCCTGCCATTTTGGAAACACTGTATACTGAACAGTGAGGTGAGGTGAAATTGGGTTTAACGTCGCACACTGGAGAATATTTCGCTCATATGACGACGTGCATGCGTGTGTATGTGTAGGTGCGGCTGCTTGTACTAGCCCAGACTGAAGCTGGTTTTATAGTGCTAGCTCACTGAGATACCATGCTGCAGTGAAGCATGAATACCCCACTCAGACACATAATACTGACTCCGAGCCAACCAGTCCTTGTTGTACCCATTAATGCCGAGCGCCAGGCAGGGACCAACAAATACCATACTTTAACGTCGAACCCGCGACCTGCTGCTCTCCGGCTGGACGTTCTAACCACTACACCATGGAGGCGGTCACTGAACCGTGAGCATTAGGAATGTCTATGTTTACATAGGGGACATTACTCTGTATCTGTGCTTCACTATTCCAGAAATATGTTGAATTGGATAATTAACTGAGAAGGGCGTGTCCAGATTAACAAGGTTTCACTATATTCAGGTTCACTACATGGTTGGTCATGGAGGATTTGGAGGCCAATTTGCCCGCAGCAGATACCAAACATCACGTCGGATTTGCCTATGTTTCCAACTTCCTTGACCCTCTTGCTACTGTGTCAAAGAAGACAAAATGGCTGCCTCTGTACGAAGCGCTCTTCCAGTGTGTTCTGCAGGTGGAAGGGGTGACATACGAACGGAAGACATACAGCACCTTCTCTGACGACCTTCAGCCTCCACAAAGCAAATTGTGATGAAAGAAGTTTGATTGTGTGTATGAACTAACAGATAACGGAATTGATAAATGTAGTTTTTGTGTGTAATCGTGTATCCAAGGTGGAATTTTTCTTCATGGGGCAAGGTTCCTCGTGGTCAGTTTGACTGGGGAGAACCATTTCCTCCTAATTGATGCCTGATAAAGCCTGATTTGTGCCAATGATCTGTAGCATCTAGTGCATCATATAACAGATTTGTCTTGTGTGTGTTTTATTTGTTAAACTTGTACTACTTGGAGAACATAGTTTTTGTTATATGGATCTTGGACTTGTGTCTTCAGCTTTTATTACATACAGAAAATATATTAATTTGTAATATGTTGTTTACAGGTGATTATATATATTTGTATATACCGACAATTTATACAAGATCAATAATTCACACAATGAAACGTGCAATAATATATTCTTAAATAAAATTTTGAATTAACTCTTTGTTATAATCACTTATGTCTTAATGAGACATGTGGTTAGTATGTTGCAACTTATACTTCACAAGGTGTGTATTTGTAACAAAACTTAGAGCATATGAGTATTGACAAGGAACATGTACATACTTCCACAAACTTTCTTTGAGTGGTATATTTAGAAGCTGGTGAATCAGATAAGGACAAACTTTATGGATGAACAACTTCTTTATTCCGGAGATGCAACGTTTCGATACGGATTCTACTTGTCAACTACTTGCTTGACAACGATACAAGAATCTGTATCGAAACGTTGCATCTCCTGAATAAAGAAGTTGTTCATCCATAAAGTTTGTCCTTGTCTGTTAAAAAAACATGTTATTTAATGCCACACTCGACAGTATTCCAGCGGTACTAACAAAAAGAAATGTAGAATTAGAATGCTGCTGTCGTTGAGGTGTACATTTACAATACTCTGGTGCTGCATAGAAATGAAGACCTCATCACAAAGAACTTCCACATCATCCAAGAACTGTATGTGATGCCATGCACAAAGAAGTTTCCATTTGTTTCTAGTTTACTGCCCCACTCAGCATTATTCCAGCTATAAATTCCAGTGAGACACACCACCTGATCCAGTAAGTTGCCCCTTGCGACAAGCATGGGTTGCTGGAGACCAATTCTTACCGGGATCTTCACAGGTTAGAGAAGCCAAGATGTGAATGCCTATAGGACAACTGGCATTTGCTAATGCAACTGTACTGAACAACATCGCCAGCATGGTCAAACTTGGGCTAGCTCTTCAGGCAGAATGACAGGCAATACCAAACTCAATCATACTCGAGTTAATAATCTTCGTTATCATTTTAACAGTTCCCTAATCTTTTTATGGTAGATGGAAGTTTTGCCAAACAAAACAAATAACTGGCAAGGACCCTTTACATCACCAGGAGGACGCCAGTGGGATCTAAACACTATAGCAGAGAGGTTTATCACATTTAGTCACAAAACACATGGGGTGTCCTAAAATCTCCTCGGCTGAGTGACTGCCTCTGTGATGTAGTGGTTAGAGCGTCAGCCCGGAGAGCGGAAGGTTGCGGGTTTGATCCCCCGACCGCGTCATACCAAAAGACGTTAAAATATGGTACTTGTTGGTTCCTGCCTGGCGCTCGGCATTAATGGGTACAACAAGGACTGGTCGGCTTGGAGTCAGTATAAGTATTGTGTCTGAGTGGGGTATTCATGCTTCACTGCGGCGTGGTATCTCAGTGGGCTAGCACTATAAAACCAGCTTAAGTCTGGGCTAGTACAAGCAGCCGCACATACACATACACACGCATGCATGTCGTCATATGAGCGAAATATTCTCAAGCACGACGTTAAACCCAATTTCACCTCACTTCACCTCCTCGGCCGAGTAAATTGATTAGAAAATGTCAAAGATCTTGTTCAGACCACGCACTTACTCACACTATCCAAACCCAAAGATGAGTGTTTGCACCATTTTAGGAGCTATATAGCAGTGTAGGAAAGATAGCCCGTCCCAACGTCCGAGACGGGTGAATTTTGTGGAGGACGGGTTAAAAAAATATCTAGTCCGTCCTCATGTCGGGTAGATTTTAGCAAACCAATGACATATATATAATGATTATAACCTTTTTGAATATTTACTGCCGAAGGTGTTTTATTTATATTTGGAGGACAGGCTAGATTTTGGCAGGACTGGTACAAATTTGACCTGCCAGTCCTGTGGACAGGCTAGATTTTCTACATCTTTCCTACACTGTATATAGTTAAACAAGTGAACTTACAGTTATGCAATAAGTTGGCATTCTGTGCCAAATAATGTGTAAATAAAAATTGATTAAATATCAATATTTATACCAGTCTCGTATTAACTTCTAGTACTAAGTGGGGTGGTGGGGTACCTTAGTGGTTAAAGCGTTTGGTCGTCACGCCGAAGGCCCGGGTTCGATTCCCCACATGGGTACACTGTGTGTGGCCCATTTCTGGTGTTCCCCGCCGTTAAAGCGGCGAAAACCCAACTCACTCACTCTAGATAGTAATACGTACTGCTGCACTAGCTTACTTCAACTTATAATAATAATAATAATTCTAAACCATGCCACAACCTTTATAAAGGCAACTTACACATGAAATCATCCGAGATTTTATTTATCCTGTGTGAGTCAACCCGCCTCGTTATAGTGCGAGAACACACTGCTGTCTGAAAACTAGTCTGTCTCACAGTACCTGAAGCACATTATTTACCCTACTGCCTAGCCCTCTCTGCAGTGCTAAAGCCCTATTTCAATTTAAATGGACTTGTTTGTTACTATCAAAATTATATATATTCAGAGACTAAGCAATTATAGGTCTATCTGAAAACATGTGACATCCAAAGCTCTACGACAGCAAACTTCACACAGTGTTAGCACTCAGTCTGCGCTGTGAGGACTAAATCTATAAGGTGAAGGTTGCTAACAGAAAGGGCAAGGCCGAAAGTTGTTTACATCTCCATGGAGGCCCATGGCACCTGCTTGAGACCAGCCAAAATAGTGCACGTAACCGGTCGCCTTTCATCCAAATAGTATCTGCGGCGTGCGTGAGGTAATTAATGGTGTATGGTTACCGATAGACGTTCAGCGTTACATTTGTAAAGCACGAAAACTGCCACAAACACATATCGGGCTGAATACTGATAGGTATTTTACCGGTTTTAACTTTCTTCACCTCGGTGTCAGATCGAAATCGGAAGAATGGCGTTTACCGTAACATCTATTGTATAATTCGAACAGTACACATATGTAACATACATAACGTGACATCAAATTAAAATAGAAAAATAAATAAACTCAAAATACTTCTTGAAAATAAGAGAAATATAACATTTTGCTCGTCCACGCGTATTTGGATTATATGTTACAAACATCCAAACTTTGATGTAGGTATTTCTGGTCTATGATTCGTGTTCCTGCTGGTCATTCTGTCGTTTCAGGTCTCTTTCTTCCTGTCGGTCGTTTCGGTGTCCTGTCCATGGGACTGTGTGTGGTCCATTCTCATTCGTGGGGTCATGGTCCCTCAGGGTGGATGGTCATATGATTGTGGTCCATGGGATCAGATCTTCCATGTTGGAATGTGTATGGGGCTGTCAAGTCCTGTGGTTCCATCCATTCTGTGTCGTGTTCCTGCTCACTGTGCTGGGGCTCAGTTGTCTGTGTCGTGGCTTATCCTGTTCCTTCCTTGATTCTGTATGTGCCTCCGTCCCTCCATGTCATCCTCCTTCCGTGTGGTCTCTGTTTCCACATGTCTTGTTGTGTGCTCTCAGGCCCTGTCCAGATGTGCTGTGCTGTGCCATCTCCGTCCTTATGTTGGCTCTGTGTGTCTGGGTCGTCCTTACATTCTGCTTCATCTGGGTCGTGTCCATTCTGGGTCATTCATGCTGTTGATTCTGGGATTGTCCTGGTCCGGTTTCCTGGGTCTGTGGTCATTCCTGGGTGTGTGTCCATGTGTGATTCTGGTTATGGGGTTGTGTGTTCCATATTTTGTGGTTGGTCCAAGATATATTTATACAAAGTATTTCTCTCTGGTTCGTGTCTTCTGTTTCCATCTGGGCCACAATGGCTCCTACAGCCACCTTACATGGGCAGATACTGGCACACAGACCACAGATACAGACAGTGGATTCTGATGCCACCTGGATGCCATCCACTGGGTCATCCTGTGGCCACTGGGGTCATCCACTGTGCCACCTGGGGTGTCCTGGTGCCTGTGCCACACAGATGCCATCCTGTGCCACACAGGATTATCCACTGGATGCCTCCTGGGATCCTGGGTCACCCATTCCTCTATTTTTCTTTTTTCACAGCCATCCACTATTTTCACAACCTTCCTGGGTGCACATCCCTCTGTGCCACATTTTCCTGGTCCACTATTTTTCTTTTTACAGATGCGCCCATCCCTCTATTACCTGACACCTACCCAAATACCTGACCCTACCTGGATGCCCATCCCTCTATTACCTGACCCTACCCACCTACCTACCTGGATGATACCTGACCCTACCTGACCCTACCTGGATGCCCATCCCTCTATTACCTGACCCTACCCAAATACCTGACCCTACCTGGATGCCCATCCCTCTATTACCTGACACTACCCAAATACCTGACCCTACCTAGATGCCCATCCCTCTATTACCTTACACTACCCAAATACCTGACCCTACCTGGATGCCCATCCCTCTACCCAAATTACCTGATGCCCATACCTATTACACACTACCTGATACCTGACCCTACCTGGATGCCCATCCCTCTATTACCTGACCCTACCCAAATACCTGACCCTACCTGGATGCCCATCCCTCTATTACCTGACACTACCCAAATACCTGACCCTACCTGGATGCCCATCCCTCTATTACCTGACCCTACCCAAATACCTGACCCTACCTGGATGCCCATCCCTCTATTACCTGACACTACCCAAATACCTGACCCTACCTGGATGCCCATCCCTATTACCTGACCTTACCTGACACCCTCCTACCCAAATACCTGACCCTACCTGGATGCCCATCCCTCTATTACCTTACACTACCCAAATACCTGACCCTACCTGGATGCCCATCCCTCTATTACCTGACACCTACCCAAATACCTGACCCTACCTGGATGCCCATCCCTCTATTACCTGACACTACCCAGATACCTGACCCTACCTGGATGCCCATCCCTCTATTACCTGACACTACCCAGATACCTGACCCTACCTAGATGCCCATCCCTCTATTACCTTACACTACCCAGATACTGAACCCCTTGGTTACAGTGTATTTTATAATCGTATTGAAATTTTGTCACTCAGCTAGCACCTTTTTTCATCAAAAGTTATTTCATATTCAGCTGGAAGAAAAGCAGTCCAAGGGTCAGGAGATTAGCAAGGAGGAGGAAATAGAGGTGGAGAAGGCTAAAACAGTGAGTATACTGAGTCGGCGGCAGCCAGCTGATCCATCCTCTGTGTGTCAGTGTCAGGAGATTAGCAAGGAGAATGGAAAGGAGAGAGAGAGCTAGTTATATATATAAAAATAATTATTCACTTCTTTTAATGTTTTACTATGTGGCAATGATTCTGTTGCAGGGTGACTTAAAGGATCTAATGAAAGCCAGGTTTGTTGATGAGTTGATGCGTCGCGAGGCTGTCAGTGGCACGTTTGAGATGACCGAGGGGACTGTGAAGCCATTCATGGTATACCCTGCAGAGGACCCTGTTGTCCTGTTCTACAACTCTGACCGTGCCACCGACCTAACTGACAAGCCCTGGGACCCAGAGGCTGACTGTGAATACCTGCGGAAGGGAATGAGGGGAGCAGGTGGGTCATATCACACTCACGACCCCAGGGATGCGCTACAATATTCTTTGTGCCAAATTGTAGACAAAACCTAAGGAACTGTTCATATTTAATGGTTAGGATGCGCGCGTGTGTGTGTGATGATGATTTTTATGGAGTTGCATATACAATGTCAATCCAGACACACTCTCTCTCTCCCCCCTCCTAAAATTTTAGGTACAAAGTAAGTGACATCCCACATTTCATGTACAAAATCAATGACACCCCCCTAGTGCATGTGTACAAAATTGATGACCCCCCACCCCTTCCCAGAACAAAATGGATGACAACTCCCCCCAAAAAAATATTTATAAAAAATTGAAAAATATAAAAATATTGAAAAAGATATATTGAAAAAAAATGAATGAGAGTATGTGGCATCCTCTATCATCTAGTAAATAAGTGTCTGTACTGTGCTTTGGCTACATGGATACAGTTTGTACAGATTGTGATTGTGTACAGATTGTATGGTGAAATGTTTGCTGCTTGTGACAGGTACTGACGAGGATGCTATCACCCATGTTGTGGCCTCACGGTGTAATCAGCAGAGACAGAAACTCAAAACCATGTACAAGACCATGTACGGACGGGTCAGTGACTTTCATAGTGTCCAACAATAGAGGATTGACTGCAAATATTTCAGATTCAGATTCTTTCTATCGTGCAAGTTCTCATCGCAGAGGCAGTGTTTAACTTAGAATCTAGTTAATTCTGGAACTCCTGAAAGTAAGAACTCTCTTTGGATCCTTTTGGATTTTAAATAATCCCTTTAGCTAAATGTTTTCAAATAACATAGTTGTATTTCTGGAAAAAAAATGTCATTAACGACTTTTCATTGTGAGAGTTTGTTTTAAGTTTTCACTGTTCAACAATACTCTTGGAATAAGTTGTGAATGCAGCTTTGTTTGAAATTTTTCACTGTTTAACAGACTACCTGTAGCCTCATCCACAAAGTATTCGTTTATCATATACTTGTGAATATCATAGTGCTACGAACAGGTTATGGATTGGGGCCCCTGTAAGATAAGTTGCGAATACAAACCTGCCATCCTAGGAGACAGCTTCTGTTGAGTGAATACTCCCTAGGGGAGTTGATAATGATAATGTATGTTCATCTAATGAAGATATCATGCCACTCTATCAGTCCCTTCTGGATTCCGCAATTCTGCGGTTGCAGAATATATCGCGGAAATTAGCATTTAATGCAGAAAAACGTCTGGTCCGTGGGAAACACATGTTCATGGAGAATATCTGCAGAATTTGCCGTTTTTTCTGCTACGGAATTTACTTATTTTTGTTGAATCAAGATTACTATCAACCGAAATGAAAAGTAGGGGTAAATGTAAAAGTATGATTGGTTACACAAAACTGAACTGAGACATTTGTCATCACGATATTTTCAAAATATTTACGAATATAGATAATGTATTCATAAGGTAATATTTTCTTCAGCACCTTACAATAATATTATTTGAATTTTACACTGCAATTATGTTGACAAACTCGATCTTTTTGAAGATTGAAATTGCATTATTTTGTGGGGTTTTATTTCAATTTTTTAACTGTAGAATCTTTTTGCAGAATTTTTAAAAATGGGAGGCAGAATTAATTTAAATTGCCGCGTAATTTTTAAAAATTCGTCACAGAATCCAGGAGGGACAGTTCTATGGTTTTGAGTCTTTGATGTTATACATCGCTGATTTTTATGACTGTTGTTATTATTGTGTCCAGGATCTGGTCGAGGATATTCACAGTGAGCTGAGCGGGGACTACCGAGAGTCGGTGATGGCGTGTTTCGTGGACCCTGCCCACTATGACGCCTGGTGTGTGAAGGAGGCCATCTATGTAAGTGAGCTAGTTGTTCTAGTTGTGTATGAACATATCTCCTGAACATAGCAATAACTCTCTACAGCTCATTGTTCCATTCAAGTCAGGCTGAGTTTCATTCTCCAAACCCCTAACCTGGCAACATTACGTTTCTGGTGTCACCCGATATTGCAGGAATATGCTTAAAGTGGAATATATTAAACTCACTCACTCACTCCAGGGCCTAGGAACTGATGAGGCTACACTGATTGAGGTACTGATGACTCGCACGAACCGACAGATTGCTGAGATGAAGAAGGTTTATGGTGATGGTAAGCAATATGTATATACTCACACAAATCATCATTTGTAGACATTGAACTTTAAACTGAAACAACGTTTAAAATGTCTAAAGACAAAGATCTGCAGCTAAAATATATAACAATTGGTGGTGTTACTTCAACCCATAGTGCATGTATGTTTCAGTTGCAAGCCCAAATCGCAAAGTCAGCGATACTCTCATTGAAAAAGATATAGAGGATGACACGAGCGGAGACTTCAAACGCTTGCTGATTTCTGCATCCCAGGTTAGATTATAACTGGTATATGCTGGTATTCACTGACTCTCTGTGGAACATTCTGGCTGATGGTACATGATGATTAAGCATTAATCCCATTAATCCCTTGAGATAATCAAGCCTGTTTGACTGCAAATTCACAAAAGGCTCACACAGTGAATTTTTTTTTTTTTAAATGGACCTTTCTTAACATATGATATATTTGGGATAACACTTTCTTGTTTAAGTAGAAATTCTAGTACTTTTTGGGGTTGAGTCCCATCCGGGATTCAAACCCACACCCTCAGAGTCAGGCACCTAATTGCCAACAGACGAGTCAGCCGCTCAGCCACTGCGACTTCCACAAAAATGGTGATTAGGTGCCTGACTCTGAGGGTGTGGGTTCAAATCCTGGATGGGACTCCGCCCAAAATAGTACTAGAATTTGTACTTTATATAAAAAGGTGTAATCCCAAATATATCATATGTTACATTTGACCTCTTTCTAATATGGCATTGTGTAATCATCAGAGTTTTACACAGACTTTTAAAAATGGGAGTCCTGGGGACTCACAATAATTTATATTTTTTCTTATCCTGACTCATGCTTATTTGCTTGTCTTCTTCTTCTGGCGAACCTAGTGGAACACTTGTATCTCCCAATTGAAGTTCCCTTCAATAAAGAATCACTCATTAGTACTCACCACGAGTTACCTCCCTTCTGTAAGCGCGGGAACGAGGGCGCCACCCAAGCCCATGTGCCTCACTCTCTCCTTCTTCGCCCAGTGAGCTGGACGTGAGAGCGCCTGTGTCTCCCAACACACTATATCCTTTAATTATATTTAGTTAGTTCCTCTTATACGTTAGTATAGAGGTAGTACTAGTATAATTATTCAATTTGCATTGATTATTAATTGTGTTTCTGCTGTTTTATTCCGCGGTTCGTCGTGTTTGTTCAGTAGGCTACATTAATGAAAATTTGCACAGAATGTAAACTACGTTATTCTGATACCGATCCACATTTAAAATGCCCTAGTTGCATTACTCCATGTTCCTTTGATTCTCGTTGTAAATTTTGTATCAATTTACCTATCTCTGCCTTTGACAAATATTTATGTTCCGTTTATAGGCGGAAGGCAGATAAATCCGTAAACAAATTCAAACATGGCTAATAGATCGCAAATTAATGTTTCATGTCAACTGTTGACTGAGGACACGCCACCAGCTGGTGGCATGCCTGAGTTTCCCTCGGCGGATAAGCGTGGGACGCAGTCCGCTATGTCCAAGAAGCGACCTGCATCTCAAGAGCTGCCGTCTTCTCAGTCCAAGTCGAGGAAACCATCCATATCATCTCGTACACTGCGTACACCAAGATCTACACCTTCATCTAAAGGGAAGTCAACAAAATCTAATAATTTTGCCTCTGATATCTTACCAGTTACAGAATTAGCATTATATGATGATGATTTGCCAATTATCATTCCAGAAGTTCGTCACAAGAAACGGCCCGTTTCTGCGACTGTCACCTCAGCGCAGATGAACACACAACCCGGAGATGCCGACTCTATCTCCAGAAATTTTATCTGAGGGTCCGTCACCTCTGCAGAGAGACATCCCTCATCAGCATGAACCGCTTCAGGCGACTTGATCAACCACATAATGAGGGTGATGGAAGACTGCTACGGCTTACAGAGGCCTCAGAGCCCACGGGCCTCAGAGCCCACCCATATTAAGTCATACAGGGCCTCAGAGCCCGCCTTGGCTTCAGCGTGGGGCCTCTGAGCCCATAGGCAGCGCCTCAGCGAAGGGCAACCCTGCCGGAGTGAGCTCTTTGCATAAGGTATCCCAGGCCGCCTCCGTGAAGGAGCCAGAGCCTCACCTTTTGCAAGAGGCTTGCGAGGAGAAGGAAGGCGCTTCGCCGCACGCACCTTGTCATGCACGAAGGGCGTCCGCGAAACAAGCGCTCATATGTCGGATCGGACACTGACTCCAGACATTAGCGTGGGGCCGAAGAAGGCTAAGTGGTTCTACATCGCCTAGAAGGCGATCAGCGTAGCCCTCAACGTTCGAGAAGTCCAGAGCGTCTCGCGAAGCCATCACCGTTCCACCCGAAGCCCACAATCTCCCAGCGAAGGATGTCTTCTCCAAGGTCTACATACACTAGCCACTTTCGTCAGTCCGTTCTCCTCAGTCCTCACATAGATCTTCTTACAGATCGAGGACTCCGACATCTGACCATCGTCAGAGGAGGACGATGGTATCATTTTCTCAGAGGCTGAGATAAGGTATTGGATGGTAAGCGAATTACAACTGGCCTCTCCCTCTAAGAACGAGGATACAGCCCAAACTTACCTGATGTTAGATGATGATGTAGATCATATCACCGTGCCTCCTATGGATCCTATCGCAGCCGTTCCTGCTAAACTGGATACAGCCTACTCCAAATCTGCTAAAACTCAACTTACCCATTTACCATTCTTCAATGCCAAGAGTTTTTATGGACATAATATGGAGCCCTTTTTCAAGACTCAGGAGATTGATGAAAACTTTAAACTTATCAGTGATTCCAAGTCCAGAAGTTATAGGGTAGACGATCGCAAGATGGCCCAGTTAGATACCATTTCCAGAAGGATGTTCTTTGGACTCAACAGATCTAGGACTGTTAACGAAACTCTCATCACCAAGTTCAAGAACTCCACGGATGAGGAAGACAGGATGATCTATTCAGCTCTACTTATGCAGAAAAAGATCAACAATTCCTTACAGACCATCTTTCAGCACTTACTGAAACTACTACCATGACACGTCGGCAAGGATTACTAGCCTCCTGCTCTTGGAATAAACAATTCACAGAGCCCCTATACACAGCTCCATGGTCTTCACCCTTACTGTTTGGTGGCAACATTAACAAGGTCTCCAAGGAAGTATCAAAGATTCTAGAGAAGTACTCATGATTAAATCTATGGATACATTAGCATGCGCGTCTTTAAACAATCAGCACAGAGGTACTTCGGCAAGTCCAAGTTTTCAGGGCTACAGAGAGCACGGGATAAGAAATTAGCGACCGTTAATAATCCCAAGGATTCTTTTAGGTCGCCATTACAACAAGTTCAGAGGAGGATCAGCTAGAGGCAGATCATCCAGAGGTGCCGATGGATTTAAGCGATGAAAGTCAGGTTCGGAGCGACTGGAGTCTTCCACCCCCAGTCGTCCCAGTACAACCTTCTCAAGTGGGTGGACGTCTACAACTACACTGGGAAAACTGGGGAATACTTCAAGATCGGTATGTATCCAACATCCTTCAGTGCGGATATCGTCTACAACTCAAGGCCAAGCCACCGTTAACAGTCAACCCACCAGGGTTCAACGTTCATCTGGCACAACTTCCGATGTTAAGAGAAACAGTTCAGTCTCTACTAAACAAACAGGCCTTAGAAGTTCTCGATCAGCAAAACATCATACCAGGTTTCTACTCCCCAGTTTTCCTAGTGCGAAAAATTCCAAAGAGAAGTATCGTCTCATTTACAACATGAGCACATTCAACAGAGAATTTCTATGCAAACCACCAGCGTTTAGCATGATACATTTACCTCAACTCCGTCATCTAATTAGTCCACTAGATTACATGGTAAGTATAGATCTGCAGGGCGCATACCTACACATTCGATTCATCCCAGTTCAAGGAAATATCTGAGATTTATGCTAGAGCGGCATACACTACCAATGGAAAGTACTTCCCTTCAGAATCACTTCGGCCCCATGGATATTCACAAGAGTAACCAAGCCTATTGTCTCATACCTACATCATCAAGGCCTGCGGAATGCATTTTACCTAGACGACGGTATACAGGTGGATCCAGATCCACAGCGTCTCAGACTACAGCTGAACTTTACAATCAAGCTACTAACGCAGTTAGGCTGGTTAGTAAATCTACTCAAGTCGGACCTAGAGCCCACGCAGGATCTGCAGTTTCTAGGTATACGATTCCTTACAGCGCAGAATCATATGGTAGTCCCGGAGGACAGATGGATCAAGATACAACAACTGATCCCCCAAGCCCTACTCTCTCCGTTACCACTACGTCAGTGGCAGAGGCTACTGGGACTACTCACATCAGCTCAAGACTTGACACTCAGAGGCAGGCTTCAATTACGTCCATTACAAGTCCTCATCAATGCCCATCTCGAGGACCCTCTACCGTTCAGTCTACCAGATTACATCAAACCACATCTACTCTGGTGGACCAAGAGATTGAATGTTTAGCGCGGCGTCTCCTTAGTAGAGCGAGGAATCGAAAACACATCTCTCACGTGGATCGCGTCACTAAAGGTTGGGGAGCCCACCTTACCAGCAGGACAGCGTCAGGCCTATGGAGCATTCAAGAGAGCTTATGTCACATAAATCTGCTAGAGATGCAAGCAGTCATAAACGCCATAGGTCACTGGAGCAACCTATTACAGAAGGCTCAGTTAATGATTCACACAGACAACTCAACAGTGGCGTTTTATGTGAACAAACAAGGGTCAACAAGATCACTGAATCTTCTCACTCGATGTTTCAAACTGTTCGATTTAGTCGACAGTCTAAACATAATGATCAAAGCCTGCCACATTCCAGGAGCAAAGAATGTGTTAGCAGACGCCTCTCTCGGCCGCACCAACCGTCGCCCGACAGAATGGATGCTCCACACAGAGATATTCAATCAGATAATCATGGAAATAGGATCTCCTCTGATAGACCTATTTTGCCACCCGATTCAACAATCAACTGACAACCTTCGTATCGCCAGTGCCAGATCCGTTAGCTTAGGCAACGGACGCACTAAGCATATCATGGGAGGGACTAAATGCGTACGCTTTCCCGCCTCCTGCGTTAATCCCACAAGTCTTGCTAAAAATCAGTCAAACGAAGAGCCTAAATCTGATTTTGGTCTCGCCTTACTGGCCAGCGAGAACGTGGTTTCCAGACCTCATGCTAGGAATCGGAAAACCAGTACTTCAGCTCCCACTACGCTCCAATCTACTGATACATCCGCACACCAAACAAGTGCACAAAACACCAGAAGCATTCCGACTTCACGTGTGGATTGTATCAAGGCATGTTTGAATAAGAGAGGTTATTCCACCAGAGCGGCAAAGGCGGTCACGCTTGCACTACGTAACTCTACTCGTAACTTATACGATGACAAATGGCTCAGATTTGTCAATTATGCTGCTAAGAAAGGATTTTCAGCCAGATTTGCTACACATCCTCAAGTGGCAGATTTCTTATGTTTCCTACGTCAAACTAAGAATCTAAAAGGATCTACACTGTCCACTTATCTTGCAGCCATAAGTTCAGTCATAACAATGAGAACGGGCGTCAAATTGACCAAAACACCGGAGTTACTCGCCTTGTTACGTGCCTTTCGATTGGAAGACCAGAAACGGAAGTTTCAAGCGCCAGCCTGGGATCTAAATGTGGTACTTCAACACCTCACAAGTGAGGCTTACGAGCCATTGTTATCTGCGTCATATGAATCATTGACCCACAAAACCTTATTCCTGCTAAAATATTATCTTAAGCTCAGTACTATGATTTATATCATAATATATATATACCTACAACTCTTACGAGTTTCTACTATTATATATATGTTCAGCTTAAGTTCTTCCTTAAGCTCAGTCATATGTTCATTTCATAACATGTATAAGTTAACAAACTATCAGTAGTTGGTTACTATTATACAGCTTAAGTTATCTTTATACCTTAAGCACAATTCTGTTATAGCTTATATATATACATATTGTAAGCTTACTACTTTGGTTCTTATAAAAGTATTCATTATAAACTATCAACAGTTTATACTATCACATTAATGGCCTTAGCTTAATTAATGTTCTATATACTTTTATTATATGCAGTAAATTGTAATAACCTTCTTTAAAGGCAGCTGTTATATTAACAGCAGGAATTCAGTTCAGTGCCTTCATGAAGTTCCCATACGGTTATTACAATCATATCACTTCAAATCACTAATTAGTAAAATCCAAAGTATATATAATCCCACCTCCTAATCCGTGAGGATTCTACAAGCAAATAAGCATGAGTCAGGATAAGAAAAAATATGAATTTTTTAGAGTAAAATTAATATTTTTATACTTATCCTGACTCATGAGGTAAGCCCTCCCGTCCTCCCCACTTAACACTTTGGATTTCTCGGGAAAAAGAAAGTGTTGGTCTCAAAGCAAAAGGAGAGAGAGGAGGCACATGGGCTTGGGTGGTGCCCTCGTTCACGCGCTTACAGAAGGGAGGTAACTCGTGGTGAGTACTAATGAGTGATTCTTTATTGAAGGGAACTTCAATTGGGAGATACAAGTGTTCCACTAGGTTCGCCAGAAGAAGAAGACAAGCAAATAAGCATGAGTCAGGATAAGTATAAAAATATTAATTTTACTCTAAAAATTTCATTTTTGGGAGTCATTTTCAATATTTGGGAGTCATGGAAATTTTAATACTTCTTTGTGTTAATCACTCTCAGTATGTAACTGTGTATGTCACACCACTAAATGAAACTACAGCATTGTTCAATTCAAACAGCCAGGATTACTGTCTCCTCTGAGTTCTCTGGAACAATCTGACATCTCTGTAAAAGTCAAACTATCATCGAACAATATCATGTATTGCTTATCAAATCGATTTTATTGAACTGAATTGTGAGGGCCACCCACAAAACTTGCGTCAAGCTTGACTCATATGATAATATTTTGAGAGTCGTTTACAAAATTGTTGCGTCAAATACGCAGGAATCACGCGTCATGTAAAACCCTGAATCATGGACCTTTGTTGTAGACAAGTTAGTTATTTCTGTGTTATGATGTTATTGTTCTTCTGTGAGGGAGACCTTGTAGTACTGGTCGATTGTGTTGTATGCTGTGGAGGTCTGACAAGAGAACCATATTTTCAGGGCAACCGCTATGAGATCAGTCGGGACAGTCTGGAGGCAGCTGTGGAGGAGATCGTTGCTGACGGCCATGAGACTGGGATGTTCCAGGTCAACTATGAGAAGCTGTGTGACATGGACAAGGCAAGGAGAGATGCCCAGCTGTTGTTCAAGGCTGGAGAAGATCGGTGGGGCACAGACGAGGAGACCTTCAACAGGATCTTCTCCACCAGAGATTACTACACCATGAGAACCATCTACAACGAGTATGTCAAGGTGAATGTATGGACAATGAGTAGGACAAAGTGAATGTATGGACAATGAGTAGGACAAAGTGAATGTTTGCAGTGATGTATGTTAGGTGCAATGAGTGAACAAAGTGGGTATGTTTGCAGTGAACAAGTCAATGTCAGTGTATGTACAATGAGTAGGTCAAGGTGAATGTATGGACAATGAGTAGGACAAAGAGGGTATGTTTGCAGTGAACAAGTCAATGTCAGTGTATGTACAATGAGTAGGTCAAGGTGACTATGTTCAATGAATAGATCAAGGTCGTGTGTATGCATAACAAGTAGATCAAAGTGAAGGTCAAGGTTATTGTATGTATTATGACATCAAGGTCAGCGCAACTAAGGTCAATGCGTATACAGAAGGTGAGTGTACCTCTAAGTGTGTAAGGTAATGCTAAGAAAACAAGAATGTAAAGGTCCTTTTATGTCAAAGAAGGTGAACGTGATTTTGTTGCAATCTTCTCAAAATTTGGTCAGTTGTCACAAAAGCCACACATTATTAACATGTTTTTTTTAATCTTTTCAATAACTCTCTCTCACCTCACTTTGTAAGTGAACACAGAAACAACAGCTAGGTCCCTCCCTGATATGCAAGAAGCAAGAATGACTTGAGACATAGCGACAGTTGTGATCAATTTACTCAAATCATACACTTACACATTCTCTTGCAGATCACTCAAAGAGACATTTTGAACTCGGTTGATCGTGAGACATCTGGAAATTTCAGGAAAGGGCTGTATGCTATTGGTAGGTTGTCAACCATCGACATGGTAAAGATTTACACAACAGTGTACACTCAAAGAATATGATAATGTAGAAAAATTAGTGGTTTTCTCTGCGTTGTATTTCATGTGGGAGGAATGCTGGAAGGGATTCAGGTAGAGATGTTTACTACCTTGGTGAAACACAGCATGGGTATGCTGGTGTCAGTTTGAGGATTATAGTCAAAGATCAGCTGATCCAGTCACAACTAAGGGACACAACTCTTTAAAATGAATTACACCAATACTCATAAAAAGGTTTATATATGTGGTGTGTTTTCCTGACCCATATCATGAAGATGGATAATTTGAGCAAATAAACAAACCACTTTAAGATTTCTGTTTTTGATACATTCATGGTTCATAAACTGAATAACAGACATGAAATTCCTGGTGTCTCTCAGCAATGAACATCCGCTGTCGACCAATGTACTTTGCTGAGAAGTTGAGAGATGCCATGAAAGGACTTGGTACAGCAGATAAAACCCTTATCAGGATCATCGTATCCAGGTCTGAGGTACGCACGTGTTGTTGTTTCCGTCTGAACGTGAAGTCATGGAATATTGACAGTTAACATATATGGTTTGAACCCGAGACTAGATCATTTTTGCCCTTGGTAAGAGACTTCTTTAGTCAGTATAGAAGGTTGGACCAAAATTAGAGAAGAAATTTTCCCTGAAAAGGCATTTAATATATTTCCATATTATTTAATAGAATTGATTGAAGCACTTGTAATATTTTCATCATTTCATTATTTCAGCCATAAGACGTCTGATGTTTCCCTATAAAAATGATGGAAAGAATGAACATAATAGAAAAAGGAGCAATATAACATTTTGAAGAATCTGACATTTTAAACAATATTTTGCAATTGATTCCCGGTGCTGTTTCAGATTGATATGGTTCAGATAAAGGACTGTTTCCTGCAGCTGACCAAGCAGACCCTGTGGAGATGGCTCAAGGACGACTGTAGTGGAGACTACAAGAAGCTGCTCCAGGCAGTGGTTGGTTGTAACTAGGTCAAGGTCATGGCAATTCAAGGCTGTCATGTTCAAGGTCAAGGTTATCACATCTACAAGCAGACATGGTCAAGATCACCCAATCTGTGTCCATACAGGGTCAAGGTTTACATTATATCTCAGAACATAGAAACAATGGTATATGGAGGCCATTGAATTGGAGCAGTGTCTACTGAGACAAGAGTATACATGAGTTTATTTGGTGATGCAATATTCTTTTTAAGCGGGCCAAATAGGAAATAGATATGCATGCATTAACTTGTCTTTTATCACATACTCTATGTTATTCTACAAACTAAAAATTGGTATCTTCACAAATGGCCATCTCTACTCAGGGTTCAATGCACTGTTGCCACTCATATGAGTAATTGTTTGTTCAGACAAACATTCTTGGAGAATTTTTCCAATCTATTTATCTGTTATTCGTATTACATGTGTTAAATTGCGGGTTTTTTAAATTTTACGGTGTTTTGTTGATTGACTGAAATAGTTACAATTTCCATTTAGGTGTTGTTAAAATATGCAATAGCTGTTTGTTGAAAATATGTTTTTCTATACATTTTGTTTCCAAACGGCAGCAAATTGATGAAAATGAATGATGATATGACCGACGCCATGTTAGTCATCATCAGATTTGAATCTTGTACCTCAGATTAAAGTATCTTCATGTCATCATCACTAAACACTTGAATAATTCGTGACTCCCATACACTGAACTTGCAGTTGGAGGGGAACCATTAATTCATGTTATTTCAGAAACCTGAATGGGTTACGATCTTGATTGTGATGTTGTCTCATGACCGAATTACCACTGAAATAGCCAGTGAAGTAGAAAATTATGACATCTCTCTAAAAAATTAGCTAAATGTACCAAAAGAGCAGTGTTGAAGTGAACATGTCTAACGTTATGTACAATATACCGATACTCTCTGCAATGGCTGTGTATGAGATATTGTGTTTAGATAGCTTTTTACTGTGATGTACCTGGTACCTTCTAAATATACATAAAAAACCTCTCATTAGTTGCTTGAAATCTTTTTCTGAGGTATAATCTTGGATGTTAAATCTTATCATTTTTAATACTTATTCTGCCATACTAACCAAGTGATTCATCTGGTAAATAAATGATATGTCTATGGCTGCCAACAAGGCATAGACTTTGTTTTCTGATCACATCTTTTTGTGTATTGCAAATGTTCAAATAAAGATTTCTGCTGTTTGTCTGAAAGCTTTTTATGAAATTAGAGGTTAAACATCACCACTCAACAGTAAGATCTTGGAGGTTAAATCTCACCTGTCTAAATACTTATTCAACCATACTCACTCAGTGATTCATCTTTGTATCAGGTAAGTGAATCATATGTCTATGGCCGTCAACAAAGCATTGACTTTTTTGACCACATCTTCTTGTGTATTGTAATAAAGATTTCTACTGTCTGTCTTAATACTTTTTATTCCTGACAGGCATAAAATAGCATTCAGCTGTCATATTGCTTTACCTTCAAGAAACAACCAACACAACAATTTGCAGTAAAAATGCCATAGTTTATTGATCATGCTGTCAGAAGCTGTTACCATGACAATAAGTGTAGTTTCAGATTGACTGTGACCTATACACAACAATGGCAGATGGGGAAGCTGAAGGTCAGCGATGACCAAATGTCTTCAGTGTTCAATATTACACAAACTACCATACCAATTACTCAAATTTGACCATTTAAAAAAATGAAATAATGGGCCTTCTCATACTTTTAATGATAAATATAACAGAATGAATCAAAAGCAATATCTTTCTGATGAATTAACAGAAGCAAATAAGCTCTTGAATACTACTACATCTCTGAAATCAGGGGAGGTGGGATGGGGGTAGGGGGTCTTCGTGGATTACTCCTATGGTATTTGAATCAAGGGATCATTCCCCCCCCCCAATCTATCTCTTGCTTTCAACATAATGGCTAAAACAAACACCCATTGGATTTCATTTTTCATTTCAACTTTAATTTTGAACACTGCTAATGGTGGCTAGATTGACCATGATGATTACTAGTAGGTTAAACTACATATTTGTTACACAGGCAAGACTGGAATCAGTGCAGATATGAATGACAGGACATCATTATACACTTGGCCTGAACTGCCTGTTCACAGAGTCAAACAGATACCCCACGTAATAAAAAAACACACCCAAAATATATATATATCTGATTTGACTTAGACACAGTATGTTCAATTGTCAGGAAAGATTTAGTATAAATAACTCTGAAAGATGAAAAAACAAAAATGTAAACAAATGGGCGAATGAAACATTTTCATAATATGCTTTCATATAACAGCGGACATATTTGTCATGGTGATGTCATATTTTTCTGTCATTGTGACCTCACAAATCAAGTGATCTGCTTATTCTTAACTCTGGCAAATTGGCAGCCTGAGCAAGTTTGACTCGCTGTTCAAACACTTTGGTTATCAGCAAATTTCAAAAACAATTTGTATATCGGTAGTCTGTAACATCTGGTCACTTCACATACACAGAGATAATATACTACTCACACTTTGCTAAGGATCACAAAAATTCACAACTTTACTTAAAAGTAGATTCATAATTTGAAATTGTATCCATCTAAAACTGGATAAATAATAATATGGTAACCCCTCTTTAGGCAAACAGTCACTTTAATCTAACCTTATGCCCTTGATACATGAATAACCATAAAAATAGTTTTCATGGCACCAACCAACCATTTTGCAAATCATGGAACGAGTCATTGACACGTACACAACACCTGTAAATAGCAGGTATGGAATCCACAAGATGAAATGACATACTTAAACCTAGGACCCATTCTTACAATAAGCTTACATATTTAAATCCAATTTGACCCCACATCATAGTTTTCTGTTGAATCCATGATTTGATCCTTAGCAAAGTGTGAATAGTATATGTCCATCTCTGGCACTCGTTACAATGTGTAATCCTATAACAGTATAAGGGCACAGGGTGTGTGGAAAATCAATGTCCTCATTGCCAGGCTCATTATGTGAGATCCTTAACAAACAAGCAAATCCGATTCAGTTGCCTGAGGCCAACCTTAAACTCTGGAAGACCTGGAGTCAAGTCTGATAAATTATTAAACCAAGTATTACATTTACTTTTGAAAAGTGTAATCCTGTCGAGTAAGACTAATATAATATTGTTGACTTCCTCGTTCTGATGTTGATCTGGCTTTAGGGTATGCGTTCTGATTGGTTGAACAGAGTACCATTTTACCAATTGAGCAACACTGTCAATAGTCATGGCAGGTTGGACTGTCTGATGTAAACCCACAGAGGTTTGAAAACAGATTCATCAGTGTCAAAACTGGTAATGTCAGATAAAGGTGAGAATTTGTGGATGTCAACTTCTTTATTACGAGGAACATAATCAGGCGATGATGGAGTAAGAATATCATTGTGTCCCTTATAAAAAAGAAGTTGGCATCCATTAATTCCCATCTATTATCTGTACCACTTCTAAATGCTGTTCAAAGACTAGTGGTCAGTAGAATACTCATGGGCGAATCCAGGAATTTTGAGGTTGGGAAGGGGTGGTTCAGGGGTTTGAACCCCCTATTGGCTCCGCCAACGCAAAAACAATTCATCAATATGGTCTTAAGTCATTTTCAAAAGAAGGGGTGGGGGTCCGAACCCCCCTCTGGATCCGCCAATGAGAATACTGATTTTTGTGATAAGAATCCCAGTTCTGGTAAATATTCTGGAAAAGTAGACTGTTCCTGGACAAGTCAATTTTACTGTTAATCGGCTAAGGGCCGAGGTCAATAAGTTGATATTTCCACACCCTCCACAAGGCCATGAAGCAGAGTGGTATATGGTACATGTTTTAATCAACTGCTATCACAGAGTCCTCATGCACATTTATACAACTATTTACAACATCTCTATTTCATCAAACACTATCTACAATTCATTTCAGTAGAAACCTCCAAAATGTACAGTCAACACTTGAGAAATTCAACAATTATAGACAATTTATCATGGTGCAGTTCCATCAGTCCAACTGATAGCAGAGATTAGATACTCAGGAATAACAAGTCAGCAAAAGCACATCATCACATAATCCTGTTATTAAACATCAAATTCAAACAATGCCAGACTATTTTCAAATTAGTTTAGGCAAAAAACAATTGAGGATGGTGGGTGAAAAAGAATTTATATAAAATCATCAAATCTCACCAGTAGAAAAGAAAACAAGATTGAGGAAGATGTTCTCTAGATAAGAATAGTATTTTGAATAGTTTATGTATATTGTTAGCTACAGAAAATGTGTCAATTTTGAAAGATTTAACTCATTTTTGGTTGGTGGAATAATGACACTGTTTTTCGTTATTATCTTTATTCCACATTTAAATTATTGTTTCACAAGCCAAATTTGAAAAAAAGTCTGGCCTTGGAACTAAATACACTAACATAAACAGGTCTGTAGGTTTTACCTATGATATATTATCATCACACTTTGGGGGTTCTATTGAGTAGAAAATTGAGTGTTTACTGACCTTTGTAACAAATCACTCTACATCATTGTGGGAGTAAAATAGCACTCTGACTTGTAATTGAGAAATACACTACCTTTCATTTCATTCTCTTTTAAGACATCAACTTGTCATGTGTTTCAAAATTAGTTTTATTTATATTTTGACCTATAGTTCTTAATCTGTAATTGACGAGATGTAAACAAGGCTTAACAATTTGATGAATAAGCCAACATTTCAACCCAAAAGAGCCTCATACAAGAGGTGCACTGCCTTATACTTCTGTAGACCAATCTAATACTGGTTGAAAGGAGAGATATTAGCTGAACACAGGTATGAAAATTAAAAAATAATAAATAAAAATGAGAAAATAAAATGAAAAAGGTTATGTTTATAGAAACGTTCTGATGGCTGGGAGTATCTCATGCTTTGATGTGATCCCTGCTGTTGGCCTACAGATGGATACACTTAACATGATTATACCATGGGGTGATCCCTGCTGTGGATGGCCCATACATGATGGATACTGCTGTTGGCTGGGATATACTGGGGATAACATGATTATACCATGGGGGGTGATATGGTACATGGAGAGTGGGTGTGATCCCTGCTGTTGGCCTACAGATGGATAGATGGATACACTGGGGATAACATGATTATGATCCATGGCCTACAGATGGATACACTGGGGATGGATTATACCATGGGGGTGACACACAGGTGGAGGTGGATGGATGGGGATGGTACATGGAGATATACACACAAGGTGGGTGTGATCCCTGCTGTTGGCCTACAGATGGATACACTGGGGATAACATGATTATACCATGGGGGTGATATACACACAAGGTGGAGTGGTGGTACATGGAGAGTGGGTGTGATCCCTGCTGTTGGCCTACAGATGGATACACTCCAGATAACATAGGGGTGATATGCACACAAGGTGGAGTGGTGTGCAGGGTCCACTTAAACTATACATACATTTCATGATAATATTTGGTGATGAAAAGACAATGGGTGGAGTGGTAAGTAAACCATGGTATACAGTAGAAAGCTATATCAGTCATATTGACATCTTGTGGGTTCTTCATTTCATGCTGTAAACAGCTAAGCCAGACTATAAGCAGTGATATTGACAGGGGACTGGTATCTTCCAATACTTGCCTGCTAGTGAATTGCAAACAGTTTCCATTATGCTAAAGGTATTGTAAAGGAAAAGAAGAACGTATCCTACAGAACATGCTGAAGTGCTTCTCTCATAATATTCTGTTTAGGACATAAGTACCACTTGGGACAGAGAATTTTTAATACTTCTTGCCCCTTCATTTTGAAAATATACTTTACTGTTACACTGAAGTACAGAAATAGGAAAAATACAATAAAATAATATAATCTTATCAGCTTTACAACTTGTAAAGAAAACATTTGCAAATATTTCAGATAAAAAATTCTAAGGTAATTTTCAAACAATAGAAAATCTGAAAAAACTAATAACTAATATTCCACAGTACACCATTGCCATATTTCAAAAGAGTCAGTTCTTCCAAAATACTAATTATGGTAGCCATTTATAAGTAAACTGATAACTCTGCAATCACCTTGAGATAATCTGGGGCACACATGCATATGATGCTGGATACAAGTACATGCTGGTTGATATAATTTGGCACCTGGAACATCTTTTTCTGTGTAACATGTATTCTATAAGCATTTAGGCAAGACAATGCCATTAATTCAACCTAAGATACACATATGCATTTGTCTATATACGCAGGGTATGAAAGCACATACAACAGAAATTGTAATACTCCTGTATGGCTTTTTCCATAATACAGGTGAAACTCCATGAAGTATAAATACAGCACTAAGATAGTAACCATGGTAACAATAAGATAGTAACCATGCTAACAGTACACAGCATAGGGGAGTGCATCACGATGATATCATCTCAGTTGGCTACGTGTCTGAAATATAATCTCCCTAGCTGCCCTATGTTATCAATGATGAAGTGAGAATCTTACATATTACAAATAAAATGTTATCAGTTGATGCTTAACAAAGTCAGTCTAAATAGCACGGCACAGATGGTAACCAATTGCAACAATTTATACACTTTCTGTGAAAAGAAACATGGAAAGTCACCATCAGCTATTTCATATATGCCAGAATAAAGCTGGTTTAGCCATATCAATGTATGCCCTTGTATTTAAATTGCACCAAGTTCTCTACTCAGCATTGTCAAGTACCTCACAGCTTTACATTCTATTCACATTGAAAAGTGTAAAACCATTAAAATGTAGATTCTGTCAACATAAATAAATTATTCAAAATCATAACAGCACCGTGCTGAAAATTGTTATTTTATTGTAAATACAATTTTGAAACGTAATGATCTATCACAAAAAGATTATTTTCAACCTAACAAATCATGAAAGTTTACAAACAAATATATCTGCATCTGTACTACCCATCTCTCTCAAACATTCAGTTGATATTATTTATATATCAACATGCTCAGTATCCTTATTAACTTCAGGCTGTATTTAGACTCCCTCCCTCCCATCTACAGACGGATCATAGCTACAGCATCTGTTACTATGGCCACCATGCAGCTGGACCATCTTGATTAATAGAACTCATACTCAATGTCTGCATAGGTCAATCATGTGTTCACCGTGTTCATGGACCATCAACAGACGAAGCTACACCGCATATGCCATAGTTTGATTGGCTAACATTTCATGAAGAAAAAGCCACAGTTGTCCCATCACAGAATCATCATTATCTGCTTTTGATTTGGTTGAGAGCAGAGTTATTGTTTCACAGTGTTAAATTAGCATCAGGGCCCAAGATAGAGAGCCCGGTGTTGAAGAGCAGCCATGTTGGTAATGTTGGCACACCCAGATTGTTCTAGCTGCTTCCCTGGTGAATGATCTCCGAGTCAGGGCACAGAGATCATAGGTGGCGCTGAGGGTGGATTTACTGGGCACCTGTCTACCACAGAGAACTGGTTTTGATTGTCCATGCAGATTTCCAGATATCAAAGCTTGAGTGAACATCTGCATCAATTCTATTCATGCTTGAATATTCATGGATGGAAAGTCTTAAAAATGACATCACAGCAAAGGTAAATGTTGTTTAACACTGTGCAAGTGGATTGACTTTCATGACCAGTTCTTCTGATGACCGTCTACCACTGAGGAGAGTCATAATACACACATATTTCTCTCTCGGTCAAGCAACATCATAGCCTGTTTTCTCCATGTCACAGTCCTCACACCTTTGACACTTCAAAGTCGAGGCGGGAGGTCCTCGTAGTGATTCTCTGTGTCAGAATTAATCTCGGAAGTGTTCGTGTAGGTGTGTTCTTCCATCAGCTGCTTCATCTTCTCGGGGGGAACATCATGAACAGAAGACTTAGAACCCCCCTTCATGTCCACATACAGGTTACATCCCTTTAAGTCACTCTCCTCCTTGGAGGCAGCTCCAATCAAAGGCTCAATATAGGGTTCTTCTTCTTGCGATGTGGAGACGTCATCACTACTCGCGATTCCTGATGTGGCACCTTCACAGATAGAAGCTACAGAGGCGGAATCAGACCTGGGAGGTGGTGGCGGAGGTGGCTGACCTGCAAGGCAGTTTGTGTCCTTCCTGAAAGTGTTAACACCATGGTTGACCTCCTTGTTGACCTCCTCATACAGAGTGTTGACCTCATCGGGGGACATGTACATGCTGCTGACTGGGCGTCGGCCATTGGACTCATTGTTTTCCCCTACTGTTGCATAGCCCTGTTCGTTCTGATTGACGCGTCCATACGCCTGGTTGTCGAATCTCACAACCATCTCCTCACCGTTGTGCTTGTCTCGTTGCCTGCAACAAACACATCCAGCATTGTTTATAAACAGACTTAACATGAAGATTATCATTAGACTCAAACACAGAGTTGTAGTGCGGAAGTGTCAACTGCTCTGGGGGACAAGGCAGTGGACCACTAACTATTGTTGTGCCAACATAACTAAAATAAATCCTGTCCTCAAATCAGTCTTAACACTATGACTCTCAAAAGCCTATGCTAAAATTACAGGAGTTTATATATTTTTGTCCCCACAATCACCTCGAGACATTAGACTGGGTCCTATCCCACAAAGCTGACTTAGGGACCGTTCATAATTTATGGCTAGGGGGGATGATGATTTTAAGGGGGTCACCCATTTTGTTCTGGGGAGGTGAGGGGGTCATCAATTTTGTACATATGTTTCTTTCTTGGGGGTCAGCAATTTTGTACATAGAAATATTTAAAAATTATGCTTAAAACATATTGGAAGGGGAGGGGGGTCATTGATTATGTACATGACATGCAGGGGGGATCACTTACTTTGCACATAAATTTTAGGGGGGGTCATTCACATTGTACATGCTTCTCCATAAAAATCATCATCACACACCCCTGGCCATAAATTATGAACGGTCCCTTAGGGCTAAGACTGCTGTTCTCCCCATTCTTCAACAAAGACTTACTATAGTTGTAGTGTTATGATTTCTTCAAGACAAAAGGCCCTAAGCAGCTCACTACCTTAATCTCAAACAAGCTAGTCCTGGACCGTCATACAAATGTTCCTATTCAACACAGTGGTCTGTTGGCTACAGGTGTTAAACTCCCACTCTATAGGCAGTGTATGAAATAAGCCAAAACCCCAGCCTAACATCAGGGCTGGTAACTTCAAAATGTTACCAGTCCAAAATGGATATAACCAGACCAGACTCCAAGATATGGTTCAGATGTATATAACATCTAATTTTTTTACCAGACAAGCTGTAAATCTAGACCGTCCGTCTGAAATCTAACCCATCTCGGGCTGTCGGACGGGCCTTATTTCATACATTGCTATAGGATGCATTTATGATCAGTGTGAGAAATAGTTTCCAAATTTTGCTAGCCAGTCGGGCTAGCTATCCCTGAAAGTTACTAGACCACAAAATAATTCACAAGCCCCAAATTTGAATGTAGACATGAGCTGCATCGTTAAGCTGCTAATATGATGTACATTTTTATCAGGCCATAATCTTGTATGATTTAAAAGTGTATTCTAACTTAACAAGTATTTACAAAATGACCCCATGAAAATTCACAGCCAGTCGGGCCAGTGACTGTGGAGATTTACTGGCCCGACTGGATTTTTACTTGTCATGGGCTAGCAGGCCAGTGGCTATTACGCACACTGTTTATGATTGTCTTAGCAATAAGATCGTATGCAAATAACAAAGCACAGAGGTAAAAGACCAAGGATGACACCATGCATCTGCTGCTATTGTTTGGTCAGTTCAGTAGACAGTAATGCTGATAAGATAGAGGTCTTGGTCCCAATCCACAAAGGGTTCGTAATGTTAAGACCTGTCTTAACTCTATAGTATATCATAAACTTATGAACGTTGTAGGGCAACAAACATTTTGTGGATCTGGACCCAGGGTTGATAGGTTTTAGCATAATACAATCCAGATTTTAATTGGTTGAACAACTGTACCTCTTCCTGTAGATGAAGAAGATCAGCAGCATTGCAAAGATGACGAGGCCAGCAAACCCAATCACAGTCAACAGAATCGACACTGGAACAGCAAAACATAGTGAACCTTGAATAAAAGTCAAGTGTCTGTTCGTCGTTAAGTGCAGCATGCTGCGGTGTGCTCTAAAAACAGAGAGGGGCGGTGGGGTAGCCTAGTGGTTAAAGCGTTGGCCCGTCACGCCGAAGACCCGGGTTCGAAAAACAACAGCGTCGTCTAGCTGGATGTTAGCATTTATTATTTGAAGTAATTGCATAGAAATCTGATAAGGTCCTGAATTCAGGATTATTTTTTGGTTATCTACCACTAAACAAATTGTTTTCAGTTTCACCATTAATAATGAAATAAAAACAATTGCACATATCAAACATGTTCAAAATTAAATAAAACAAATATGTAGTATAAGTAGTATAAATTGTATGCTTCTCTCGAGGGTAATACGGTCTGATGTACGTCTTTGTAGCAGTGTCACTCACCAATGAAATTAAAGTATTTTACATGAAGGTAAGATAATACATAATAACGCTTTAGTCTGAAGAATTCACTGATGTGAGAACTTACTGTTTCCATTGTCTTCATGTTGTCCAGAGGATGCTGTGTGGGCGAGATGACCGTTGCCTTGGTAGGAGTGGGCAATGGCTGGATTGAAACAACATAATAGCAGAATACAGCATGTGACAAGAAATCTCACAGGAATCTGTGATTATGTTTCAAAATCAGCTTAACATGGCTCTGAATATATCCAGTCCTATAATGCAGGACAGCTAACAACAGCTAAGCAGTGAACACAACAGGGTTAGAAATGGCCACTATTTCACTGATACAATAGTAGTGAACATCAGGAAGGGCTATTTTTTATCCCAAAAATATAGTTATTTTAAGATTTGCGGAGTATAAATCCTGGTTTCTGCCCAAGGCTTGTGTTGACAAACCAGGGTTCACATCAACCATGAATCTGGGACATGAACCCAAACACATGGGTTCCAGACAAGGGACTTAACTCTTCACAGGCATGTATGAGATCATGATGTTTTTGACAGTCTGTGAGTAATGAATATTTTATAAAGAAGTGTTATAAATAAGAAATCTGACTGAGTTAATATTATCCAGAGATTTTGATATATTCAATATTATTATCATTATTATTTATGTAAAAGTAGTAATATTCCATACAAATCTGTTCAATATACAACAGCTGATATCATGAAGAAAGACTTATACTTATATTTGACAGAAAATTTGGAAAACAGATTTGAAGGAAATATTTATTGAACAAAATTAGCACTTATTTACAGTAAGCATGGCCAACAGAATGCGAGAACTTCAAATTTGGAAACTGCCATTTGAAAATTCACAGAGTCAAATTCACGAACAGAATTAGTACCAGTACGGCGCTTGTCTTGTCAACAAATACCATGCTATTCCATGCGGTATCATAGCAACCCAAACAATTTGCCTCCACGCTGAAAACACCCCACACATACCCAAACTAAAAACTTTACACAAAACCATGCATGTATTGTAAGTATGTAACATTGCATACTGTAATAATCCCCAAAACTCTCTCAGAAGCAACTTCATGCATTTTACACTGGAACAGCAAATGTTCCAAGTCGATCACAAGAAAGTAGAGTTACCTCCCCTTGTTAAGTTGAGTGAACATGGATAACGCACTTGCGGTTTGAAATATATTGTCACTGTATGTTTTATTGGGGTTCTTTTAACACAAACAATCTTACATTTTAGTATTTTTGTTTGTTCAGTTATGAACATTTATATATCATAACATTTACATAATGTTAAAGGATGTTAAATAGCAATATTATGACTAGCCTCTAAACCTACTTCAAAACACATATCATCTGGGCCCCTTTCAACTTTTGATCTCATGTGTGTAATGATTTTTTTAGCACTACAATCACTTTGTGGAAAAGAACTTAAACTTATTGTTTCTAAACATTGAAGTTTGACTTTATTATAACATACAATCAAGTTACAATCTTAGACACAGGTTCCAACTTTAACAAACGACACCACAAGCATGCAGCAAGCAAGGTCAACTTGTGGCTCTACAAACTCACAGTCGCCATGGTTACTAGAAAACGTTGTTAGTGTCAGCACACAGTGGAGACAAATTCTGAGTTTGCTACAAACCTTCTAGACTATGATGTTTCATGAGACGAAGATCAACTTGCTTAACGATTATTACAGGTAGCTCTGTTGTGGACGTGGTCACGGCTATTGTCGCTACAGGATCAGATGATATAATATATATTTGATCTTTCCACACATCAACTATCAACTTCTCTGATCCTTTATGTCCAAATTTAAGGGATCATACTCAAAAATGTTCCTCTGAAACAAATCTATATTTCCCACTTCAGCTAAAACAATATTTCAAGATAAGACTAAGAGTAAATCCTTTTTGTCTTGGTTGAATTTTGAAATATGAAGGGGGAACAATTACTTTGATTAAGTGAATATTACTCAGTAAAACAGTTTCATGAGTTCAAAATATAAAAACAATGAATTACCACTATTTTTCAATGTTAATACAGAATATTACCCTTTTTGTAGCCATGGTAACAAATCCTTTACCATTTTCAGTGCATTGTGAAACATTTAAAAGGACTATTTAACATCTCCAGCTCTTACACATAACTTTCAATAATTGAGACTTACGGAACTGGCATATGTAGTAGTAGTGGAACTTTAAGGCGCCGCAGTGGTAGTCGTGCCAGTGCCAGCCGTCCTCCCTCCTCATCAAGGCACAGTTCTCGATGGACCAAAGTAACGTCTTGCTAGGCTCGTCTCTGGCCCAATATGAATATGACACCTTCTCCCCTGAAACAAGAAGCAAATACAAGGTGAAAGTGCTGATTCAGAGCAACTATATTCAAATTATTGATGTGTCATGGTACTATGTACTCTAGGCGGAATGTTGATACAAGGTTTTGTTTCTAAACACAATTTTCAAATGAAAAATACAAGAGATAGCCAATGATAAGGATGTAATGTATAAGAGATAGCAAATCATAAGGATGTAAGGTATAAGAGATAGCCTATCATATGCATGATAAAGATGTAAGATATTTATAAGAGACAACCAATCATAAGGATGTAAAGCATAACAAATAGCCAATCATAAGGATGTAAGGTATGCAAGTTAGATGGATAATCACTGTATGAACTGCCTTGCAAGTACCCACCAGTAGTCCATACCCATCCCCTATCCTCGTAGTACTGGGCTCCGATCCACACTCCCTTATTGTTCCAGCCAAGTTTATGGGAGCTGAGCGTTGACTTAATAAAGTTCATGACGCCGCCGTTCATGATGGTGATGAGGTTCACCCCCCCCATCCCCTGACAGTGGGAGGATGCAGCCGTCCAGTACTCCTCCTTGTTCACGAACATGTAGCAAGTGTTGCTGTGCACTGCCGTGAAATAACCAGTCTCCTGCACCAGCTCTGGACATTGTCGTGCTGCGTCCTTCGTGGCTGAAACATACATGACACATGTGATTAAACTGTATGTGATTCTCTGGCATTTAATTGGGTAGCGAAGAATTGTATTTTCTTCAATAAACTGTAAAAAGGGTAATATGCCATAAATGGACTGATGTCTCCTCATTAAATGAGTCATTTATCTGCGGATTTCATACTGTTGTCTGCAGGCTCTTGTACGTTAATGATCAAACAGGAAGTGAGTGAAGTTACTCCTCTTGACGTATTTATTCATAAGAATAGTACTTGTGAAGGTCCGGGTTAGAATATTGATCTTCAGTAACCCATGCTTGTCGTAAGAGGCGATTAACGAGATGGGGTGGTTAGGCTCAATGACTTCATTGGCGCATGTCATCAGTTCCCATTTGCACAGATTGATGCTCATGCTGTTGATCACTGGATTGTCTGGTCCAGACTTGATTATTTACAGACCGCCTCCATATAGCTGGAATATTGCTCAGTGTGGTGTAAAACTAAACTCACTCACTCAATCATAAGAATAGACTAAAATATTCTGAGCCGACCACCTGATCCCATTAGTCACTTCTTACAACAAGCAAGGGTTGCTGAAGGCCAATTCTAACTCAGATCTTCACGGGTCATAACATTTATGAGTGAGTGAGTTTAGGTTTACGCCGCACTCAGAATATTCCAGCTGTATGGTGGCGGTCTGTAAATAATCGAGTCTGCACCAGACAATCCAGTGATCAACAGCATGAGCATCAATCTGCACAATTGGGAACCGATGACATGTGTCAACCAGGTCATCGAGCCTGATCACCCGATCCTGTCAGTCGCCTCTTACCCCAGGCCTTCACGGGTAAACATTTATGTGTTTTATTGGATATATGTTTAGCAACGATCAGTTGGAGGTAGAAAGATTGTTCAAACAGGTTATTGAGTGACAAAAATCTGTAACAGGGACAGACAATAAGAATGTGGCATAGATTTTTCCAAAAATTATAGTGTGGTAGGAAAAGGTGGTGAGTCTTTTTCAGGCAGGTATATTTTACAGGTATGATAGATAGGGACACAGGAAGTATATTTATGATAAGCAATATAGACTTTTGGGTCCTGACACTAACATAGCCACATGTATTCAGACCTTTATCCACTCTTCAGAGAGCATTGTGCCAAAGTATAACGCAAATGTGGATACCAGCCCTGTGGATACGTTCAAGTCAGCTCAATGGGCTACTGCTAATTAATCTGCCCAGACTCCAATCTGTGGAACATAGTGTTCTAGTGTGGTACAATAGCAGATGGCCTTGGTCAACATAATGAGAGTCACCACGGGTGTCACATGACATGGTCTGCACAGGAAGAGGTGACAAGTGGAGAGATGATCTTGTGATAAGTGGGCTGATTAATTCCACAGTTCATTTCTACATACACTGTTATAAGACAAGCACAACTTAAATTATCATAAGATTTTCACAAAATAAGAATCCCCAGGTATCATAAACTAAATTAGTAAATACATCCTACATATCCGACCTGATGAATATTGATGAAAATACATAGAATATTTTTGCCTTTGAGTCAGTGAGTGAGTGAGTGAGTGGATATGTCACATCGAATTTCCACTATTAAAATAGACACATTGATTTAAATCGAATATACACAAATTAAAACAATGAGTTTGAGACTGATGCCATCTAACCGATGTCAGCTTACTCTATCCAAGACTATGTATTCTTCAATTCACTCATGTTTAGACATACTGCATCCATATTTCTGAATTTATTTCAGCTGGTCGTGTGAGCCCAGTGAAGCAAGCTCAACATGTGACCACAAAGGATAGCCACGTTCATTCCCCAATTTTCCCAGTCTGAGGTTTTATGATGAAATAAATCGAAATGGGTTGATGAATTTTACAGATTACCATATGAGTCCTTGCTGTGATCTGCTCTGCCCATGACGCCCCAGGGAGACATATTGTACACACAGGGTATGGAGTGTAATCACCATATGCAATGTGCATTGAGAGAATGTTCACCCCGACATTCCTCGTCAGGCTGGTGGACATTCCTCCTGTTGTACACTTCCCTCAACTCACAGTCGGGAATAACAAGGGGCCTCAAAACAAATATGTGTGTAGGTTTCTCAGCTTGAACAAATCATTCTTGACTCATGCTGAATGGACATTTAATAGTTCTGCTGTTGTAGCTGTAATGTGTGAAATAGAGGTGGGTCCTGAGGTCGCTCAGATTTTATGCCAGCCTATAGAATGTACAGTACTGGAGGGATGCACTGCATATTAAATACATCATAATGACCTTTGACTGGGTAGTCAGACTCAGTGATTTGGTTGATAGCATCTGTTTCATTTGTTGTATCCAACTGGAGTGGAATGGTGTTCATAATATCAATCACTAGATTGTCTGGTCCAGACTCAGCGACTTGGTTGATAGCATCTGTTTCATTTGTTGTATCCAACTGGAGTGGAATGGTGTTCACAATATCGATCACTAGATTGTCTGGTCCAGATTCAATTATCTACGAGATGCTATCATAGAGCTTTAATATTGCTGACTAAACAAATAAATCATGTTCAGCTAACATGCAAACATGCCAGATTAGACATATTACTTCCAGTTGATCTGTTAAAGTGTTTGTTGCCCGTCTACATGACACGGGGCATGTGTTTAAGCCAAACAATGCAGTGATGAGCATGTGCTGATACCAAGTCCGTACTTCCTCTCTCCGCCAGCACTGCACCTAAGTGCACAGTTCGTGCAGGATTGGCATTGTGGCGGACTTCCATACATACCACTGGCTTGGTGAGAAATGTCAACAATCATCTAACTGTACAGGATTGGGTGGTAGTTTTCTCTCCTTCATTTCAACAATCCTAGATTCCAGTAAACACTTACAACAGTTTTTGTGTTATTCTTTCTCACCCAGTTACAGTGCAGTCTTGAACATGCTGATATGATGTATAGGTATTCTGAAGTTATCATATATGAGATATATATATAATCAATATTCATGTAATGTTTGTAAAATAAGAAATACACTAATTTATGTAATTATTCTATCAAATTCAACTATCTATCCATCTCTATCGATCATCTGCTGATTAAAGCACCTTCGACCCCTGAAGATCCGGGTTAGAATTGGTCTTCAGCAACCATGCTTGTCATAAGCGGCAATCGCGACCAACGGGATCAGGTGGTCAGGCTCACAATGTCATCGGAACCCAACTGCGTTGATTGATGTTCATGATGTTGATCACTGGATTGTCTGGTCCAGACTCGCTTATTTACAGACCGCAGTCATATAGCTGGAATATTGCTGGGTGAGGCGCTTAACAACAAACAAACATAATATAGCATCTTCATCCGTGGCATTAAGTATAGACAGTTTTGCTCAATGCTCAGTCTAATTTATTTCTTAGTCCCTACTGGCAGGAAGGTGTCAGCCCGATCTGTCGACAAATGAAAAATAGGATGTCCCTAACTGTCGACAAAACAAAAAACCCGGAATGTCGACATCGCGTGGTCAACATACCGTGACGGTGTTAATTAATGAAAGAGAATGTTTGCTTAGTGGTTGCAAGTGGCCATGGCAGCTAATGAATTAAGTAGATTAAAGAGAATGTCGTTTTAACAATTTGCAAGAGAATTAAGGTTGCAAAAACAGATTATTATTTTACGTTATGCGAGTGGAGGGATTACCATTTTGGAGTTTAACATGCAACAACATGAGAAACGGAGAGCTTACAAATTATTTTGTGATATTTGGAGTAGAAGGATTATCGAAATGCTTTTGTAAACATAATTTGGAAGGTTGGCACAATATATATATTGTCTACTATATATATCACACTCTGTTTTAATTAGTTTGTTAATTCGAGAACACTGGGAGTGAAGTCACTCATGTAGAACATCACCTCCCTTTTCCCGGACTGTCGACAAGTATTTTGGACGGATTATTTCTTGTTGTCGACAGTCCGGGCATAAACCGGCAGGAACATGCTATGTCAAGGATTTCAGAAATTCTAACAGAACGAATTCCTACTAAAATTCTTAATAGAAATGACACAATATCTGAAATGAATTACGGAACAATGTCAGAATGACACAGACTTGTTTATCTTTCGTGACTCTCCAATTTGTACTTTCCTCCTTCAAAAAGTGCCCCTATGTAAGTAATTATGTAGGCCTGTCACGTCCATCTAAAACAACATGCATGTGTTGTACAATCCCAGCATTTAGAAACTTTACACCACTTATCTTTAAACTTTATCCTAAAACACCAAGTTAGGACACACCCAGTATCCAGTGTTCCATACACCACATTTACAAACTCTTAAACACATTCAAAGTTCACCACACTTCACAATTATCTTTAAAATAAATCTTTCACTTCAACACATAATTCATAGTTTCGGTTTAATTTTAAACTTATATAGGCATCCAAAGAATCTGATCCCTGAGCTCCCCTGTCTGCTGTTGAATACCGCGGAACTCCAGTCACTGAAAGTTAGGTCAAAATATTTTCCACTTGCATTTTCCACATATTTATCTCGTCGGAATATTCTGTTGAGTTCTGATAAGACGAGTTATGACATGATTATTAACACGGCATGGAGTTCATCATCCATAATTCATCCCAAAATAAAACAAACTGTGAATTCAGGACGGCCAGGCATTGAGCCAAACACATGGAGGCTCTACACATGCCCACTCTGCCAAACAGTTGAACCCTTTAACATCTCAAACTAAAGGGTAGTTACAAGGTGGAGGTGAGGTAAGGTAAAATGTGGTTAAAACTGTTTTTGTGGTCAGTGGATGCTGGCTATAAGCTAAGGCAGAACACCCAGCACCATGAGACTAAGATGGATGCATTAAACCTGGGCCATCCTCACATTGTATCTTTTTCACTCAGTTTGTTCATTTAACAGTGAGTGAGTGAGTGAGTTTAACGCCACTTTTAACATTCCAGAAATGTCACACAGACATCAGAAATCTATTCACACATTGTACCCA